CCCCAACCCCAACCCCAACCCCAAACAAAATTTTAGTAATTAAATAAATTTAATTTATTTTTTAATAGAAAAGGAAAATCAGAAGGTAAAATATTAAATTAATGAATATTATTTAGATTGTAAATGATTAATTTTTTTCAATAAATAAATAAACAATTTAATAAGTAAATAATTAAGCTAAAAAAAAAATAGTCATTTTATATACTTCTTATAAATAAATATAATCTAATAAAATAGAAGAGTCTATTGTGATTTTGCATTATAATAACAAATTTAAGGTCAAATTAATTATTAAATTCAAAAATATTTAAAAGAATTTTAAATTTTAGATTTATAAATAATTGAAATATTTTTTTGTAAATTTTGAGTTAATAAAATTAGACAATTAATAAAAAATAAAATGAATAGAATAAGATTTTATTTTTTTTCATTTTTTTAACTTTGTAATATCTCCAACTAAAACGCACTTTCTCTTTATTGCTTCAGTTAATTTTTTCTCAACTACATCCTTTAATTCTAATGCTTAAATAACTTTCTTTTACTTATTGGAGCTATATTCCTTAACTTAATCAACATTTTCCAATTCTTTTTTAATCATATTTTTAATGTTTTATTCATATCTTTTTATGTTTTCTTTATAAGAATTGAGTTAAGCAATGATTCTATCACATGACCTATTTTTAGTTTAATTTAAATAAAATTAATAGTTAATGAAGTTTTTATTTTAGTTTACTTTTGTTATTCTTTAAATAAAAGAAGCTAACGGAACTGAAAGTTTGTTATAAGATTTAACAACCCTTCAAACGAATCTTTAATCTATTTAATTTCTTCTGGTTTTATATCTAATAAACCTTCTTATGTAGATTCATAAGTCTGTAGTATGCTATTAGCTGAATATTGTTTAGATTCCAAGTATCTTTGATTCAAGAATTATATCAACTATTAATTCATTTAATCTCAAATTAATAATCAACAAAAAAAAAAAATTGCAATATTTTATTTACTTCACTGATGTTACTAATAATTAAATTTCTATAATTTCTATTTGAAAGGATTGTTTCAACTTCTTAGAAATTCTTAGAAGTTAAATCCTCTATATTTAAATCTACATTAGCAGATTACTAGACAGCGTTTGCATCACTGATATCCCAATTAATTTCAACAACTTCTGCTGTTTGGTTTTCAGCTGGTTAACTTGGGGCAGTTGCACCAAAATCCCAATTGATTCCTTCACTTTCTTTATTGGTATTATCTTCAATATCCCAGCAAATTCCAGCAGCTTATTCTTAAGTGTTAGCAACCTTTGCATATTTTTTTTATAATGAATGAATACAATATTTTAAAAATGTTAACTTACATCAGTAATATCTATGTTCCAATCTATTTAATCTTCTTCTTTCTTATTTTGTTAGAATTTCTGATACCAGTCATATCTTTTTGATAATTAAATATTGATTTTCAATTGTCAATCTAAAGCAAATCATACTTAATTTTAATGAGGTTTTCATCTTCTGCAGTAATTTCTTATCCACCTTTTCTTTTTTCATAAACTGAAATAGGTTCATCACCATGGAAAATAAGCTCATCGAGTAAAGAAAGCTTAATGCTCTTTTAAATATATTTAACAAGGAATGAATATAGATAATTCTTTAATAAAAAATCAATTTTATTACATCTTTGGTAGATTTGCTATTAACATACATAGTGAAATCATAATAGTAAGTTAGACCTTTCTAAATTAATTCTGTTTTTGCTGCATCTTCAATTTTTTAAAAGTGTTCAGGTAATTTAGAAGCTAGAGCTGCTATTTCTTCTTCTAAGTTTTTACCTTCTACTCCTAACTTTGCACATTAACTTTCATACTCAGCTTATTATTTTTTTATAGTATTTTCAAAATCCTGCTTCTTTTAAGTAGAAAATTTGATTTAGTTCTCAAGCATACTGACATTTTTAGTAAATCCTGGACTATTTATTATTATTCAAAGATTTAATTGCTAATTAATATAAGAATGGAGTTATTTTACATTTCATATTAAACATTTTGAATTAGTAATTTAGCTAAACTAATTAAGTGAATATTTTCTTTTTTGTAGAATTTTTCTATGGCAATCCAATCCTTAATTAACTAATTGGTATAGCCTCCAAAGAAGCTCTTTTATTGAGCTTCAGGTGTTTGCAAAAGCATAGCAATAACTTTTTCTAGGTGATAATAGCTGAATTCTTATTTGAAATATCAAAAAAAAGGAAATTTAAAGCATTGTTGATGAACTCTAATAAAATTGATACCTTCTTTATTTTCTTTGATATATGATACAATATTTTTATCTTATATTTAATCTACTTTATCAAGTAACTCTTTCATTTTAAGTTATACAGCCTTTAATTGCTTTGTCCATTCTTTAGGAATCTAATTTCTGCTTTTAAGCCATTCTAAATAAACAAAAAATATATTAAATAAATTCCTGTCAATTATAAAACAATACCAATCAATTCCTAGTATTTAATATCTAAAATATCTGTCATTTAAGTATAATTATAAATTTATTTTATTTTTAATTGATAAAAGCTATTTTTATTATGTAAAAGATAAAATTTTGGCTTAAGCTAATAATTTATGTTTAATTTTTTATATTAAATACAAGCACGTGCATTTCAATTAAAATATTTGCATTCATAATTATTATAAAAATTCTTTCAGATTTATTCAATTATTAATTAAGACAGAAAGGTCATACTATTTTTGATAAAAATTCAAGATACCTGTAAATCAATTAATTAATTAATTTATTCCTAATAAAGATTTGTTCAAAAAATATAATTTTTAATATCTTATTTAATAAAGAGATAATTAAACTGAATTATGACAAAGGATAATAAAAAGGCTAAATAATAGCCATAATTCAAAAAAAGCAACGAAAAAAAAAAAGGGAAGCTCATATGGGTTTTCTTAGTAGGAATTATAATAGCGTTTGTTGGATATATAGTTATGAAAAAGAAAAGTTAGCATAATATAATTCAAGAATAAAAAATAACAAATGTAAAATATGGTGAGAAGGTAGTTAATAACTATAAGATTCTTGAAAGATATAATAGATAACCAAATTAGTATACTTAATGCTTTATGTTTTATAACTCAACTCATATTCTGGAAACTTCAGGATTATATGAAATTTCATCTGCTCATTTTTTAAAATTTGACAGAGATCAAAATTCAATAAGTGAGCCAATAGGTGCTTTTAATTTTAGCTAATAGTTTAATAATAGAATATTTGCTGAAGGATGTACTTTATATAATAATTAAATTTATGTCCTTACATATAAAGAAGATCATATGCTAGTATTTGATCATGAATTGAAAATAGTTAATAAAAAGGTTAATTACCCAAGCTTCATAAAAGAGGGCTGGGGATTAACTCATTACAATAATTCTTTGATAGTTACAGATGGATCAAATAAAATATATTTCTTTGATGAAAATCTAGTCCTTAAAAATAGTTTGCAAATTAAAGGATGCTCAAATTCAAATTTTTGTACTTATTTCAATGAGTAAAACATTTTAAATTTAATATAATTAAATTAGTTAAATAATTATAAAACAATATATAAATAGATTAGAAATATACAAAGGATATTTATTGGCAAACTAATACTATAGTAATATTATCTATGTTATAAATATGATTACAGGCCAAGTAGAAAAAGAATATGATATGTAATTCTTAGCAAAAGAAGTTGTTCAAGCTACAAAAGATCCTTAGTACTTTAATAAAGGATTTGTATTTAATGGAATTGCTTTTGATGAGTTGACTGATACGTTACTGGTTACAGGAAAGTTCTGGCCTTTTATATATTAAATTTAACTATTAGATTTTCCAAATAAGTGAATATAGTTTATTATAATAATTCAAAGAATGTATGTAAATCATCTTAAAATATATTTTTAAAAAAATCATTTTAGTTAAATTTACTTATATACGAATGAATTATTAAGTTAATTTTTCAAAAAATAATTTGCAAAGTAAAACTTAATGCTCTGTTGAAATTTAGCACTGAAATATTTTAATTGATGAAGTTTGGCAATAAATTTGACTATTTTATATATGAATTAATGAATTTTTTTTATTTTTATTTGTGATAATATTTTAAAATGTATAGATTTTTATATAAAATTGGTCAAATAAAAATAATTGGACTGAGTTACATTGTTTGTTTATTTGATTACTTAATACATATCAGAAATATTGACTAACTATAGTAATATGAAAACTATATATATGTACATATAAACAATTAATTGAATATAATTATTTATATTTTTTATTATTTTAGCTTTTGAAAATATAATCGTTATTAATTCATATAGATTACTAATTAATTGATTTTTGTTTGCGGTTGGCTAATATTTAGAAAAAGAATTAATTATTCCATCAATAACCAACTTTGCTAATTCTTTAATAATAGTAAAAATTGAAAGTCGCATAAAAAGTATTTCCTAATAAACTACTATAAATTGCGAATTATTGCAAATATTTATTTTAGCTCATTATCAAAATAAAGATATGAAATCAATAAAAAATTTACCAAGCTAGGGAGAATGCAAGATAAATAGAAACCATATAAAAAAGCCATTGGTGAAGAAAATTGCCATTCAAGAATTGAAAAATAGAGAGGGAGGATTTGTTTTGAATGGAGATGTTATAAATTAAAAGTTAAATTATGACCCTATTAATGATGAGCACTTAAAGCAGTTTTTCGTAAATAAAAAAATAAAACCATATTTAAATAAATTAAGTAAAGTAAATAATTATTTTTAGGTTCATCCATCATAATTAATTATTGTCTAATTTGTAAGATTGTAAATAGGAGTAATCATACAAGCGATGATGACCAAATATCAAAAGATGATACAACAAGGATAACAAATTAAAATAATACCAAAAACTCTCATATGACAGCTCCAAATTTAAAATAAAAAAGTGAAAGCGAACCTAAAGATATCAGAGTAGCTTTTAATTTTTTTTTATGAATTCATTAATAAAATTATACTTAAATGGTCTACAACTCAAAAAAAACAAAACAAAATTATTTTTATTAATAATTTTTATTGATTCAATTTCTTAAAAATTAGACAATAAAGATTCAAGAGGGAGGCGATGATGATTCTAAATAGTAAGAAGTATTAAAAGAAAAAGAAAAAAATTATTAACAAATAGAGTTTCCAAAGATCTCAATAAATAACTCAACTAATTTTAATAACTACACTTTAAATAATAGCAATACCACTAATTTAAATAGCACTAAAGAAAATTCTAATATAAATCAAAACAATACTAGCATGAACTTTTTAAATAACTCCATAAATAATAGCAATACTCTTTATGCTAACAGTTTTAATAATGCTTATAATAGTAGCAGTTAAGATTAATCAGGTAGAATTTCTAATTAAGAATTTGTTAAAAAAAATGATTTCAAACTCTAAGCGATTCCAAAGTCAAATAATCAATACTAGTCCTCAGGTCTAAGAAATAAAATAATTTTGCGTCCTATATAAAATTAAGATAAATTAGATAAAGATTCTCTTGATATTAAGAAAGCGTATGGATAGATTAAGTAAGAAGAATAAAGTAGTATTTATAGATTGCCTTAAAAAAGAAACTCTTAAAACAGTTTGAACTGCACAGCTATAAATTCAGACTAAGAAAATTATACTAGCTCTGATTACAAAGTGAACCCAATCAAGAGTCTTGATGCAAAAAAAAAGATTAGAAGTATAACAGGAAATAAAAAAACTGGCTTTAACGATACAACTCTATCAACATTAGACCATCCATAATAATAGAGCCAAAATCAAAGTATGTATGATGGGTATATAAATTCTCTAAAAAAGGGTGGTATAATTTAGAGTAATTCAAGCAGTAAACCCTTTATTTGCGAGCCAAATTAAATTTACTTTAAAAACCTTAAATCAGAAATAGAAAATATTGAAAAACAAAATGAAAGTAAAGGGATCGTCCCAGTCTCAAAAGACTAATTTTCATCATTTCTAAATTAATTTAAGACTAAGTATAAATCAAACACAAATTTAAATCAAAATGATGAATAAGAAGATTAACTTAATCATTCTGAAAACAAAAAGATTGAAATTTAGTAGCTCAAAAAAGAAAAATAAGAAATTATAAAGCGACAGGAACAGGAATTATATGAGCTTGAGTAAAAAATAATGTAATTTGAGATTTAGGAAAAAGAATTACACAATGATATATGTTTACTTGACTAAAAAAAATAAAAATTGTATAATGATTAGGATGATTATACCTACTACATGAATAAAATAGTTATACCTTCACCCAAAAAGAATGAAAACTTTGTAATCCATGAATAAGTGCATGATGAAGAAACATACAGAAGCCTTTAGAGAAAATCTAAGGCTCATTGTACAGAACAAATAGAAGAAGACTTAGAGGAAATGATGTACACCAAACCCATTTATGGTAAAATAGCTAATTTATTGATAAGTTTATATATTTTTTTAATAACAAAAGGTGATAATAGTAGTAAAAAATGGCTTTCAGAAGAAAAAAACTATTCTAAATCTACAGAGAAACTTTAATAAAATCATTAAGAAGATTATAAGACAGAATTTGATTATAGTGATGAATAAAAATCTTTTCAAGGTAAATAAAAAATTAATCAAAAAAATAGTTTCATTCATTCACAAAATGGTTATGAAACTGATGAATTACACAATAATAATTAATAAAATGAAGGTGAGATCACTCGAAATTAAAATTCTTAAATTAAAATCAAATCAACTGAAAAAAAATGTTGGTAAAATAATTAATAAAATAGTCAATATGATAATTAATAAGATGAACTCTGTAATAATTAATAAAATTAAGAAGATATTTATTAAAATAATTCACAAAATAAGTCGTTTTAAAAGAAGCATTAAAGTCCTAAATCAGTTGAAAAATAAAATACTCCTAAAATTTTTAAGAATAGTCAACAAAAAGAGCATACTAACTAAAATGATCAATTATAGAATAGCGAAATTGATTGATTAAGTAATTAATAAGTAAAAAAAAGTTAATTATCCTTTAATTCTGTTAAAATTAATTTTTAGACGTCAACATTTTTATGTAATAATAAATAAAATTTTAAAATCAGCGTCTATTAAAGTGCAATAAATAGCAACATTTGTAATCTTGATGATTTTTATTATTAATTTCTAGACTTATCTTATAGAAAAAGTAAAAAAATATTTAAAGATATAATAAAAACTCTAACTAAGTTAATTAACTAAGAATTATATCTATATCAAATTTTCCAACATCTTTTTGTAAATAAAAAAACTAATTTAATTTTATAGATTTACATGTTTATGGCTTTGATTTAATTTTAATAAAAATAAATGAAAAATCATAATTTCCTTACATAGTTTTAGTAAAATATATTGATTAATATTTCAAAAAATAAATAAAATTTATATTTGTTGTCTTAGGTGTTAGTTGTTTTTTTAAAATGTGTATTAATAATTGAATATTTTAATGAAATTTGTTGTATTAAAATTAATTAAAAATAATTCACTTTAAGTTAAAAAGGAAGAAAATATTTCATAAAAAACTTATATTAAGAAAAAAATTTCAAACTTTTTGATATTTGGCTCAAAGAATTAAATAGATCAAAATTTTTGATAATTATAAATAATTTAATATTATTTTTACCTAATTTATCATAGGGATTTAGAGCGCATATAGGTAATACTGATTAATCAATCAATAAAACTGGCATCAAATTGCTTTATGTATGGAGGTAAAAATGGAAAAAGAAAATTAATTACAGGTAAGCAGTACTTATCTGCTAATTAATTTGTATTTTATGTGATTTAATGCTCTTTGATTTCTTTTTTGGATTCAATTTTTGATTTTTGATTTCATAATAAACATTCATATATCAACCATGCAACATTATTTTTTACTGTTATTTGTCATTCAAATATATTCGTATTTAGGAAACCTCATTGCAAAGTTCTATTAAGTAGTCTTCTTAAAGACCACTCACTGTATTTCCTTCTCTTAATTCAAAGGTGCCAAACTTAATTGAAAAAGCTTAGAGCAGTAGAAGCTCAGGAGGCTCTAAAAGTGAAGACATTTGTGAGAATTGCCAAAAAACAAAAGTTTGTATTTAACAAAAATGCATCGAAAGTTAAGAAGTGAATTTTTGCTGCGAGAAGTGCTATAAGAAGAAACATGCAGATCATTTTAAGGATTTTGTAATTGATATATCATCAATAGATTCATAGATCCGTAAACTTCATTAAGAAGTAATTGATGGCCCTTTATTTCGCTTAGCCACAGATTTAAAAGAGATGTTTAAAGATTTTAATGATTTTAAAAAGCTATTTCCGTAAATATAAGAAATACCTATTGTTGAATTTGCTTTACATTCTAAAAGAATTAATTAAGCTAATGTAAAGTAATAAAAAGAAGATTATGATAAAATGAGAAAAGAATCTATTAAAAATGCTATTAAGATATCAAAAATTGAAAAAAAAAGTTCTAAGTTAAAACTTCATATTGACGAGATAGAAATAGAGAATAACACCTTCGCCCTACTGAAAAGATACGAAGATATCATATAGCAACAGTAGCTCAAGCTAGATGAGTTCAAGGAGAGAACAAACAAAATATTTTAAGATATCAGAAAAGCTATACCTCCTACCAATAATGTTTATTATACTTCTTTGGCTATTGGTAGTAAACCAGTTAGATTCTTGGAAAAGGATACAACATCATTTTAAAAAGAGAAGAACAGTTTCTAAAGTAACAATAATTATAATTCTACTCAAGAAAGGGATGACGAACTATTAAGTTATAATAATAACAGTACTTTAAATAGTTATAATAGCAACAATAACAATAGTTTTAATAATCAATAATTTAATTTCAATAATCAATTGAATCAACATGGCTAACTAATAAATAGTAGTTCTAGTTTAATGATGGTTTCTCAGGTTGAATAAAATAATATTTTCAATAACACTTAGGTAATTAAAAAGGGAGTTGAAAATTTAGAAAATAATAATCAACCATTCATATATTAAAACTAGTGCTATAGTAATAGTATTAGTAACTAGAGATTTGACAGTAATAGTAATAGTAAAAGGTTTACAAGTGATATTTTAAATTTCTAGCCTTTGCTTGAAAAATAATTATAAGATTAGTATGAACAATACACTCAATAAAAATTAGAAGCCATAAGCTAAACTGGCCCAAATAGCAATCATAAACCATTAAGCAGAAGTGTAAATAATTTATTTAGTGAGAGTAACTAAAATAATAACAGTATAAGCTATAGCAATTCTAACATAGATCAACTTAGATCAACTCCTTATAAATAATAAAAAACTTAAAAGAAAATCAATGAATATTTTGTTTCTAATAAAAACCCTAAGGGCTAAGTTAAACAAGAAGAGTAAAATCAAATAAAATAAACTCTCCTTTAAGATGAAAAGTTTATTTAATAGCAGCAATAATAACTTCTTTTTTACTAATAGTAAAAGGACAAATAGATACAAGATTAATAAAAACTTCAAGCATAAAAATAATTATTACAAACTATTTAACCTAATAAATAGAATAACACCATTTAGCAAGAATTTTAAAATTTATAAAAAAAGTAGTAGTTATAGCTGCAATAGCAATAACATCAGTTGCTATTTAAAAATCAATCAATATAGCAGTAGTAGTAGTAACAGCAACAATAGCCTGACGTTCAATAAATACCTGTTTTAAAGCAAGAGTCAGTAGGTTAGAAATTAGAAACCAATATTTTGTTACCAAATAAAAAAGTTGATAATGTATTTATGAAAAATGATGCTTTTCTAATAGACGAACTAATGAAGTTAACATAGTCAACTGTTTACACATAAAATGAAGACGAAAACGATTTAAGAAAATCACCTTCATTTTAGGCATTTACAAACTCATAGCTCAATTCATTCCCAAACAACAAATCTTTAACAGATAGTTACATAAAGGATAAATTAATTACAAACTAAATTATTATTGAAGAATCATAAGAATCAAATACAAATAAATTTAAGTAACCAACTGTTCTAAATTCATTAGATCTTCTCTGTTAGGAATAGCTTTCAGATGTTAATGAGTAAAGTAATTCAATTTAAATAGAAGTAAATGTTAGCGATTAAAAATAAACAAAACAGTCAGAAATAAATATTAATTAAACAAGTTAAAAACAAAAACCGAATATTATCTCTATACCTTCAACTTCATCTCTTTCTTCTGTTTCAAAATAAGAGGTAAATGAAGCAAAAGTGTTCTATCAATAAACATTTGGAGCTTAACCTGATTAGCCTAAGGAAGATTAATAAATTGCCCCTTCGTAAGATTTTTATTGTTGGGAAACTATGACAGATACATAAAATAAAGATAAAAATAAATGATAGAAATGAATTCCTTTTACTTTTAACATTTTACCTCTATCTTCAAAAGATAAAAAATCCAACATTGTGAGGGATGTCATTTTTAAAATATTTTTTAAGAATATCAAAATGTTTGAATCAATTAGTATTTTAATAATATATTACTTAACACATATAAACTAAGTAAAGATTTATTAATATACTATAACTCCTCATTAATTAATGGAGTCCTCCTCTTATTTTGGGGAGCTACTTTGCAGTCCTTCTATCTTTCAAATAAATTTTTCAATTCCTTAGGATTATTTTATGAATGATTAGGGTATATTTTTGTTGTTTAAACACGTTTTATTTTTATATATTGATTTATTAATATGATTAAAAATTTTAAAGTTATTGAGTAAATATCTATTTAAATATATATATATATATATATTTACGGTTTGATAGATTGACTTATGACCATTTGTTTTCCTCAAAAACAATTAATTAATTCTAATTTATTTGAAAATATAAAATAATTTAAAGTAGTAGACTTAGTTTCAATAAAAATTAGATTTAAAATTTGATTTATTTTTAATTATAAATGTAGTTTATATGTTACTAATTAAAAGAAATATTTAAAACAACAAACAAACAAACAAATAATATATATGTTAATTGTTATACTATTAGTTAAATTTTTATACCTTCACATAATTAAAAATTTAATGAACTACTTTCAAAATAAATAAAAATTTAAAGGTAAAGAAAGATCTGTGAAAGTAGAACCTATAATTTTAAATTGATAGACTAAAGCTTTTATTTATTTAAATAGACTTTCTGAAAAGTTGTTGGATTTATCTCAACTTAAAATTGATTAATTAAAAGCAAACAAAATATAGATAGAATAAAATCAATAATAAAATAGGTATTAAAAATGGATGATAAAACCTTTTAGCAGTTGTCTCCATCTTAATCTTAAATATGGAGTCTCCCATCTTAAGCTGTCTCTATGATAGAAGACTTTGTTAGCGATTTAAATGCTATCAGAAAAAAAGTGTAGATAGGAGAAGCCTAAGTTTTAGTAAATATTTATTTTTTTGTTTATTAACGGTAGTCCTACTTTCATTAAATAAATTTTTTTTATGATTTTAGAAAAGAAGAGTACCAGGGAAAAAAAATTTAGGAATATCATTAGATAAATCAAAGATGCTTAAAACATTAATGGTATTTTATTTACTTTTACTTTTAATAAGCATTTTAGGTTAATCGAAGTTCAGCAAAATGATAGATAGATTAACAAGAATAAATAATTAACATCAAGAATAAAATAAATTTATTAGAACTGTAATATTAATTGATAATAATGTAATAAATGTTTAAAAAATAGTCATTTAAAGACTCACCTGACACTACAAACTAAGATATGATCGATGAACTATAATATTCTAATTCACCTGATATTCGACCAAATATTAAATAATTTACAAACGAAGTAGAAATAATATTGATTAATCATAATTATTTTATATTGATATTCATTTTTATTTCCAATAGATAGATAAGCAACTCAGTAAAAATAAAAATATGTCATCTCCAGATATCTAAAAAGCTTTAAATCAATCTCTGATAAAGGAAAAAAAATCCTTTAACTTAAATTCTCCTTCTAATTCAAGTTCTTTTTATAAAAACTCTTCTCCTATGGGAGCTAATATGTCAAACTGCTCCTTTTTAAATTATTCTAATTTATCATTGAAATAAACCACATCTAACTAAAAAAAAAGTACATTCAAAAGAAACTAAATACTTTAGCCAATAAAAATTTCTAAAAAATTGATTCAATTTACTGAGGAGAATGGCGAATTAATCAAAATTAAGATCGAAAATTTAAAAAATTATAAAAGCTAACCTCTACATGTATTCGATGAGCAAGGTTTTGAAAAAGATGAAATTGAAGAAAAATTACTTGAAGGTTTAATTATAGATGGATTTTCTAGATGGAAAGAAAAAAATGGAGAAATTAGCTGGAAAGCTTGCTAAATTTTAAGCTACAATCATGAAAAAAAGCTTTATAAAATATAATGGTTAGAAAACGAATAAGTGAAAGAAGTAAATTTATTTCAAATAAAAATAGAAATTTAATGATAAATTTAGGTAACAAGATTAAATTTAATTGTTGATACAGAAAGCTTAAGCGAATCTCAATAGAGAGAGGAGAAGGCTTACAGTAGAAGATAGTAGCAACTATTTAATGAGAGCTTAGATAGTAAATATAACTAAAGCATTCATATATTATTAATTAATTATTTGATGAATAATAAAATAGATTTAGTTCAATCATCTTCAAAGAATATAGACATTCTAATGCGCAAATAAATTTTGTAAAACATCATCAAGAAAACTTTTGACATATTAGGGGAAGAGTCTAAAAATGAATATATAGATATAACAATCTATAGGATTGTAGAATAATATAAGTTCAATGTTATTAGATTCTAAATCGCTATAGGTACTGTAGCTTCTCTTAACGAGTATTATATGAAATATATTCCTACCTGTTACTATAAGAATGTAAGGCAAAAAAGATTAGAACTCGTTTTAGACTAAACTCTAGAATACATAAGCTAACCTTCTAGAGCTAAGTTGTATCAAAACTCAAAAAGTAGATTTTCTAATTACACATCAGATTCTTCTTCAGTTTCTTCTCCTTCTCCTAGAAGTTCTTTAGGATTTTCACAATAAATTTCTGTTATTTCTTAAAAATCATGGAGATCAAGAGTAATTTCAAACTCTTCTACACCTAAAAAAAATAGTGATGACGGATTCTATTTCACTGAAGATTAGGATGCAGTTAAGGAGGAATTTAATGAGGAAAATGAAGAAAGTGAAATCAGAAGTAGACAAAACTCAAATCTATCTGCTATAAATTTATTAAGAGTTTCTACAATCAATAAGGTTAAGCATAATCCTGAAACTAGATTCTAAGATTTAAGAGCTTACATGCACAAAAACTTGTTAGGAACTTCTCAAGTTTAGCTATTATAAGACATCAATGGCGTTTATCCTGTCATAATTTCCCTAATAGACTACATTCAAAATCTTTAGCATTTTAGAATTTATTGCCCCTTTAAAACAGTGCTAAATCAGCAATACAGTGATCATAATTAGCTATTTAATTGTAAATATTTTTTTTTTTCACCATTTGAAAACTTAAATTGATGTTTATTTTATATGAAGACCTTGAAGAAAATTTTTTGAAGGAAATCAATAAAATTGAGAATTTAATTTATAAAACTGAGAAAACAATAGACTATCTTAAAAGAGATTTAGAATTAATAGCTAAATAGAGAATTCAAAAAATGCTAGGGAGTAGGGAAATCCCTCCTTTCGATTAGATTATCAAACAATTCTTAGAGAATCTTCATAAATTTTGCAACAATGTTCTTAAAAGTAATTTAAATATCACCATCAATGAATCTTTTACTGATATTCTTGAAATGTGGGATAGCTATTTTCTGACTATACCTTTGCCCCATACAACTCCTAGACTATTTAATAAACTCCCCTATTTGATTAGACACAGAAAATAATAAATTATCTTGAAGACTAGCATTCCTTCACCAGTAAAGAATATTTTGCTTTTATCATAATATTTTATTTTTTTATAAAAATTTTCAATTTCCTAAAAAAAATTACAAATTATTTAATTCAAAAAAAATAATTTTAAAAAAAATAAAAAACTTTTCTTATTTGAATAAAAATTTAAGAGTTTGTTTTTGTGCTATTTTAAATTTTAATTTGAAAAAATTATTTCAAAATTTGTAAAAAATAAATAATTTTTTTTACTTGTATTACTTAAAGCTAAGCGCAATTGAACTTGTTCATGAAGATAACATTGAAGAGAAAGACTATAATGCTTTTAAATTTGATTGCACTATAATATTTGATATTTATTGTGAAATTATTTAGAGAGCAATACAAAGAGAAAATATGGATAGCTTTTTATTTTAAGGAAACCCTAATTTAGACCCTACTCCTATTTGCAAGTTTTAGCTTAAACTTTCTAAATACAGAAAGAATCCTCCGATTAGATACATGTTTCATTACTTTATGAGGTGCAGAGATAAATTATAAAGCTCATATGAATTACTAACTAATCCTCATGAAAAATGCATTATAGGAGATAAAACAAGACCATGGAGACCTAGATATAAATCTGAAGACTAATATTAAAACTAGCTGTAATATGTAATGTACGATATTTTGAGACTGAATAACAAAGATACTCTCTTTTATCAAGATTATTTAGATAAGTGTAAAAACAAAGAAGTTAGTTATAAAAGACTTGTAATTAAATTAAATTGATGATATTTAACTTTATTTAATAATTAAAATTATTTTTTAATAATATCAGGGTTGGTTTGATACTAAGCATATGAGGATAAATATTGATCCTACTCTTGAACACATGGAAGAAAAATTAAATAAAATTTTACAGTCTCCAATCAACAAATTTAAATCTTTATAAAAGATAAATGGATTTCTGCACAACGAAGGGATAGAATGCGTTGATGAAATTCTCTCTAATAATGAATTATTCAACTCCCACTTTAATGAATTTTTAACATGGAATTATTACACTATATATTCAATTCTTATAGTTTTTAATTAATTTGATTTTTATCTTTTTGAGAAAGATTATTTTGATGAGTTGCTAGAAATATTTGATAATACTTCCTAGGTTCAGTTTATGGAATAAGAAAGGAAAAAATTACTTTGGGATAAAGATTTTATCCTTAGACGTCTACCAAATGTCTTTAAAGTTGGTTTCTTCGAAATCGACACACTAGAAATAAAATAAATAATTGTCAAAAAAATCGATCAAAATATTAAAAAAGCAGAATAAGCTATTACTGAAAAATTCTGTTTTCTTCTTAATAAGTAAATAAACAAAATAAATAAATACTATTTTATTTTTCTTTTTATAAATACAAATTTATTAAATTTAGAACAAATGAAGCTTTTAAAGAAATGTCATCTATTTTATCAGATGATCCTAATACCATAGAGAAATATATAGATTTAATGACATTCTTAAGTCAAAAAGACTTAATGAAAAAATGGTAGATATGGTAGCAAAACTTGAAAACAATCAATCTGTTGTATAACATTATGGAAGACAATTATATAAAAATAAATTTGAAAGAAAATACAAGTGAAGATCTTCAAAATGAAATATTAGCAACATATCTGGAATCACAAAATTGGTTAAGGAATTTGATAATATTATTCTAATAAGCAAACGAAAAGTTGAATTAGAGAAAATCTCACTTTTAATCAAAACTTGATGAGTTAAAGCAAGTTTTACTTCAGGTAAGAAGATTTTTTAGTTTTAATTTTAATATTAATTAAAAAATTTGATTATAGAAATTCGAAAATGCAAAAGAACTTGTGGCTTAGTTTAAGACATTGAATAATCTCAAAAGTTGCGAGATGATATTAAGGAAATGTAAAGAAATAGAAGATATCTTAAAGCAGATTGTGAATGAAGGAGAATAAATAAATAAAAAAGAGTTAATTTTAAGTAAATAATTTAAATTTTTCAAAGTTATTTTATTAAAATTTTTAAATTTAGATTACCCACTTTCAGATTTCAAAATATTCTCTACTTTCTTAAGTTAATTTGAAGGTAGTTTATAATTCTGGGAATTTGCAGAAAAATGGTTCAGATAATCAGAGGGATGGTTATGTTTTCCATTTGAGAGATTACTAAATGCACAAAATGGAAATGCTTAAGAATAATTAAGGCTTGAAATTCTTGATTCATGCAGAGAGGGTAGTTCATTGATGCTAAAATTAGAAAAGCAGATTGAAGCCTATAAAGATTAATAAGAAGAGTAAGAAGAAGATGAAGAATACTAAAAAATGTTTTTGGATAATATTTAAACTATTTAAAGAGAAATAGATGATCTTAATCTTTATCTTCCAATCATAATGATGCTTTTAAATAAATCATTTAAGGAGTCTTACTGGACTTAGCTACTTAACGAAATATATGTAAATGAGAGCATTTATTTTGTTTTTACAATTAAAATAATAATTTTTCTAATTAGGGTAAAGAATCTAAAGTAAAGCCTCATGAGTTAACTATAGAAATACTAAAGAGAGATAATATTTTAAGATATAAAAAATTCATATATATTTTGTTCAATAAATCTCAGTAGGAACAAAAATTGTATGAGGAAATAGAAAAAGTAGAATACCTTATTATGGAGTGCATGCCTAAAACTCAAACGGCAAAAAACGCTGAGTACCCAATGCATTACTATGGGAATATATCTCACTTAAAAGTGAAGTTAGATGAGCTCAACTTCAGCATTATTTATCTCATTTCTTAATTTGACAGCAATGAGAAATTAAAGTTTATTTAGAAATATGTGGAAGAACTCAAAAGCATGTTTGAAAATATGATTCAAATTCAAGAATAATTGATGGTTTATAGTCCATTTTTTGGAATATTAACTGACTTTTTACCAGACACTAAATACGTAACTAACTAATTAATTAATAGTCTTAAAATGTATTTAATTAAATATACACTTTAAATAATCAGATAAGAACTAAACTAAGAAACATGAATTTAAAAATCAAAGAAGAGTTCAAGAAAAAAGCTTTACAATCTAAAAATTTTGTTTAAAAAGTGATTGATCCTAAGGAACTCATAAAGCTAAGTCAGTTAAAAAAGGAAACCGATCATCTCTTAGATTCAACTATGCAACTTAAAAAAGAAGTAGAAAATTTTATCAAAACGGTTAGAATTTCTCATCCTCGTTTCTACTAACTCTCAGACACAGATATTTTTAAAATGATGAGTGCAAATTTTAATATTGTAGAGCTCAAACAATACATAATAGAGTGTTTTTCTGGAGTTAAAGATGTATTCTTTGATATTAAAGATGAGAACTATTTTGTGGTAGAATATATTACAAACTATTACAACGAATTCATCTACCCTCTTGAAGTATTTATTCTTATTTTTTCTTTATTTTTTGTTGAAACAACTTGAATAGGTTATGGGTAATAAAATGAATTGCTAAATAAGCAATAATAAAGTTAAATTACAATTTAAAGATTTAGAATATTTTTTAATTATAAAATAATAAAATTTAAATAAAAAATTTTAGAATAACGGTTTTTTAATTTAAGAATAAATTTTTATAAATTAGCAAATAAAAGTATCTAGAATTCCTAAACTATAAGGAGGAGCTTTGTGTTGTAACAGCAATAAAGGTTAGCTTCCTATTACTTTAATTGTTAAACAAATAGAAGAATGTCTGTAGAATAGAATTAAAAAGAATATTTTTTAGAATATTTTAGGTGTTTCTTCTTGCAACTATGATTATCAAAATATTTGGAAACTTTACTAAAATAAGTAGGTTTATTTCTAAACTTTACTTGTTTCGATTGACGTCTCATTCTACTTTGACCTTTCAATAATACTTCACCATTAATCATACGATCAAGAATAGCAACAGGAAAAATTAGAAAATTAATATAAATAAAATGAAATTAAGTAGGAAAATGCTTAAAGATAATCAATTTAAAAATAAGAAGTTAGTGCTAGATCAAGTTATAGGTAAAGTAAACTTACTAGGCCTTCTGTTTTGGTACCATAAGGATTTAATTTTAAGAGAGACTCTAAGTACATGAATATTTAATTTAGTAAATTAAGCATAGACAATAAACTTTCCTTATTCTTAAAACATATGCAAGAAGAATAATAGAAATTCTTAGATTTTATTAAGTTAAAATCGCGTGCATTTTCATCCAAAAGCAACATGTAACTTGTAAACTAAATAATTCTACAGTCTATTAGCTAAAGAGAGATTATTTAATATCTCTAAAAAGAAAAAATATCTGACATTAACTGCTTCGAATATTTAGCCCTTCCTAAATTTACTTTGAACTGTAAATTGCTGCAACAGCAATAAGAAGAATTTAAAAGCATCTTAGAAAGCGAATTTAACATAGTTTGTGAAAGCTTCGAGAAGGTTTATGAGAATTAAAATCTTCCTTAAATTTCTTCTAAATCGCCATTTTTTAACAATTTAAAAAGCAATAAAAACTCAACAATTAGCATGATATGCATGAATTATTAAGTAAATATATATATATAATTAATAAACATATTATTTAATCTTTAAATTTAATTAGATTGATTATGGATATGAATTGACACCAGAAATTAAATATTTCATTTTGTGTCAAAGCACCTAGAGACTATATTGCTAAATTATGTCTTGCATATCTATGTTTAAAGGTTGTCTCTTCGTATCAAACGAATAAGGTATGTGTAAGATTAGCACAATCAATTCGCTATCAATAATATTGGCCAAGCCTTTTTTGCAAAAGAATTATATTTCTGATACTGATCCAGAAACAATAACAAGATAATATGCAGGAGCAGCATAAGGAGGTAATTTTTATAAATTTTAATAAATAATTTTAAGCATTTTAATTTTCAAAAGGATTTTGGGTACATATTTAAAACTTAGATTCAACTGACTCAAATGCTATTTCTCAAATAGCTTCAATCTATAATTTAATAAAAACTGCTATGATTGAATAAAAATAAACTTTAGAATTATAAAATTACACAATATAATTAAATCCTGACTTTGCTTTATTTGCTTCATATTAAAGCAAACAATTTTTCAATTAAACAAGAACAGATTATTTGAAGTATACCTAAATTCCATAAACATTTTTAGATTAATTTAGGGTTGTAGATTATGCTTCAATAGATTTATCTTTTGTATCTCAATGCTATCTTACTTTAATAGGGTAAATTAATTATTTTTTTAAATCAAATTAATTTATAGATTGTATTTAAAATATTAACTATAAATAGAATAACTGAAATTTAACAGTTTTAAATGTAATTTAATTATTTCATTTCAGCCTTATGTTAAAATTTCTTTGTGAATTTTGGAAAAAATGTATCATAATCTAAAGAAAAAAACGAACTCTATTCAGTTTTGCTAAGTAAAAATAGTTTCATAAATATTTATCAAATCTGCATTGAATTTTAAAGACAAAGATTAGAAGTAGATGATTTTATTTAGCCAGTTGATGCTTTATAGGCCTCTATTTTATAGTATCTCAAGTAAAATAATTTTAGTTTGATAAAAAATGTTGTACTAACTTAATTAATAATTATTTAAAGAAATTTGCTTGATGATTAGCAAGTTGAAATGTTGAATTTTTTATGGGAAAGCTTTTTCCCAACCTAGTAGAAATCTATGTCATCATAATTTATTATAGACAATCCAAACAATATAGATTTTTTTAGAGAGTATTTCTAAATTAATAAGTTAGAACTTCATGAAGAATTCATTTAAAGAGCTAATGGTCTCCTTAACTTTGTGAATCAGAAAAAAAATATTATTTTAGCTGGAAAATCTGGATTTGGAAAACATACTTTAGTAAAAGTATCAGCTTTTGTATACTCAAGGTATAGCAGAATTATTTGTTTTATAAACATTTTAATGTAAATATATTAATTAATAGAATGAATGAGAAAGACTTTTTAGTTAATTATATTCCTGTAGAAAGCCTTGACAGTTAATTCTTGATAGGTTCGTTCAATTAAGATTAATAATATGAAGAAGGTTTTTTAAATAAGCTTTTTGACACTGTTAATTATGATTATGAAAATCTTATAGAAGAAAAGAAAAATATTTTACTTTCAAATGAAGAAATATGCTGCTAATTTTCAAAGAAAAAAATTATTGATAATTAAACAAATAAATTATTAACAATTCCAAAAAAATAAAGAATAGTTTAGAAAGGAGACTGGTTTGTTTTTGATTGTGGATAAACTATTTATAGTGAAAAAATTAAATTATCAGAGGTTCTTCTCGATTCAATAGACGATAATATGTAATTCTTTATTTAAAAATATATTATTAAATTGAGTTTCCACATTAAATTAAATAAATAAATAAACTAGGTTGTATCTACCTAGTGGCATGACAAAGAAGATAGATTCAGAAAATCTTAATTTCTTTTTTTTTGAGAATTTGAGCAATATATCCCCAAGAACTATATCTAACTATAGCTTATTTATTTTAAACTAAGAAGTTTTCTCTATTTAGGAAGAGTTTTAATCTTGGTTAAATAAAAAATGCCAAATATAACCTAAAGTTGAAGCTTATATTCCTTACATTTAGTGTGTCTTTAGCAATCTAGTATTAAAATGTTTAGAGTGGTTGGATGAAAATAGATAAAAAAATGATTTATTTGTTTACTTTACTTCTATCAAACAATGCTTCTTCAATTTTTTGAATATCTTTGAAATTTTGCTTAATGAAATAAGAAAAAGAGATATATCCTTAGGACTATTTAATTACTCTGAACTTAGTGTAAAAGAAAGAAAAATGACTCCTGATCCTATTCTCTTAAGAAAAGTATCAAAATCATAAGACGAGTAAAACTTATTTTAAGTGATAACATGCTCGGCATTCAATAAAATTACCAATGAAAGGTAAAATTAATTAAATTTATTTTAATGAAAAATATTTAAAATCAAATAATTTTAAATTTAGGACTATGTTTTAGATAGAATCTATTTATACTATGAGTATTCTCTATGGATTATGCAACTGTTTAAATGATAATGGAAAGAATTAATTCTGTGAGTATTTAAGCATAGTTATCTAAGAATACTGCTGTAAAGATTTCAAAAGGCAATTTAACAATGTAGGATTTGCATTTGATTTGATGACAAAAATAGTAGGCGCAGAAAAGGAAGATAATATTTTCAATTATTTTAATTACTGTTACAGCTAAATGGATTTAAAATGGATTGAATGGAGTAATATTTAACTGTTAGACAATATCGATGAAGTCTCAAATGACTTCTCTTAGAATGTACTCAATCCGAGAGAGTTAGTCAGATTAAATCCTATGGCTCTTGAAATAGAAGAAATTGCTAACTATATTGATAATAAGCAAGATTATAAGATGACACAATTTTATAATTTTACATACTTTGAGACTCCTTCTTCTAAGATTTAAAACTATTTTATTGATTTGAGCTTGGCTTACAACAAAAAAATGCTATTTTGCAGTTAAAGGGGGCAGGGAAAAACTACACTAATAAAGAAGTTTATTAATAGATTGTACAAAAAAAACACAAATTCTGTATTTGACTTCTCAACTTCTTCACCCATATTTAGTAATTTTTTTGTTTTTAAATTAAAATTTTTATGAAAAATATTAATTAGACATTGCTAAATTTTAATCTATGATGGAATAAAAATTAAGACCTAAATTTCTCTAATTAAATCCTCAATAACATTAGAGCCTATAAACAAACGGTTTAAAGTAGATTAGTTAGATTAAAAATTACATATTTATTGATGATTTAAACTTTGGATAAACTATGAAAGAAAATAATGATATCCTCCTCCAAATAAAGAGTTTAATAAGGTTTAAGGGATGGTATAATTATAGCACGTAAATTTTTATTAGAAATATTGAAGTGATAAATTAATTTAAATAATTTTAATAAGAAAAACATTTAAGAGGTTTAAACAATTTTCTTTACTATCTGCTCTTTCTATAGACACAAATAACTTAGTAAATCTGTTAGACCAAAGTGTGTGTCAAGTGCCTTAAAAAATTATCTAAAGATCACTCATACTTTATTTAAATAGCTTAAATGAGCAAGATGTCACTACCATATTTAGTAAGCAGATTGATTCACTTTTCAATACAGAAATAAATCTTACAAAAAATGATCAAGTTATGATTGAATGCTGGAACAAATTTTCTCTTCTTATTTTTAAAAACCAGGATTTGCTAAAAAAAGTAAATAAAATTTGTTTGGTTTTGATTTAAATATTTATGTTCATTTTTTTTTTTGAAAAAATAAGCTAAGAAAAACATATCACAGTAATATTGGACTTTAAGAAGGTTTGAGTATAATTAAATACTTTAATAATTTTGAGTTTATGCATAATGGAGAAGTTAATTTAGGAGATTTTTTAAAAGGTTTCATCTTCTTATTTAATAGTTTCTTTTGTGATAGCTTTGCTTCTAACACTTTAGCAATTACATCTAAAATTGATTTTAGCCAAATCCAACAAAAAAATTTCAGTTTTATAACTGATAGCACAATCGATGATATAGAAGAAGGAAAACAGCCTACTTTATTTGAGCTTAGTGATTTAGTAACTGATTCTGATGATTCAGACTCGTCTTACCAAGTTGATAATTAGGATTAAAGACAAGCAAATAATTCATAATTAAATTAAAAAGATTAATAAGATATTAATATCCAAATAGATTAAATTTAAGATAGTAATGTGGCCCAATAAGTTTCGCTATAAAATATAAATTTTAGAAAGAAAAGCAATCTATTAAACAATCCTACCAATCCTATTTCTCTAAAAGTAAATAAATTAAAATACAAAAATTTTAATTATCAATAAGTTTGGCTTGTTTTTTAGAATTTAAAAGTTTTTTTAATTTTATTCAATAATAAACATAGGATAATGCTATTAAATTTATTCTTTGAAATTAAAAAAAAAAATTAATACACAGATGAATTAATATTTTGTATAAAATAGTCAGAAACGGATGCAATAAAGGAGAGATCAAGAGAAAATTCATTAAATAATAGCATAAATTCTAGAAATAATATTTAATCTAGTTTAAATATTAATAACAATCCAGCTTTAGAAAGTATAATATTTACAGTAGAAAAAAACAATAGCTTGAAATTAATAGAAGAAAAAGAGAACCAAAATGTAAAAGAAAGCAAAGATCCATATTTTAAGCTAAAAAGAAATTATAATAAAATACCTGATTACTTAATAAGCTAGCTTTTGATCAAAATATTACAAAAGTATTTTAGCTAAGAACAAATAGAAAAGTGTATCAAAGAAAGAAATCAAATAAGGTTTGTTTGTAGAAAATTATTTGAAAGCTATAATAGCGATGGTTCTAAAAAGAAAGAGTAATTTGAAAAGGCAGATAAATAAATAGAAATTCAAAAACAAAAATAAAATGAAAAAAGCTAGGCAATACAAAGAAAAAGTATATTTGCATGGCAATAGTAAAAATTTATTTTACAAACAACATTTTTATTTTAACATAAAATATTTTTAAATATAGAAATTAAGGAAATGCCGATCCTGCTAGTAGGACATCTGTAATGAATTTCGTTTCCATGCAGAGAAATAGCAGTTAATTCTAAATGAGAAGCAGCTTTGGAAATTCTTAATTTTATATACCTGATTCTATGCTTTAGATAGACAAAAAGACACTTCAATAATTAACTGAGTAATCTTTGAGTTCTGAGTCTTCACTAGAAATGGAAGGAGATAATTTTGTACTAATCAACAAAGATAATACTAATAAGCTCAAAAACATTTATATAGCTCAACTGGCGGACTTTTATTATAATTAGTTTAATGTTTCTGACAATCAAAATTAAACTAGTAATACTTTAATAACTCAAAGCGAAACTACAATTACCTCGTCTTTACTGTCAATAACTTCAATCACAACTGATTATTTTTTTGATTTAATGACTAAAATAAACTATTTCTTAGAATTGCCTGAAGCAAATATAATATTTGAATCTCAATTAACCCAGTAGTAGACACAGTTTTTTATTTAATATGCATGCAATTTAGTTGAATACTTCAAAACATCTATTCAAATATCTGAAATACCTTTAAAATCTGATGATTTACAAAAATAAGTCTAAGAAAAGCTCTCATCAATCTTCTCAAATGCAATAAGTAAATTAATTTTATTAAATTTAGAAAGAATTAAATTGTTTATTTTTAAATAGAATCGATGCTATAGCAAGAAGGCAAGAAGTCTATTGTAATTATTGAACTACCTTATTAAATATAGGCTAATAATTTGGCTTAAGATGAAAATAATATTTAAAGTAAATTAGCATAGTATATTTTAAGCTATTTAGTAATAATTCTCAAAAGTAGTGAGTTTTATTGCTTATTTGATAGAAAAGTTATTGCTGAAATGCATCAGATAGTGAAAAAAAGACTCGTCTTCTCAATTGAAAATTTTACTCACAGCTAAATATCAGCATTAATATTAAATGAAATGAAAATGAATTTAAAAATTGTTCTTGTGAATTATTAGTAAGGCAGCAAAATATTTCTTCCTTTTTATGAAACATACTAAGGTTTGTATAATGGATTTGTTAGAATATAATTCCCAAAAAATCTAAACCTTAAGGAGAAAGATAATAGCGCATACTTGTATCAGTCTTTGGTTGAATACTATAACTTTAAAAAACTTCTAAAATCTAATCAACCTTAAAAAAACCAAAGAGATTCTTTAGCAAATAATGAAAAATAGAGTTCTTAAATATTAATAAATGGATAAGAAATCAAGTAAGGTACTTCAAATGAATAAATGGAAGCTGGCGAACTCCTCTCTGCTGAAACTTAATAAGAATGCTAAAGATTTTTGGAATTAAATAGCTTTATGTAAAAATATTAGATTACAAAAAATTAAGGGCTCCAGTTTTCTTCCTCAAACTAAAACTTGTAGTGCATGATCTTTTTATTGATGAATGGATTTGAAAGAATTTTAAGTGCAAATGAGTAATAAATATGCTAATCTGGGATGTATAAAGATATAAATGATTTAGCTCAGAGAAATGAATAGCAAATAAATTAGCACAGCTAGATACTAGGAGTAACTATTAGCTAGATATAAAAGTAATACTAATTAATAAATGAGTAAAAAGAGAAGGATAAGCTTAATCTTTAAGAAAATAAAAATGCATTAGCTTAAAAGTAGAAAGAAAAAACTCAACTATCTAGTGAATATAGTGTTCTTTATGAAACTCTAGAGTGTAAAGCTTTAAAGTTGACAATTAAAAATTGTATAAATTACCTTTAACCAATTCAACCTCCTCAGTATAAAAAAGATATAGAAGTACTCATTCACAAAAAATCATAATCATATTTATATATTCTTGCGTTATTCCTTGATGTAGAATTCTATCCTGCTAAATACTTAGAAGAGGAACCAAAGGTTATATCAGCTCATAATCTTTTAGATTTAAAGTAACATTTTATTTTTTCTAAAAACCTAATTAAGTTAATTTATTTTACTTTATTATTAGAAGCAAAGTTTTAAATTCAAAAGAGCTTCCATATTTGCTAGATAAAATACAGGATTTCATAAAAAAAGATAATGAAAATTAATAAAAAGAATTTTTGTTTAATGTATTCGAGAAATATGACCATGAAAAAACAGATGTAGTGCAAGAGGTGATTTAGTAAAGAAATTTAGCATAAAATTCAAATTCTGCTCACAAACAAATGTATAACGATTACAGTTTAACTCTTCTTTATTTAATAGTTTTAATAAATTCAATCCATGAATAGCTTCATTTAGAAACTTAGTACAAGCCAAAAATGTAATAATTAAGAGAAAAAATTCAATAGAATTAATATAAGCTGAATTCCCTTTCTGAAGAAATTAGATAAACAGAAAGGTAAGTTAACCAAGCATTAGATTTTGAAAAAGTAAAAATGAAAGAACTGAACCAAGCTATAGAAGAAGAAAACTCTTTTAATGAGCAAGTTAATAAAATAAAAGCATTTTTAACTACAGTTAGAACAAGGGTTTTAAAAAGCTACTTAATAACACAGAATTACTTAGATACAGATTAATCAGTAAAAAACAAATAAGTAAAAATATTCTTTTAATTTATTTTCTAAAAATATTATTTAATTTTCTTATTAATTTAAATAATATAGATTTTAGGAATTGTAAATTACCTAGTTTTTATTTCTTAATATCCTAGTTCTTTAAGAATTAAATGCCTTGATTATTTGTACTACAATGATTGGATCATATTTTAATTCTTATCAAAGTACTTGACAACTACTTTGAGAGGTAATTTGTTTTATTCTAAATGCTACTCTACAAAGGTTCATATGTCTAATTTCTTGATCACTTAGCTAGCCCTTTTAGAAACATTTATATATGAAAGTTAGTATTTACCCTCAGTCGTTGTACTTGACAATTCTTAAGTGGTGCTAAATTATCTAGACTCCATAAAGGGAGTTACTATTTAAAAAGAATATTATACTACTGATACTAATAAATCTGATGAAATGAGTTCAATTATCAATGCAGTCTAATAGGGTTATATTTTAACTATTGTAGATCCTAACTAAAATTTAATTGATTCAATAAAACCTTTAATATAGCAAAAGTTTTTCTAGTGTTTTGAAAAAGCAGCTTAACAACATTTTAGCCCAAAAGAATAAAAAGAAAGTGATTTATTGATGTCTTAAATAAAAAACTAACAAAAAATGAAAAAAATTACATTGAATTTTAATAATTAAGAGTTGGAAGTTCATCCTAATTTCTAAATAATTATAATTTTAACTGATAAGGTAAATTTATTTTATTTTAAAATTTTTAAACTTACATAATAAATTTAAAAAAATAGAATTCAGTGTTAGATAGCCAAATATGTGATTAAATGGTTTGTTTAAATTGTTGTTTGGAAGGAGAAAATGAATGGATTTAGCATTTAAAAGATACTTTCTTAAACAATTTCGAGTACGAAACCAAATTAGCGTTAATTTAGTCTCATCAAAATAAAGTTTTGGATAGGCAAAAAAGCATAGAGAACTCTTATTCATCTATTAAGTAGATATTACAAAGATTTAAAATATCATCTGAGGAAACCTTACAAGAAGTTTTAAGTATAAATCTATAGCAGTACATGTTTACTTTGAGCTAAATATTTTCTCGTACTAATCCTGAAGAAGTCAATAACATAACTTTTTATAAGCATTTAAAATTTGAGACGAAATCTTATAATTTAAATAAGTAAAAATAAGAAAAAATGAAGATCCCAGTAAAACATTATTTTTCATTGTTAAAAAAAATTAATTATTTATATTTTATTATTTTAATAAGTGGAACGCTTTTAGAAGCTAAACAAAAAATTTAAGTAATTTATCTTTAGCAACTGTAAACTCATCTCCAATCATAGATTATGAAAATCTATTTAAAAATATATTCGTTAGAAAAAATTAAATTTAATTACAAAACATAAATAACTATGCTTACTTAATTGGAGGTTTAGAATAGCTATCTTACGAATATAATGAAATATCAGGATTTCTTTTTTTAATTAAGTAAGTTTTAGATAAGTTTAATCCCTAAATTGGTGTTTATTATGGATTCTCTGATTTCAATTTTATGAACCTTGTTGAACTTTCTATCCAATTTACATAAAGGCTTTCTCCAGAATTAAAGCCTAGATCGAGTTTCTCAAACTTCTTTAAAGTATTTTTCAATAATTTAATATAAAATTATATATATAATTCATATTAATTATATGTAGATTGAATATAAAATTTATTTTTAACATCTTAGAATATAAGTTTCTTTATGCTATAATCAATAAATTAAGTTTTGAGAGATGATCATAAAACTGCTATGCAGCTGTAATTAGGTTTGATAATTAACTAAATACAGAATAAGGCTCCGTAAATGAAGTGGGAAATGATATTAAGAGATAGTTTGTATGAAAATGACGAAGAAGAATTATATATAAGATCTACCGATCTGTCAAAGTGGTTTGACTTTTTAGATTTACAAAAATCTATTTTTAAAATATCATCACTTAATCTGTACAAATAAGAATAAAACTACAAGGATTTGAGTTTAAACAACCTTAAGTATTTAAACACTAAAAAATAAGTTTAAAAAAAGTAGAATAACTATTAAAAGTAATAGAAGCAGAAAAAATAATTATTGCAGTGCTCTTAAAAGATATTGTAGTTAAAATAAGAGTAAATTTCAATATTTTCTCCTTTTCTTTAAGCTGCTAATTTATTCAAATAAGATGATGAATAAAATTCTTTGCATAAACTATCTATTAATATTGGAGAGTCTTAGAGATTAAGCCAATAAAATGAATTAGTTAGTAATCTATTATTATTACAAAACTCAGATCAACAAATAGACAACAAATAAATAACTTCAATAATGTAAGATCTAAGTAACCCAGAAATAGATAAGTAAGGACAGACAGAATAATCAGGTTATAAAAATATTGTTTCTATTAGTAAGATAGATGATGATTCAAATAAATAAATAGAAAATGAAAGTAATGAATCAATAGATTAAATTATTTAAAACGAAGGCAATAAAATTAGTTCAAGCTAAGAAATTAAGGAGAGTACTTTTTAAGAGATTTAAGAAGGAAATTCTCTTAAAGAAATAATAGAAGATGTTGATTAAGAAGCTAAAAAAACAATATAAGAAGTGAAAAAAAGCAAAGTAATTTAAGAAACTGAAGAGTAAAGTGATTAAACTCCTGTAAGTAGCAGACGAGCTAGCCAATCATTTAGTGAAAGCAGTAGTAGCTCCAGTAGTAATTTAAATCAAAGTAGTAATAGTAGTAGTAGCAACAGCAGCAGTGAAAGCAATTTATCTGAAAAAGATGAAGTAGATGATAAGCCAATAGTTCAAAGAAATTAGAGTTTGGAGACAAGTAAAAGCAAAAGTCCATAGAATAAAGATCAATAACAGTTAGTTAGACTTTCTATTTCCAAGTAAAACTAGTTAGGAGTAGAAAGAAAGAGCATATTTTCTTCATCAATTAACAATCACTCAATGGCTTAACAAAAAAATTAAGTTTAAGCAACCAAGATAATAAAAGTAGCCAAACCTATATAAAATGAAGAACAAATTGTAAATTATTTTTTTAAATATCTATTTAATTTTATAAATCTTGATTCTCGCTCGAATTAATTTTTTTGTTAATAATTCTTAATTATTATTAGCAATAGAATATGTTTGAAAGAACTGTAGATTTCTGTATCTTTAATTTAGGAGGATTGATAAACATTGAGACAAAAATATTTTATGCTCAAGATAATAAACTAAAAAAATCAAATAATTCAAGCTTCCATCTCCACGAGGATCAAAAAATTGCTCTTTTTGATAAAGTTTTTAGTAGCTTTCTGAAGCTCCAATTAAACAAATCTAATACTCATTTGAAATCTAGCATATATATAGACTAGAGAGACTTTAAAAATATTACTCCACACAGTAAATTCAAGATTTGTAAAGGCAGTGAAGAATTCTAAGAAAGAAAACCTTTGAACAGGGTAGTCAGTGTTTTGTAAAAAAGAATCCATGAAAATTAATAACTTACCTAGGTAATATATTTTAAGTTCAAATACATTATAATTAATCTTTAAAATTAATAGGAGTAGAAAGAAACTATTTTACCAATTAAAATGGTCAATTGCTTGGTCAACTTAAGCAATATATTTTAATAAGAAACGAAGTTAGTAGCTACATTAAATAAATTGTTGTCTGATTAGAAATAGCTAGCTTATGAATTTGTCAGCAGATAGAACTCAACTATTAAGACATACAATAAGCTATTTAAGATCCCTAGGCTTAACGAGTTTAATCTTTTAAATCCAGTTGATACACTTTTACTAATAAAATGCCTAAAGCCTCATGAGCTAGAAAGTTATGCAAAAGATTTCTTTTTTTAAGTTTTTCTAGACAAATTCTAGCTTGCTTATTAAAAAAATTATGAGCATATCCTGAAACTGCAAATTGGATAGCATAATCCATTCATAATTATATCAGATCACAAAAACAACAAATCATTTTATAATGAGCTTGCTAATCTAAAGCTTAGAGCTCGTAAAAATTCATAGCGCTCTAATATATTTCCATTACATAGAATGATTTTGTGTAACTTTTAATTTAAAAGCTAAATTTAAGAAATGTAGGTATACTTATCTAAAGGTGCTTGGGTTTACATTGAAAATATTTAATATTTAAATTCTCAAAACATATTGCTGTTAACAAGGACAATAATGGAAGCGAAAGAAAAGGCGTAAAAGGCTACTGATACGAATTAATTTTTAAAAATATTTATAGAAATAAAATCAGACTTTGATAGATATGAGTAATTTTCGTTCTCAAATAAGAATTATTCAAAGGAAATTATATACTTGATGAACCAATCATACAAGATTTATTTGAATTAGGATTCGACTATATAAGAGAGCATGTCATCTCTTTTTGCAGATTAAATACTCAGATTTATTTCTGTCATGGAAGACTTAACTTATACAAATCAGGCTAAAATTAATGTCTTAGGAGGTACATTCTTAGATCCTTTGAGGACATCTTAGCTTTTAAAAACTTAATTTGATAATCCTTCAAATAATAGTCTTCTTCAAGAAATAAACAAAACAATTCATTTCTAAACCAAAGAATTAATTCTAAAAAAGTAAAAAGAGGTCCATTCAAGCATAAACATACATTCTTTAATCTTACCTTCTAAAGATTATACCAATCAATAGCTTATTAAAATTCTTAATTAAGGTTAGCTTAAAAATAAATATAACTTATTTTTCATGTTTTCTTGCTTAAGTTAGAGACAAAATATACTGCAATATTAAAGAAAGTATTACTAGCCAGAAACCATTAATTCTATTGATTCTAATTAGATTTAAGATACTGTGGAAGATATGATCAGATTAGTTTAGTCTTTCCCATAAAATCCATATATTTTCTTTAGTAAGTACTTAAATTTATTATTCAATAAAAATGGTTCACAAATAACGACAGATTATGGATAGGCTATTTAGTCATTACTAAATTCCTTTGTTAACTCTTAATATGAAAAGTAATTAAAATATTCATTTGATGGCATCGAATATTTAATGCACAGTACTGAAATTGAGGAAGAATAGAAAATTTGTAAAGAAGAGTAGCTTTGCATTCAAATTAATTCTATTCCAAGTGAAGATGTAGACTAGATAATTGGTATTAGCTAAAATAATATCATCTAAATGAAGCACAATTAATCTGAAAAATTGCTTCAATTTTTTAATAAATATGAAAATCAAAATAGCAGATAAGTTTGTTCTATTAACAAATCAAGCAAGTTGCTCTTCAAACAATTAACTAAACTATAAAATTTGAATCCCTAATAGAAAAAGCTCAATAGCTTTGAGAATATGATTAATTTTGAACAAAATCTTATTAAAGACACACATAATCAAGATGAAGACATTTTAAACTTAAGTAAAAAATTACTTTTAAAGAAAATAGCATTTCACATTCATTCATTATTATTTATTTAAATAGTTTGTCAATTAAGGAAAATGATTTAGGATCGAGTGGTTGATGAAAAAAGTATACTTCAAGAGGTAAAATTTATTTTTTTTCAATTCCATAACAAACTATAATAAAACCTTAATTTGAATAGATATTATAAAAAAGAGAATCTCACATATTAAGCCATTCAAACAGCTTAAATTTAAGAAATTAATAAAACCCTATTCGTAGAGGAGGAATTCAATACTACGAATTTAATAATAAGCAGAGTCTTAAGAAGAAATAGGAAAATAAAGAGCAAAATAGACAATCCATCATAGAGTAATTTACTTAGGATCTTTAAAATGAATAGTAAGATGATGGCAAAAAAACTGTCTTTTCCAGAATAAAAGATTATCTACCTCACACAATTTTAAGAAAATAAGTAAAACCAATAATTTATTAAGCCAAATTTAAATCAAATTTTACTATTTTAGTAAAAGGAAAAAAATAATTACACTCAGAAGGACGCATTGAAGATGTTTAAAAATATGCACAACGAAAAAAAATAAAAGAAAAATTTAGAAATCTAAGTTGTGCTTAAAGACCAGAATTAGAGATAATTACAAGATCAGATTACATAATTGGCTAATACAAATCATATTTAATATTTGTTTTTCTAAAATGAAGTTTTCATTATGAATGATATTATTTCTTAGATCTTAAAAGATTTTAGCCTCATTGAAGGCTATTTAGCCAAATAAATTGATTTAGCTCCTTTGAATCAAGAAAAAGCTTTGTCAATTATTAATTAAATAAAACAAAATAAAACTCCTTATCAGTGGATAAAATTGGGTTTCCTCACATTTAATCTGAGCCTAAAGTCATATTTCAAGAAGCTAATTATAAAATCTGATCATCTATTACAAGTTATTAAAGAAAGAGAGTACTAGCTGTTCCCATCAATTCCTTTTTATTAAACCTTTGATCCATATGGATTACTCTTAAATGTTCTCTTTTAATATAGTAGATAAAATAAAGTAAGCATATTAATTTCTATAAAAACTAAATAATTAAAATTTTTCCTTTTAATAGATACCTATGAGCCATCTTAAAATAAAAGCCAGTTTAATTAAGACACCTCCAACGCTTAGATAAGATTTCAAAGAAGGAATTATTGCAAGTGGAATTTTTATACAGAACGGAGATATTAATTTGGATAATAACTATTTAATAAACGAAAACTAATATTAATATTAATCTTAAATACCTTATCTATAATTTAAAATAGCACTTAGGAGTAAACCAGAAATGCTTTAAGTAAATTTATTTTTTTTTTTGAATTCGTTTGATGAAATTATTTTATAGAATTTAGACCCATATATAGCAATTGAGTTTGTTGATTAAGTACATGATGATATAGAATTAAAGTATGTGTAACAATGCTTGCATCCTCACTAGGTTGACTATAATTCTCTTTTAAAATAATATTCTGTAAAAGAAGAGTAGACAGGTAATACAAAGAGAGAATCTTCTCAAGTAAAGATGGCTTAAAATAATGAATTTAAAAAGAATGTAGTTCAAAACAGTATCTAATTTTAAGATGGTTTACTGCATTTTGTTAAAATACCTGTTATAAACCCATTATCTAAAGAGCTCTAAAAAGAAATTAATCTGAAATTTTTCTTCTTTTTCAAAAGCTACATGAGCGAAGAACATTGGATCAAGAAATCTACAGAAATTTATTTTGCAAAGTAGTGCTGATAAATTTAAACTTAAAAAATTTATAAAAATATAATTTAATGTTTAAACAAAATATGAATAAATGTTTGTAAATAATTAATTAACTTCATGTATATTTGTTAATTGACTTAATGTTCTAGTAAATTAAGGATAACCATAATAAAATTAAAAACAAAAAATGATTAAATTTCCTTTTTCCAAAATTTAAAAAGTTTAATTTTGATTTTTTACCTTAATTAATATTAAAAGTTTACCTTTTCTATTTATGAAAATGTAATGAAATCTGCATTAGAGCTTCAAATCTTAAATTTATTATGAAATAAACCAAACCAATTAATAAAAGAGATCATAATTTCTCAAATTTATTTGGTTTAACAAAGGTTTAATACATTCAAAATTATATTTTTAAATCCTTCAAATGAAAATTTAAATTATAATAATGTAAAATCTCGATTATTAAAAGATAGATTATTGTATCAAAATAAAATTTTCAATGAGATATATGCGAGATAAATAATTTCTTTAACTCTTAAAATTTTAAAAAGGTGTTTGAGGAACTAAAGTACATAACCTTTAAATTTTTAACAAAAATAAATATCTGTCTTCAAATTTCTTAATATAGTATTGCTTATTATTTAATGAGATTTAATTATTTACTAGGTAAAGGTGAAGATAATTATCTTTTATTTGAAAAATAATAAATTTGTTGAAGTTAGTTTATGCTAGTTGAGAAGAAAAAAATTGTTTGCTTTGATAAAAATTAAAAAAAGTTTATTGATGATTTTTAATTTAGATTAAAACATTTAATCGATTTTATAAAAATGTATTTCTTATGAATGCATTCGAGAAATAGAGATATTTTTATATGATTGATGTGTCATAATTACTCAGATATTAATTAAAAAATATATTGTATTATTTTAGAATTATTTACTGAGGATAATTAATAAACTTTAAGGTTTAAGCATCATAATTTGAAGATTTAATTGAATATAAAATAAATTAATGAATATAAAACAAAGTACTGCAATTTTATTTTTAGAGGACAAAAAGTAATAGTAAAAATGATCCATAACAATAGTTAATAGGAGTATCTAATTATTCGATGAACTTTTTAATATAATAATAAGAATGAATATGCATGTAATATGAAGAATCAAATAGTTAAAAAGAACTGAAAAATATTGATTGAAATCAAAAAAAGATTATTATTGACAAATGAAAAGAATTTTGATCGAGCAGATAAAAAATCTGAATAATAATATTAGATATTATAATGAAAAAAAAGTAGGGGAAGTAAAGTAAGTATCAAAAAAGAAAATTCATGTTCATAAATTATACAAACAAACTTACAAAATATTGATATTGAAAAAAAAAGAAAAGAAAAAGGAAAAACAAACAAACAAAGGTTTATTGCCAAAAAAAGTGAAAAATTAAATTACTTTAAACAAAATAAAAACATTAACGCAATAATAATAATAAAAAAATCGGAAAATATTCAGAAATATTCTCAAAAATATTAGCAAAAAAACTTAAAATTTTTCTTTTTGATGCTAAGCCAACTTCCCAACCACTTTTCCTATCTATTTTAAAATAAAAATAACGTGGCTGCTGGAAAGAAAAAGCCTATCTCGAAGGCTAAAGAAGAAGCAAATGCTAAGGCTTTAACAAAAAAGAGAAAGGGATAGGAGCAATAAACTGCAAGTAATCTTAAATAAGAAGAACAGACTATATCTGAGTCAGCAAGCTAGAGCATGGCAAATAATGTAAGCTACGCATAGAATTCCCAATTCAATTCTATGATAATACATGATACTTATTTCCAAAAAAAGGAAGAAAAGAGCTACTAATAAAGTGATTCTAAAATGGAATTAGATGATATCTCCAGTTACTGCTATCAAAACTTCAATGTCGATAACAAGTATTTTATGCAATCAAAGACTTCTTTGATTTAATAAGAAGAAATGGAATAGTTTTAAATGTTTGAACAAAATGATGAGAGCGATAGGTTTAACGATTTCTCAATAAACTAAAGCAGTGAAAATAAATAGAAGTAATCACAAAAAATAAACAATAATAACTCATCTAAGTAAATTAATTAATTGATCAAGTAAGGAATCTCTTGTATTAATGATGAGGCTAATGAAAAATTAAATAAAAAAAATTTAGATCAAAATAAATTCTTAATTCAGAATTAGCCTCCATCTGAAACTATTATCTGGAAAAGAGCAAATTAAATACAAACGAGATACCAAACAAAGTATCGTTAAGAAAGTAAATTTAATTTTGTTTTATTGTAAGGGGATTTGTGCTTTGAAATTAATGAAAATAATTGTAATAATTAATAATGCAGTTATTTGCCTTTGTCTGCTTTTAAGCGCATCAATAGCATAAGAAAATATCATGAAGGTAAAATTGAAGTCTAGCTGATAACAGATGTAAAAGTCTGCTAAGAATTATTTGCAATTAAGAATGAAGATGAATAAAATGAATAAATGAAATAAAACAACCAATCTATCATTTAGTCTTAAATAAAGGACTATCAAGAGGAAATAGAGTAAAAAAAAGAGTTCTTCTCATAAATCAAGCATTCATCTCCAACAATTTTGGAAAATTTAAAAAATCATGTAAACATTAAAAGACAGTAGTCATTAAACAAAATCGATTTCGAGCGCAAATATATATTTGCTGTTGAAATTGAAATGGATGAGGAAGGAACTTCTTGCATAAACAAGATATACTATTCCAAAGAATTTCTCTCAATTATGGGATTACCTAACAAAGATCCTAAAGATTCGGCTTTGTTAGAAGCTTATTTGTTTAAAAACGGAGTTATAGATTTATATGAGCGCATCGGCTTCTATGATAAAAAGAAAGAAGATTAAGGGAAATTAATGTGTTAATACCTTTAATCTCTTAGCCAGTCATAATATACCTTAAATACACTGGATAATCTTTCAATAAATATTGCAATTAATCATCGCGTAATCAATTTAAGTGAAGACTTTATTTAAATGTTTCCAGATTTTGGATCAAGTATATCAAAAGAATATCTCATCGTGCATGAGCTAGACATTCCATATGATTAAATTAAACAAATCGAAAACGAAAGAAAGTCAATGGAAAAAGCTGGAATTCCTTATTTCTACACAAAAAATATACTTCCTAATTACTTATTATCTAAATACTACTCAATTTCTGTAAATTAATCTTCTTCTGCTTGAGAATAGACAAAGAAGAGAGACAGAAAAATAAAGTCTTAGATATTTGATAATCTTTAATTCATTCCTTTAATTAATTATTCAATTTACAAAGAATTCCTATAGCAATTCATTCATTTATTTACTCATAAATAATAACCCAAAAAAAAAAATAAACAAAGAAAATAATGAAACAAACAATCTAAAAAAATATAATCTAAAAATCTAAATTCAAAATTTTATAAATTATAATTCAATTATAAAACATTATAAATCCTATAATTAACTATTACAGAAATATTATTTATATTCTTATGCAAGTATTTTTGAAAAAATTTATACAATAACTAACTAATTAGCGTAATCAATTAAATATATCAAGCACTCATTTGATAGTAATAGACTATTACAAAAAAAGGTGTTTAGGGTAAAATTTAAGTGGAGGTAAAATTGCATCAAGACTTAATTAATTGAAATTTATTTTTAAAATTTAGAGATTAACCCATTGAAAAAATAAATTAAATTACTTCTCAGTCTGTCTGAAAAAGGTATAGAGAAACAATCAATCAATCAATCAAACAAACAGATAACTAAAGCAATCAAAGTGAAATAAACAAGATTCAAAACTAAAATAGATTGAATCCCTAAATCATCAATCAATTAATTAATTATAATTATAATTGCGATAAATAGTCTAATAATTATATCAGTATATTTATATAAAACTAACATGCAGGAATCGTTTAATACTTACCTTATCTTTTTATATCATTCATTCAAAGTGAAATTCTTATATTAAACTACCTTATTTTATTCATAATTTTAAATCGAAATAACCATACTTAAAAATAGATAAATAAGGCAACAACAATTTTCAACATGGTAGTTAACAGTATATTTAAATGAACATACACATAAACAAGCATATATAAAATTAGCTTTATATCAAAATATCTTTTGATTGTAATAAATATATATTTTTTCAATTATCTTCTCAATATCAAAGTGTAAATTTATTTATTTATAAAATCTAAGTTTATTATTATGATTAATGTTAAAATAAATCATCTCTTTGTACCATTTATATTTAATTTACTTAGTTTTTGTTTGTTTTTTTAATAAATTAATAATTCAATCAATCTTCAATCGAAAATTTTGATTAATGATTTAATTATTTATTTTATATCTTTTGGTTTTTGAAATTAGTTTTTAATAAATAAAAGTTAATAAATTCAATATTATGTAAAACACACACGTCTCACATTTTTATATTTAAATGAATGATTTATCAATCTGTCTTTCTCTCTTTGTCACTCTTTGCCAATCATTTTTATTTTCATCTAAAAAAATAGAAAGAAAATTTACTTACTTCCCCATAAAATATTAATTGATATTCAGAAGCATTTTCAAGTTTTCTTAATTCTAGATTTTGAAAGAAATTTAATAAAGTTGTTGTTATTCTTATTATTTTCATTTTAATTTACTCTTATTAGATGTTATTCATAAAAATATTTTTAAATATATAAAATAAAATCCAATCATTTTTGTTTACAGTATTTTCATTTTAACAAAAGAATATTGGCTTAAATAATTTTTCATCTTTTTAAATTTTAGTATTAAGAATTATCTAACATAAAAGATTGAGTGCAGAATTCATTTAAGCAAATTTAAAAACTCCAATATATGATGTCATATAATATATAAAATAAACATAAGTTATCTGATTTCGATAAAAATCTCTATCATTGTTTAGTTTGTTTTTCAACAATTTGCTCTAGAATAAATTATTTAAATAAGCAAGTAGTTAACATTTTAAGATATTTCATTTTCTATTAAAACCATCTAAGCTTTAATGTTTCGTTATAGATTATTTTAGTTTCAAAACAATAATTTTTTTTGGAAAATAAAGATTCTAAAGTAATTGAGGTTCCATTATAAAAATCAAATTACTATTTCTATAATACATATAATTTTTTTTGGAAAAATTAAATTTTAAATAAATTTCTTCTATAAACATAATTGTTCCTGTTCTGAAAATTTAAATGAAAATTGTAATAAAATTTTTTATTTTCAATATGGCTAGTTTTACATATTACTTTTATAATTAAGAAGAGCAAAAGCAATTAATATATATATTTATAGTTCTCAGATTTCTAAAATCCACTTAACTGAAATTTTTAAGGTGGTATCTCAATGTAAAATTTAATAACCTAGACAAAAGGAACAACAGCCAAACAAATAATATTATTATTTAGTAGATGAATTATTTACATCTATAACTTTATGGACTAAAAAGAATGAAAAAGAAATAAATGCAATTACAGCAAATAATAATTTAAGTTTATTCTAAGCTTTTTTAATAATAACTATTTTTTTACAAAATATTTTCAAATAATAAAGAAAAGGTTTTTTAAATATTGTAAACAATAATTAAATATAATTAAAATATTATAATATTAATAATATTTAGAAACGATAAGTAATCTGTTATCTTTATTATAATAAATAAAAATAATGAATATTCAAAAACACTCATTTTAATAAATAATTTGATTTTTTTTGAATGATTTTATAACATTTCAATTTTAAATTTAAAATGTATTTTTTAATTAGATTATTCTTTATCACAGCATCCTTTTTTAAAAAAAATCTAATGATCTTAATGTTGAGAGTTTATAATTTATTATAAATATTGTAAAGTAGAATCAAAAATATATTTTAAATTTGTAATAGTAAAATTAACTAGATTTTTTTATCATTATTTGTTTTTTATTAATCACATAAAATATTTTTTTTAAATGTTGATTAAATAAAATCTAATTATTGAATTAAATCATTTACATTAATATATTGTTTAGATCATCAGTTTTTATTTTTATGGATTAATGTCTATGGATGTGTTAATTTTTTTTTTTCTAGTCAAAATTTTTTTAATTGACTAAAAATATGAAAAAATAAAAAATTATTATTAACTTTAAAGAATAAATCTATTAATATATTTTTTTTTTAAATAAAATAATTTATTTCTTTAAAAATTTTATTTGAGTCATTTTTTTAGCCTATTTTGCTTTTCTTAATAAAATAAAAAAAATCAGTAAAATATTGCAAAAATTATTCTGTCGATATATAAAAGTTGATTTTTTTTTAAATGTAGATTATGAAATATTTACACAGTGTTGACTTAGAAGCATGCTGCTTTGAAAATTAAAGCAAAACAGTAAGAAATGATTGATTAATAAATTAATGTAATTAAGAATTTTAGAATAAAATGTCATTTGCACAAATATTAATTTGAGTTAGCATTTAAGATTTTAATAATTTGTTTGATTGTTGATTACGCAAGCAAATTTTAAATTATAAAAATTTTAATACTATTCTTCAGTAGATATTGCATACCATGAGTATCAATTATAACAAAAGATTGATAAATAAAAGTACAACATCACAAACTGAAAATATATTTTTGCATAAAAAGAGCATTAGTACTTCAAATAAAGTAGTTGAGCCAATATCTAAAAAGCAAGGTGTTTCAAGTTAAAAAACAGACTCAGCTTAACAAAAACCTACAGAAAAAGTTCAAATAATCCCTGATATAATAGGAAACTCTAAATAATAAGTTGAAGTTAAAAATCAGGAAGATCTGCTTGCTAAATCAAGTAACCAAAAAGAAAATATAAACAACTATTTAGGGAAAAATTAAATGAATATAATTTTTAAATATTGCTCATTTAAACATTTGATTTCTTTAAGATTGACTTGTAAGTCATGGTGGTTATTGATTGATAATTATATTTCAAACTAAATTCCACTCTTAGTCAGTGAAAGAAATTAACTAGAAGTTTCTGTCAAAAATTAAATGGAGTCTGAGTCATCCCACACAAGATATGTGAGAGCTTATAAGAAAGTGAGTTTGGGACATGATTTGATATTCTGCTTAAATTAAAACGATGCTGAAAAATTTTACTTACTAAAAGATAAATCTGAGTATATTAAAGAAATTAGAAGTATAACCCATCAAATAATTGGTAAAAATGTAATTGAAAAGAATAAAGAAATTAAAAAATACTCTCCACAATATTATATTGAAATTATACAAGAATGTAAGGAAGTCTAAGTATCTGAAATACCAAAAGACATTATATTGAGAATGAAAATAATATTCTAGCATAATTAACAAATAGCAGATGAGTAATTAAATAAAATTAGCAGGTATGCTTATGCTTTAAAAGTATTGTTGGCAGGATATTTACATCTTTATTAAGAAACTAACCCGTAACAATCTTAAAAGGCCAGGTTAAAAAGCATTTAAGAAGATTTACACATAATTAAAATATATAATAAAAATAAAGTTTTAAATTCAAAATGAATGAATGGATGAATAATTAATTTACACAAGTAATACTCAAAAAAATGAAATATTTGAATAAAAAATTTAAAAGTTTATAAAAATAATTGAATTTAAAAACAGTTAAATTATCATTCGGTGATAATTAGAAATAAATTCTCAATTTATGTTTTAGAAAAATTAAATTAATTTTATATTTGATTTAAGAGATTTTGTTTTAATTTAAAACTATTCATTTTATAAAAATATTTTAATTTAAAATAGTTATTTTCAAATAATTTATTTAAATAAGACTTGATTTGAAAAGTATTTGTTGAATATAATATTCTTTTTATATCCTTTTTGAAAACTGTTAAACCAATTAATTATTGATATTGACTGATTAATTGTTTGATAATTTAAATAGATGGAGATATTAAATTAATTTTGATGTATGGAGTATTTTAGTATTGTCAATAATATCCAATAAGACACAATGCTAGGTAGAAACATGAAAGTATACTCTTCTTTATATTACATTAGTTTGTTTATTGCTACAATAATGATATTTCAATAAAGAATAAAAGTCTTTCTTGAATTTCTATTTTCCAAGCATTTGAGATGATGGATGTAAATTATAAAATTGTTTAAAATCATGTGAGTTGTAAGTTAGCAACTTCAGCAGTATCCCAAGAAGTATGCTTATCAGTCTTCTTCAAAGAAATAACCTTTCTAAGGCAAGCTTTAAAAACGAATCTTTCTTCTTCGCATTCATACAAATATTGCTTATTCTTTTTAGTAAGAGGTCTCATACTATTTAGATTTTGTAAAATATTTATGAATAAAGTTATTTGTAAACGTTGAAATGCAAACAAGCAAATTCCGATATCTCTGATAAAAATATGCTTCTTTTAAAACTGTTTATATCTAGACCTTCAAAATAACTTTTGCTTTTTATCACTTTTAAATGCTTATTGGTTTTAAGGATAAACAAGATTATCAATATCTATAAATCTACATTCATTTTTAGCAGAGATGGAATTTGATTTTGTTGTAATTTTTCAATTAAATAAATGCTTTACTATGTGTAGTTGTAAATATTCTCAGGGTGGAAGGGAACCTTATCAAATTCCTATAGTTAAATTATAATTAATATAAAGTTAAGCGCCATATCTTTTGAAAATATTAATTCTAAATCAAATTAAAAATATTTAGGTTACGAGTAATTTACCGTCGGTAAGAAGACGAGGCCAGATTGTGGGCCATTAAGGATGGATGACTTCTTATTGAGGAACATTGGCACTTTTTAATTAAAATGAAGTTTAAATTGCTTTAAGATTACATTTTTCAATAATTATTAAGAGAATTCGAAGCTTATGAAAAATATTCATTTTTTAGATTAAGCAATTCGAAATGGAATGTGCAATTGTTAAAAATAATTAAAAATATACTCGAGAACGCAATCTTCGTAAGCCAACATCTATTTCATACCTTTTTTATAATTTATTGTGCTTTAATATTTTTATTCTAAATTCCTCAAATAATTCTATTACAAGGGGAAGTATCAAGTACTGAAGGTACTGAAATGGCTGTGTTAGCCATGAAAAAGAGAGCCATATTATATCTTTCCTTTTTATATTATTTTATATTTAATTTATTTTCTTCTTATTTCTTTTAATATTTTTCTTTTCTTTGTTTTCCCTTTTATTGCTTTTTTCTTTAATATCTAGAAGCAGATCCTATTTGCCTTATTTCTAATCTCAATGCAGATTCCTATGATAATTTATTAACTATTTTCAAACAAAATATTTATTTATTTCATTATTTATTTTCATCATTTTTTTATGCATTTGCTTAGATAAATATTTGCTTGCATTTATTTTTCAAGATAGATAACCAAACAAAACATTTAACAAAGATTTAATTGCGCTTATTTATTTATTTTTTAGTATGAAGGCCAAGCAAAGAAGGACATACAATAAAACAAATAAACATTTAAACAAATAAAAAAGATACTATTGAGAAGTAAATATATAAATAAATATCCTTCTACTCATAGTTACAATTTATTTTAAGATGATTAATTGATAGGTAGGTAGGTATGTATGTATGTATATCTTTTTTTTTATTTATAAATTATTTTAGTGTTTTTTTATTTATTTAATCATTATATTTTTTAAAATATTGAATAATGATTTTCTTTTTATTTTTATATATATTGACTGATTTTATTTCAAAGTAAATTGCTTGACAAACAATTCTAAATCTAAACAACCTCTCTAAATTAAAGCTTTATGCTTATTAAATTGAAATATGTTATGAATAGAGATATAAAATGTGATTCTTATTTTTTTGATATATTTATAAATATTTTTATGTTTAAAACTTTAATTAATCTAATGATTCATGAGAAATAGTTATTTTTATTCAAATAAACTAAGTGTTTTTTTATGACTGGTTGATAGATTAATTAGGTTTTATAAGGTCTAAATTAGCATTCTTTTACAAAGGTGACTATAAAAAGTTTTAAAATTATTTTTCTCTATTTTTAAATTTACTAAAAAGTGATAAAATTGAGTTGTCATATTTTGGGCTTTCACAGAAATTCATACTAAATTCTTGATTTAATTTTTATTAAGCTTTTTTTTTGTTACTATTATCTACGATAACTCTTAAATTTTTAATTTGCTTACTCTCATTAGACGGACTCTTAAAATAATTTTATGTCATATTAATCTCTTTGGAGTGATTTCTACTTTTACTTTTGATTAGCAATTTAAGCTTATCTGATTACTATTAATAACTCCTATCAGATTAATTATTGACATATTCATCAGTTTAATTATTTATATTAAGAATTCCATTTATCTAAATAGAATAATTTTGTAAGCCTAGAAAAGACTAATTACTATTCTAGGCATCAAAACTGTTTTACTGTTATTTAAGTGATTTGGTATTTTACTGTTTAATATTATAGTATTTCTCATTCAAGTATGGTATTAAATTTTAAAATAAATCTTTCACTTTTTTTAGATTTTTTAAAACGATTAAGTGGTTTGCCAGCTCTATTGAGTCAACTATTTAATTATACTGCTATTTCATTTAATTTAATTGTGTTTATTCTTTGACCTACTGTAATTAAGAATGGTAATTAAAAAATTCTCTATTTGGAGTTTAGTGACTAATCCTTTATCTAGAAGAGTATGTTGAGCTTAATTCTTAATTGTATATTTTATTTGCATATGGTCCTACAACTAGCTAAGGTTAATTACTTGAATTTGGAAAGTTTAGAACAGACTGATTTTTAAAAACTAACCCAATAGGAAATTTATTGTAATTTAATTCTTAAGCTATTTCTAATTTGTGGATTTGAGCCTATATAAATCTGTCATTCCAAGGAGTACTTAAAAACTTTTTTTAAAAGGTCTATTCTTCTGCATTTTTGACAGCTATTTGCATTTAGGGTAACTCAAATTCGTCTTCACTTGAGCTGATATTTTCGCCCCATTCCTATTGAGTAAGTTAAAATTAAGGATTAATAATCTTAGACTTTCTAATTGTTTTCTATAGCGGCTAACCATCACTTGTTTCTTATATAATTCTAATGTTTTATAGAGTAGGGTAGTTTGAGTATTTCCTATTTTTTAGCATTATATTAGATATTTTTTTTACTTCTTCGTCTGCTTTGATACCATCGATCATCATCTAATGATATTGATATGCTTTATCTATACTACCTAAATAAAAATAGCTCATTCCTATAAAATCATATGAATTAATTTCTTAGTCTTCCTACTTTAGAAACCACGATTACCTAAGCATCCTTTTAATATAAATATTTATTAAAATACAAACAATTTTTATTAAAATTATTATAATTAAATAAATAAAAATTATATGCTTATTTTAAATGTTTATTTGCTGCAATAAATATTAGTTACTTAACAAAGTATACAAGTGCAACTTTAGGTTTGTTAAGCCTTTAAAATCCTAATCCAATATACTTGTAGCAACTTATTTTGAATTTGAGGGTACCAAAAAGTTAACAAAAATTCTTGCAAATTTTCATCATTCTGATACATTTTAAGAAGTCATTATAATAATAACTTATCTTTCCTTGAAGTTTTTATATTACAAGCATAAGCTAAGATATCTTTGAATTATTTGACAAGTTAACACACTGTGATAATTTTTCATCAAGCAAGATACTATTTTTTGAAATTGGGATGGAATCTGTCAAGATTTAAATAAGATGATTGAGCAAGACAATAGCATTTTCGCAGTTATTTTCTAATATTTATGTAATAGACTTAGACTTATCGCTCTTGTTTTAAAAATAAATTAAATTATTTGTTAATATGACTTTAAATATTTATTACATTGCTTTTAAACTATCTCTCTGCATCTTTCTGCATGCTTTCATAAAATAAATCACAAAATTCTGCTTACTTCCTTTCCGATTTTGCTTGCTTATTAAAATTTTACTTTTTATTTTGATCATTTTTAATTTGTTCTTCGTACATACTTGAATTATTAGATTATTTTACAGTTTTTATATTCTACTTCTAGCTTGAAATATTAAATATTTTCTTATCATTGCTAGAGCAATATAGAGTATTTGTGAAACTTCTTTTATGACCTTGTTTAGATTTTATTATTTGATGAGGTTGTGATAAATTTAAATTGTTTTATTTGTCTTTTTCTATAAAAAATTACCCTGTATTATTAATGTTGTTATTATTTTTCTATATATTAAACTATTTATAGATGAGAGTCTTTTTTCTTAAATCATCCAAGCGTTTCTAAACTAAACTTTAGCTAGAATCAGTTCCCGTTTTATTTTATAATGAAATTTTTATTTTTTCAATCTTTTTTTTTAAAGAGTAATCATATTCAAAATAATGGTCAAGTATTTTATGTTGTGATCTATTCAAAGTTTCACTACAATTTCGTATAAATGGAGATTCTGGAACTGCGGTTGAATTTTAATCTTCTTATAATCCTGCTTAAAATGAATTTATACTCTCTTACTTTTTTCTTGTTACTATTGGAGATAAAACACAATCCAAAGAATTGTATTTCTTTTTTTTAATAGAAAAATAATCTTCTTTTACTTCATCCTAGCTCTTATTCATATTGAATTTCTAGTAGAAATAATCAACTTGGTAAGATTTATTTTTCTATATATAACTTAAATTAAAAGAAAATTTAATTAATATTTGATGTTTTTTTATTTTTTCTTTAAAGATTAAAGAAAAATACATAAATAACTTCAAACAATTTATAAAAATATTAATTCAGTTTATTATATAATTTAATAATATGTAATTTAAATATATAGAAAAAATAAACCACCATTTATTTAATAATCTAAACACATTATTTTTAATTTATAACTACTTTTAACATTTATTTACCTATCATAACTTTTCGAAGTTTTTAGACCAATTTTGATGATCGTTATAAAGTTAAGAAACTAAACAACCTAATATATATAAAGTAATAAGTAAATCTTAAATATTTTGTTTGAATAGATGATCAGATATTAAAAAAAAATAGTATTTTTTACTTATTTTTTTTAATTTTCTATGCAAATAGTTTAAAAACATTGGTAAATCATAAATAATAAAAATTATATAAATTCTCTACTTAAAAATAAAATATCATTAGGTAAATTTAAGTAAGCAAAACCCTATTACCTAGTTAAAAACTGTTGGAATAAAATGAAAGCATATTCTTCTTTTTTTTATACTTTACAAAATTTTATTTTAAATAAAAAATTTAAACCATAAATAATTTTTGTATTATATATAATACATCCATAATTACATACTTTTTTATAATATTTTATATATTTAATTTATTATTTTCAAGAATCTTAATTTTTGTTTTTTAATCCAACTATTTTGATTAGGATTTACTTAATTTATTTATTTTTGGCTAAAATAAAAGAATTGATTTTTCATTAATTTATTCATTTTTTTAAATAAACTTTTCTCTTTTTTTTTTTAAAATGTGGTATAAAAATAATATTCGATTGAAAAAATTTAATATTAAGAAAAAATAATAAAATGTTAAGTAATATTTTAAATAAAATTTTCAAACACTAAATTATTTAGATAAATTTATTTTGTTTAATTTGATTAAATATTTTTTTGGGATCAAGAGGTAAATTTTAACAACATAAAAGTCTTAAAATAATTTTAATGCGCATCTAAAAATTAAAATAATTTTTAAATTGAGCTTATATATTAAAGAAATAGATTTTTATATTATTTTTAGTAGATTGCAATTTTAAGTATTTTTATCTGAAAATTAATGTTTGAAATTAAATAAAAAAAACCAATATATTAAATAAAATATGAAAGATACGTTAAGAAATATTTTAAAAGAAATGTTTTGTTCATTTCTTAAAGAAATTATTATAAATAAATTTATGAATAGTTTTTTGTAAAAACAATTTTTTCTCTCTTGAATTTGTTTGATTTGGTAGGAGTTTTATCTTGTTTTTGGTTTCTTTCATTTTTTTAAATATTTGAGAAACACATATATTTTTGTATGATAATTTCTTTAATTAAATATATTCAATTATTTGATTTTCAAGCTTTTTTTTCATATAATGATTTTTCTTTCTTTTGAAATGTAATCAAATTTGGCAAATCAATATGCATAAATTTTGTAAGCACTAATCTAATTAATCAAACAAGAAAAATAATAATCCAGATCTAGACAGATTCCAAAAAAATTCAAATTTTAAACATAATATAAAAATGTTTGTTTTTATTTATAAAGATTTAAAATACCAAAATAATTAGATAAAATTGAAAAAAATCCTATGGATAATTTTAAGAATATGCTTGAATATACTGTAATATTCTAAAATTTAATGGTGTGAATCTTAAAAAGAATAAATTTGATGGTGATAAAAAAGTATATGAAAAATTCTAGAGGTAATTAATTGATATACGAAATCATATAAAAGAAAATTAATTAAATGATTTAAAAGATATTAACTATTTAATAATAGACATTATCACTTTGTGGATTTTCAAATAATTTTGATATAAAACTACCATTTAAAGCTTAAAGCAATCAATAATTGAGTAAATTAAGTGGTGAAATTTATTAATTTACTTAAAATTTTAAAGTTCATTAAGATTTGACTAAAGAGATTAAGACGTAATAACTTTAATTTATTCTTTTTAATATATCGGATAATATTTTTTTTCTTTTATACAATTTGTTTTGTTTTGCATAAAATAAGTAAACTAAATTTATCGAAAATCAACTTAATCAAATTTAGTCCATTTTTCGTATTATTATAATAATTGTAATCAATTTGAAAAATAAATACTAAAATTTTGTCAATTTAAAATTCAGATTAAAAATTAAGTAATTAAAAACCTTTACTTTATGAATTATATTATTTATTAAGAAACAATTTTGTAGATGGTTTACATCAATTTATATAGATTCAAAGAAAGATTTTTTTAATTAAATAAAAAAATTTATCTATACCTAAAACGCTTGTTACTTCATTTTGAACTTTACAACAAATGTAATGACTTTAAGGAAAGCGAAAAAAAAAATAAACATTTTGGATAAATTAAAATTTTATGAAAAGACAAACAGACACACTCAATTTATGATATCTAATAATAAAAATACAATTTTAGAAATTAACTTAGTTCTATTTATTATTTAGAAATTGTATTAGCATTCGCATATTAAAGAAGAAAAATCAACAAATTGAATTTTTTCTAATTACAAATGATGAGATTGGTATTTATTTTAATTTACTGAATGAAATTATATACTTTGACAGATAATCAATTATAATTTATTTATTGTTTATTTCAGTCTGTTAAAGTTAATATACTTTATATAAGTAAATAAACTCTTATTTAATTAGAGCTAATAATATATATTTATTTATTTAATTTTTTGGTTTGAATTTTATATTATAGTAATTGTGAATAATTATTAGGATGAGAATGAAAATCAAGACTTTTTTAGTTATGGTTGTGAAAAATAAGAAATATTTTTTATTTATTTTATGAGATCAATATTAGTATTTATATGTAAATTTATCATGTTTGTTTTATTATTAAGTTAGCAAGCAAACTGCTTTTCATATTTTTGGCTTTTTTTCTCAAGATTCAGTTTTGAATTGTATTGGTTAAGTGAATTAATTTTATTAAAGTTTTTATTATTGTTAAAGCATCATTAGCAGCTGTTGTTATTGTGGATTGAAATTCATAAGTTGATTTTAAGTAGCAGATTATAATTACTATTGTTACAAGTAGTTTCCATTTAACAAGTGGTTGTTCATATTGAAATTCTATCCATTCATAAAGACATTTTAAAGAGGATTTGTTAACTGAGATAGAGTCATTTGTTGATTAGGTTAAGCAACCTAGAGGAATTGCTATTATTAAAGGAGGTTTTATTGTTAAGATTGCTACTATTATTATTATTGTTGTTGTTATTGTAAGAGTAAGAGTGCATCTGTGTGAATTGAGCTAAATCCATTTAAGGCAGAAGTAGCTTATTGCTAAAAGTTTTTGGCAGACAAGTCTAAATTGATGTTAAGAGACTATGGATTGGTTGATGATAAGGGTGTTTCAAGGATTTTGGAATCTAGTAACTAAATGGGTTGCTATTAAATAGTAGGAAGAGAAAGCAATCCACTGATCAAATTAGTAGAGTTCTGATTGCTTGCAGAAGAAAGGTCTTCACTCTTAATTTTCTTTGAAATCTAAAGAAGGTCAACATCTATTTTAGGATGGAATCTGCAGTACTTTCTCTTTTTACCTAAAGATTCCATTTTTCTTCTTTCCATATTCTTTCTTTCGTGGATTTATGGGGCTTCAGTTTTGATCTTTTCAACTAGATTGAGGATAAATTCTTCAGAAAAGTCTTTTTCTTAGAGTTAATCTATATTAAGTAAGCTCAAAGAAAAGGAAACATAGAAATGTTCACCACCTTTGTCCTTATTATCCTTTTCTATATTAAAAACAATTTATTAGTTTTTTGCTAGTAAGTTAATAATAGAAATAAAAAATAGATATTCTTCTTTCAAATAGATAAAGAGGATTTTATTTAAAATGGAAAAAAAGAGAAAGCTTTTGTAAATTAGATAAATAAAAATATGAAAAAAACTTCTTTTAATGAATGATAAAATATTCTTTTAAATCAGAGTATTAAGAAAAAGATCTGTAATATTTTCACAATGGTTGGATAATACCAAAGAAATTAAAAAAAATAAGTTTCCTTGTTCGTTAGAAATAATTAAATCAATAAAACAAGCCAGCTAAGCTGGAAAAGCAGGAATGCGAATTAATAAAAATATATTAGGGGAGAGGAAGGTAATATAATTTTGAATTAGTTATTATTGCGAATCAATTTTAATAACGCATTAATTTGCAAAATCGGTATAAAAGTTAAAATTATTATTTAGTTAAAGAAAAATCATAATCAAAATAGAAAAAAAATTAAAAAATTGTAGAACGAAGACTGTATGCTATATTAAAATTTACAAGCAATAATGGTTCTATGGTATCTATTACTACCTAAAAGAAATTAAATGTTCCAATTATTTTTCTGATTCAGGTTAATAAAACAAAAAAAATCCACCTTATTACTTCAACAGAAGTGAGTATTTTAATCAAGGAAAATTCTGCTTGCCATTTTTAAATTACTAAAAATTTTATGCTGCTATTTGGATTCAGTGGTATTTTTTTTACTTAAAACCTGAATTATGAGTTTATTATCTTAAATTTGTAAAAAAGAGTTAAAACTAGTTATTATTTGTGTATTGTAAAAATATTCATGTGTGTTAAACAAAGTAACAAAATTTTTTAAATTTAAAAAGCAATGAAATAAAAAATAAATGAATGAATGAATGATTGCTTTTAGGTTCCAAATTACAAATCAAAATTAATTTTTCGTTTTAAGGTCGTGAGTATTTAGGAACATGGGTGAAGAATATTTGATTGGCTTATTAAAAATTAGATATGCTAGTCGAGCTATAAACATTCCTAATTTGAGTTAAAATAAAATCTAATTGGGGGATTCTTTGTTTAACGAAAGTGCGAAATGGTTTGTTAGACTTTCTGTCTTACTGCGACTAAAAAATTTTAATTGATTGATGAATTTTTATTTTAATTTGTTATAGTTCTATTTTGAGTGAATCTATCTATCTATCTAATTATGTGGATTTGCATTTTTTTGAAATAGTGGAATAGATTGATTAAAGTAAAAAGGGAAATTTATTAAATTGAATAAATATATTATTGGGGGCATTGCAAAAAGGGAAAGGCTATAAAAGCGTACTGCAAATGAAATAAATAAATTGGAAATCTAGTATTAGGATTTATTTATTTATTACTTATCAATTTATATTTCAAGAAAACTTTTTTATGTAAGAGCAAAAGCAAGCAAGTAATTAGATGATAAAAATTTATTTATTATAACAATTTTCCATTACAATGCCTATAAAACTCTATATTAGCTTGACTTTAGGTTAGGAAAATTGAAATTAATTATAATAAATAGTAAATTCCTTTTTACTTAAATACAAATAGGCAGAAAGGTAGTAGATTTATGTTAACTATTTAGAACATTTCCATATATTACTGCATTAAAAAGTTCACAAAAATTTTAGAAAAAGAGACAGTAAATTAGTCAATTTATCTATCCTATGAATTTGGGGATCTTAAAAATATTGATTATAAGTTAAATCATTAAGATTGTCTATTTATTTCGAATCAAATTTTTGCCGTACAATCAGGATGCTGATTTTGAAAGATTTTATTCAAATTACTTTTTTTGAAATTCAAGAAAATTTTTATGAACTGATGTGTAAATTTTTAATGTATTAATGAATTTTCTTTCAAGAATACTAATTTTTGTACTGAAAATTTATAAAATAGATAAGATAATTAGTTATTGTATCTAATTTAATAATAGCAGTAATTAAAACTTTATTGAAAATTGTATTTAAAAATTTTTAAATGTAAGGAATAAAATATCATCTATGGAGACTTATTGAAAATCTTTTTTAATTAATTAATTAATTTATTGGACATTTGATAAAAAAAGTAAATCAATTTCCTTTTATTGGCTTTAAATTTGCCATAATCAGAAACTATTTTGAGATATCTAACTAGCCTTGATTTGTTAGATTAATTAATTAATTTATTTATTTATTAATTGTTAATCATGGTGATGAATGAATTAGTTGCTTATTTTTGAAATTTAATTATTTTCATTTACTATTTCAAAAATAATAAGAAAATGCTTAACAATTTAGATGTAAGCTTTTTTCAAAATGAAAAATGAAGATTTTCAATTAAATGATTTATCTATTCGAAAGAAAGAAAGAAGATGACGAGTTAATAAATTAATAAATAAGAATAATATTTACGATATTTAAGTTCCTTGCTTTCAGAATCCCAATTGACGAAGTTGATTATATCTCTCTTTTTGGCTTTACCCTTTACAGTAGGGAATATTTCAGAAATTTTAGCAATATTTTTTTCCTCTTAATTTTTTTGTTTTATCTTAATCATATCGGATGTGGAAATGGAAGTATTTTCAAAAGTATTTTATATAACATTTGAGTCATTGATAGCACCGTCAAGTACTGTGAGAATGTGGCGGAAATTATTTTACACACTTCTATTTTGTTCTTAAATACGTTGGAGTTCGTAGAATTTAAGGTCTTTTATAATAGAAGTACTATTCTTTATACCTTTAATGCGATTGTTAATTTCTTCTTCACCATTCTTTCCTGTGTAGCTAGTTTGTTTAACAAACTCGTTTAACTAGTTTTCGACTTATCTAATCTTATTGTTTCCCTACTCTTTAATGATTTTGAAAGCATTCTACATAGTGTTTTATGCATCTGTGTAGAATTATATCTTTTCTTTCAATTTAGATAAGTGCTCACTGTTTTGAATAAATAGGGATTCTAAATTATCTTGAAGTAATTTGTTTTCAGTGTTTACTTAGGTAATTTTATTTTAAAGAGCAATTAAAAATTTTTTTAACTCTAAAATATCAGTGTGATGAGATAAGTGATTTTCTTTAATGCATTCCTAGCAGATAAGACGCCATTATAAAGGGCATTGATCATTTGCGCACACTTAATCTAATTGCATCATATGTTTGCGGCATTGAGGTAAGGGTAAGGTCTAAATAATTTTCTCAGAAATAGCTGAACTAGAGTCTGTATTAGAAATCATTTGTTTGTGAAGATCAAATAGATAAATGATTCAAATAAATTGTTAATATGAATTTGTATGTAGAGATGATGTGGAGTATGTTTCTTGTGAAAGTTACAACTTGGAAATAATAATTGGAGAGCTCTTTTTGTATTAGGAAATAAATTTATAAAGGGTCAACGGTAGGTAAATGATCAGAGAATTCCAGATAGTGTAAAGGAATCTTTGTACTTAGAATAATATTATGATTTTGTATTTCGGAAAATGCTTTAATCAGAATGAATTTTAGGTTATTCTTTATAACTCAAGTATATACTACTTTGATTATCTTACTTTTTTTTCTTTTTTTATCAATTAATTTGTTTTTTCTTTTTTTTTTTAATTTAGGATTATGATTATTTCTTTCCACTTTTTTAAAACTAATAACTTGATATTTTTTATCAAAAAGGAAAATATTAATTTTATGAGTCCTCACATTATTGATTTTCCTTTACCTTTAAATTATGCTAATAGATTGCAACCAAAGTTAAAAAATTGAAGATCATTATTAATTATTGCTTGATAGGCAAATCACAGAATAAATTAATACAGCAAAAAAATAGACTTTCTTAAATTCTGTTTGCACCCGAATTTCATTCACTTTTTAATTAAGTTGCTTTCTTCTTTATTTATTTATTTAATTATTTTTCTCTCTCTCCCTGTTTATATTACAACCAAAAACTTATTGATAATATCAAATATCAATTCACTACATATTTACATATTTATTTTTGAAAATCCAAATTTTTAAAAGTAAGTAAAGATCTGAATTGTCTAACAACATGAATAAAATTAATTAATTCAAAATTAATTTACTCTTTTTTTAAAATGACTTTTCCTTAAATATTTTTTTGAAATTTAATTTTTAAGTGAGAACACCGAAACAGTCAATCGGTCTTATTTTTGTACGCGCTTGATAATAAAAGCATGATTTAATAAATAGATTCAAAATTCTAATTTCATTAACTGATTAAATTTCTTCTAATATAATTAGTATTATATGTTTAGAAAACTTTTAAACCACTTTATTTCATTTAAATGTAAATAAAAAAATAGTCCATGCATATTTGCTGAATTAATAAATCCGTATCAGCCAGTTAAATAAATTATTATAAACGTTCGCTATTCGCTTTGCATTTATTGCAGCTAAATTAATTTTTTCCATGTTAAAACAAATTCTATTTAATTTACCTTAAATTTTTTTTAAATCTAGGATTACTAGCGTTAGGTTTTCCGCCATAATTATTCTACAGAAGCAGGATTTTAATCTTTAATTCAGCAATCTCAGTCAAATTCAAGAAAATTAAAAAAATCATTAATTAAAATTCTAATACTCCTTCGTTTTAACACTTTTATTGAAGTTTTCTATGAATTATGTATATTATTTAAAATTTTTATTATTTCAGTTATTTTATCTCTTTAGGAATTTCTGAACTTTTTAGTCTTTGTTTCAACTTTTATTAGGTATAGACAAATTAATCGAAAAAAAAGGAAAAACATTAAAAAAAATAGAAAGTGAAAAAATATCTAAATTCTAATAATTAGCTTGATTATTGTGTACTACAAGACGAAAAAATTAATTTTGCTTTTACTTTTTTTATTCGTCATATTCCCCAGGCCTAATCCTTAATAAATCTGAATATGATATTCCTTTTGATTTACTAAATGAATATTAACTTACACTGGAGCGCTTTGGATTTCATTCATATTTTTTGTAATAAGTATATCTAAAATCTAGAAATATTTGCCATGTAAGTAAATTAAGGAATTCGCATACAAATTTACCAATACAAATTATTTGTCAGACAGACTTGACCAACCATATATATTTGTTGATGTTAAGTATAATCAAATAAAAACAATTATAAATTATTATTTTTAAATATATAAGTTAGTTCTTCTAATTCCTATTTCCACTTATTTGCACAAATACAATAGAGGGGAAAAATTATGACTTACAATAATAGATTAGACTTCCCCCTAATCAGTTTTTTTTAACTTATTCACAGTTTTACATTAAATTAAAAAACAAAGATCATTTTCCCCAAAAAAATAAAAATAAACACGTACAATTTTTATAAATTAAATTTATATTACTTTTTGTATATTAAAAATTTTGTGTTATACTAGCTATTTTTAAATAATTATCTATTATTTTCTAACACAATTTGTATTTTTAAATAAATAAATTATTATTATTATACCAAAAATAACATAAGTTATTAACAAATTTCCTTTAAAAGAAAACATTTAAATAATTTTTATTTCCAATGCATATTTTATTTTTGTTAACTTTTACACTAAGAAATATTTGTTTTTGTAAAGATTTTATATCTAAAAACATGTAAGCAGCATAGCTAATATTTATATAAAATATATATACTATGAGAATTTATAATAATAAATCAAAATCTTATAAAAATATTAACAATATTTATATTTTATTTGTTTAACAAATGTATTTTATTAAATGATTGAATAGATATTAACATGAGTAAATTCATAAAATATTTATTTACATGTATTATTTTCATATAATCATACAAATATTAACTCAATTATGTATGAGACATAATAAATTTCTAAAAAATTTTTACTATCATTTATAGGTGTTTTTAAGAATAAACGTATAAGTATGATATGAACCAGAAAAATGTGTTTTTATTCTTTCCAAAAGCTAATATATATTACACTAATAAATAAATTTCAGCTAAAAATTTAAATATGTGAGCCAATATATATATATATAAATATATATGTATAAATAATAAAATGTTGTAGAATTATAAGGGCGGTTCAGCCTAATGTTTTTGTAAGCATAAAAACTTTGTTTTATAAATTTCGAAAAAGAATTTCAAAAGAAAAACTAAACTAGTCAATTTTTTAGATGAACAGTGACCACTAGATCGTAAACTAGAATAGAGAGACTTCATTGAAAATAATAGAAATAATGATTCTTAGTTATTTTTAGAAATCAAAAATATATAAATGTTTTTCATCGAAAATTTATCTTTTGAAAAACATTTACCATTTTTTAATTTCATTTTAGAGCTAACAGATCATATTTTTAGGAAACAAGATAAAAAATTAAGGTTTGATGACTCATGCTTATACAATTTAGATAATTATTATAAACGATTTCTTTCCAGAATAAATAATAGGAATAATAAATAATTTTTTTAAATTTTAGGAAGAAAACAAACCAATTTTTTAATTTTTTATAATAGAAGGTAAACTGTTTTGATTGGGAATTTATTTAAATGTATTTTAATAAATTCAAGCAGATCATTTGAAAAAAAGTTACTTATTTTTACAAATTTTATTTTTTTAAATCAGTGCATTTAAATTATCAAGTCAATTTAACAATATATTTAAGCTAAGTTTTCTTTATAAAACTATTTTACTAAATTTTCTAATACGTAATAAAATAGTAAATAAATATATATTAATCATATGAAAAACAAAAAAAAAGAAAAGAAAAAAAGGAACCTTTGATAAATTTTAGTTTACTGAAAACAAAAGCAATTTAATTTATTATTGCTCCAATAAAAGCCAATAATATTTCAAATTTATTAACTGAATTCTTTTAAATATAGTAAATATGTAATTAAATAATAACTGTGCTCAAATTACAAATACAATTTTCAAATTTGATAAAAAATATCATAGAAAATGCTAAATATTTCTATTAAAAGAAGGTTTAAATAAGTTTAAATATTAAATATAAATTTTAAAAGATTTAAATCGTAATTTATTTAAAATTACTAATCCTTTAATAATTCTTTTAGTAATTTTATTAATTGAAAAATTTCATTTTTTAGTAAAGATGAGAGTTATTTTAACTTTTAATCATAATTTGAGTTCTAAACATGCAAAATATCAATTTTATTTTTACTAATTTTAAATATTTTTTCATTAAATTGTAACTCCATTTATGAATTACAATACAGAATAGATAGCTTTTAACTCTTAAGATCGCTTCCAATAACTAAAATTAAATAAAAAAGCTCTTCTTCTAGTAGTATTTATTTATTAGATTGCATATATATTTTATTTTGTATTTCATTGTATTAAAAATACAGTTTTTATAATATTTTAACCTTTAAACATAATAGTCTATGTAAAAAAAAATAACAATTTCCACAAATAAATAAGGTTTTAGTTGCAAAAAAAATAGGATTTACTATTTTTTTTCCAATTAAAAATGTTATATACAAACATCAAAATCATTAAAGGCTTATGAACGAATATAATAACCTAGCAAGCACTAAATAGTAATTTTAATCAAGGGTAAGAGTTTGTAGCAGACAATTATTTTATTGGATTAATAAATCTTTTAGATAATGGCTAATTTATGAATATTTCAAAAGAAATCATTCATTTTTTTAGTTTATTTTGGAAGAACTTTAAAAATTATTTGTCAAGATTTTAACATATAGTAAATGTAAACAAAAATTATATTAGAATCAACTGAACAATATTTAACATTTTGATAATAATTTGAATTATATTTGAAAATACTTCAATTATAAGAGCTCAAATTTTATAATTTTTATGTTGATTGAATAAAAGATTTTAACTTTTTAAACTTAATAAAACCATTATTTATTGTGAAATAGAATGAAATAAACAATCAGTTATTGGCTAGAAAATTAATTTGTTTTTTTAGTTATCTTAATTCTTATGTTCAGCTAACTGTTAATTATTAAAAGGACAGGTATATTTTTATTTTCAAGATCTCTTTTTTATTTTCTGAAACATAGGAGTAATAATTATAAACTATGGTGATTTAATTGAAGCTTGTAATAATTTTTTGTAACTAATTTGCATTTGATGAAGTGCAAAAATATTCCTTTTATAAAAATATTTTCTCATAAAAAAAATGAAAAGGTAATTAATAATAAAAATAACAAAATTCAAAAAATTTCTTTTTTTGTTAATTATTTGCTCTTGACTTATATGCTTATTTAATAAAAAACTCTAAATTAATTTCTAAAAATGCAAGACCACATATTTTATTTGATAAAAAAAATATATTTCAGCCAATAATTAAACAAAAAAATTTAACAAGCAAACAATTTCAAAATTTTGGTAATTAATTTAATATTTCTGTATAATCTAACTATCTAATAAAATGTTTTATGAGTATTCCTAATTCATTTCCCTTTTCATGATGAATGCTATGACTAGCGTCATCAAACCTAAAAATATAGTTTGAACCAAAATCATTATTATCTAGTTAAATATTTTTTGTTATAGGATGTAGTATTCTTCTTTTAATTGTATTTTCACCTAAAACAAATTCATATATTTCTTCTTCTATTGTTGAAGCTAACACTACATTGTCATTAGGAGAATAGGCAATTAACCTAGGTATTTTTTTGTCTAAATTCCTAAATCTAGAAAAAATTTCTCCATACTTTCCAGGAACGCTTAATTTTAGTTTAAGCAATGGAATAATTTCATGGAAAGTAAAGAGAGATGCAGGCCCAATTTGGTCTAATTCAACTTTTGATAGACTCAAAAGTTATTTTCTATTAACAGATATTACTTAGTTTAAATGATCTCTAAACTATTCATCTTGAAATTATTCAAATGTTAGATTATTCGAATCAATAAAATATCTTGTTTTTTCTAAGATGTAATATTGTTTAATTCCTTACCATAATGTAAGTGGGATAGATGCTAGCTAAACTAAACCTTCTACTCTTTAAGGCTTAAAATAAGTAAAATATTTCACAATCAGTCCCCCATACGAATGTACAACAAAGATAGCTTATTAAATATTTAACACAGTCATAAAGTCATCAATTAATTAAACAAGTTAATCAAATTTTCCTTAGTAAGCTCCTCTTCTTTCATCTTTTTTATCAAAGCCAGGAATGTATAAATTAATCATACGACAAAACTCGTAGCCTATCGTCTTTTCTATTTTACCAAAGTATCTTATACCTGAAGGGATGCCTGAAATAAATATAATTGTTTTTTTTTTCAACTCAAAGCGTCCTAAATTATCTAAGTTGTCTCTGTAATCAATAAATCTTCCATCTTCAAACTTAACTCTTTTAACTTCAGATTATTACTTTTAAAAGTTTTCTGACTGTAACTTAGATTCTAGAATATCTAATTCTTTCTTTATATAATTTTAAAATACTTCTTTATTTCTATCGCAAATATATTAAACAACTTCTGCTTATTACTAAATTGTTTAATCATTTCTTGGATCATTTTCAAATGAGTTTGTTTGAATATTTTGTATCATTTCTAAAACAATCAATAAATTTATTAATAACTTTTTTACCTAATTAAAAAAAAAATCAAATTTATCTTTTTATTTATTTCTGATAAAAAATGGATAATTCATAAACACCAAGTTAAAATTATAAATATCTATAAGTAAAATTTATCAGTATATCAACTTCACAAAATTTTTATTTGGATTTCTAAGTTTTAATTAGAGTCAAATATTATTGATAATAATCTAAACTAATTTTATAGTTATTAATCATTTTTTATTAATACTAGAAAATATTTAATTTTATAAAATATCTTTTAAAAAAAAAATTAATAGCACTATTTATGTATAATTATTTTAGTCAGGAGATTAGCATTAGGTTATGATCATTTTATATTTAGAATCTTATAAATAAAATATTAATAGGGAGACATTAATTATAATATATTAAATTCATTTAAAATTTAATTTAATATTTTTTTTCAGTTAAAACTAACATTTTAATTTATTTAAATAAATAGATGATTTGATGAAATTTTGATTATCACTTTTTTATTTGATAGCTTAAAACAGAAGCCTTCAAAAATACTAAACAAAAAATATTTTCATTTTAGTAATGACTTAATAGTATTTTTTAAGTATAAGAGGTTTGCCATCTTACCTAAAATAACTTTGTAATATTTTTAATAAAAAAGTAACATTGAAATTTGAAATATCATAAAAATTTAGAAAATATTTTGAAAACCAACTAAGTAATTAAAGATCTTTGGTATAATATATATTCTAAGTTGATTTATTGCTTGAGGGTATATAAAATATAATAAAAATACAATAAATAACACATAATATATTTTATAATATTATATATTTATTTTAATAAAACATATTCAAAAATAATACCCCTCTTATAAAAAATCATTTAAAACAAAGTAGAATTTAATTTTATATTACTTTTATAGTAGATTAATTGATATAATATTCAATTTTATCTTTATCTTTTATTAACTATTTTAATAATAATCTCTTTTTCTATTATATTCCTAATTTTAAATATTTAATTAACTAGAGAATTCTTTCACTTTCATTCATTTCTTTGTGTTTTTCTTTATTGTAAATTTATTTTTGATGTTTGATTTATAATTTCTATTTTGTAGACTAGCTTTTAAGAAAAGCTCTTCTTCATTATAGTTATTAATATATAGATTATATTTATTTTATAAACAAAGAATTTATTTTTAACGGCTTAAAATAAAATATGAATAGATAAATATATTCTAATTTTTTTAACAATTTATATTTGTTGAAATTTTAAAATATTTAAATCTTTGAAAAATAAAATACTGTTTGTTTATCTTAAAAATACATTTTTTAAAATTTGTTTTTATAATTGATATTATATTTTGTAAAATATTTCTAAATAAAAACACTAGTTACTACTCTTTTTTTTCTAATTAAATATTGTTTCCTTCATTTAAATTCTGATTGTCTAATTTAATTAAGTGTAAATAGGGCTTATAATAAAAAATTTGTGAAGATTGTTTGATTATTTATTACAAAAGAATTTGAAATTTGTTAAGGATTTATTCAATGTACAAATTTGCGATAAAAGTAATTGAATATTGACCATAAGCTAGAGATATATTTAATTCAATTTTTAGACTTTGTGATAACAAATTATACACAAATACACATTTTTCAAATTTAGTAAGTTAAATAATATTGTATAAAAATAATAAATTAACAATTAAATTCATAGATTTTATTTCCATTTTATAGTAAATTTGTAACATTTGTTTTAAAAAATTACTTTAAAGGGAATTAATTGAAGTAGAACAGATAACGAAACAAATATTCATTGGTATAAGAAAAACTTTTAATTTCTAAAAATAATAACAAATATCTTAATTTTAAAATTTGTATAAGTAAAGTCACCAATAAATTAAGATGCATTTTAAGGTAGTTGATTGAGTAAATCAATTATTGGTTAAAATAAGAAAAAGTTAGAAAAAGTAATTAAAGACTAATATAATCTAATTTGGTTTGTTTGGTTTTAACAGCAAGGATAAAAGATATAAAAGACATATGTCCTTGAGCTTTTAATATTTTATTGGAGTAATCAAGCCCTCATTTTAAAAACTCCTTTAGCCAATATTAAGAAATCAGCTTCTGGATTATAGATATTTTATAATGCAGATATCAAATGTTTTAGAAATAATAGGGATATAAAAGAAAACCTACTTTTTTACTAACTAAAAAAAAAAATCAAATCTTCTATCTTGTATCTATCTATCTAATGGTATATCAAATTAAAAATAATTAAGAGAGATAATTCGAAGTTAACATTTAATTCTGTATTTATTTACAATTTATTTATTTTTGTATGATTTCTTATTATTGATAAAATTTTCTTTGATTGATGAATTAATTGATTAGTTAATTAATTAATTTAATTTTTTTCATCTTTACTCATAATTCAAGTTGTTATAATTCAATTAACAAGAAATATATTGGATAACTTTACAAAACACCAATCAAAGAAATTAAATTACAAAACAAAGAGAAAATTATAAAAAGAAATAAATAAATATAAGTAGTGAAAGAAGAAGAGTCATAAGAACTATCTGACAGAGAACTCCTCTTTTTAAATAAAATATTGTAAAGCCATAATCGCCAAAGGATAAAGTAGTTACAAAACTAAAAAGTCTCCTGGAAAGATAGGTTAGCTTATAGATAGCCAATAAGGAAAGTATTAGATGTCGGCGCATCAACTCAACATGATCTCTTAAGATAAAGTGATTAATTCATTAAATAAAATAAGTAGATGAGCAGTTTGAATAAATTAACTTTTAAATTTATAGTAAATAGGTGATTACTCAAGCCATAAACAGAATGGATAACTAGTTATTAGTAGCAATTAACTGTAAATAAAAGAGGGGCAAAATTAAATGTTACTTAACGAGAACATAAATAGCAATTTTTAGTTGAATAAGAACAGTTAACAGCAATTAATTGGATAGTCTACTGGTTAATAAATTTAAAGGTTCAATAATACAACTCCTAATGGTGGTAGTAGTAACTCTTTGAGTAATTAAAATAATTAGGTTTTTTAAAATTAAGATAATTATAACAATTCTCAAAACTCAAATTAGCAGCCGAGCACAATTAACGGTAACAACTATAAAGTGATTAAAACTTACTAAAAATTAGGTGTTGCAGGTGGTAGTTCTGCAACTAATTTTTCAAGTCAAAATACAACTTAATCTTCAAGAAAAAGAGGATCATAAAATTAACATTAAAGCTAATCTTAAAGTTAGCAGTAAATGTTAGCAGCATAATAGGAGATAGCCTTAATACGTGAGTAGTGTATTTTTTGCCAAAAATTTACAGCTTATCGCAGTTTTGGGCCTCTTCTAAATAAAGCTCTTTATTCCAAATATTCTTCATCATAGAATTATTTCTACTCTAAAGATATAAATGATATTTTGGGAAATGTTTCAACAAAAGTAGTCATTAGATTTCGAGATCTTGAAACTTACGATGAAGAAGAGGAATTTTTAAAGAGATTTTACCATAAAAATTAACAACCTGTTAAGATGCGTGATTTGACTGAATATTATAAATACCACAAAGACATTCCAAGATTATTTATGGTTAGTATAGGTAATGTAATGAATCGTTATCACGACAAGCGTCGTAGAATAGAATACTAGCGCATTAAAAAATAATTAAACTTCGAAACTTCTAACAACAACAATTCTGAAGATAGTCAGTTAAACACAGAGGAAGAAGATTCAAATGGTAACAAGGCTTCTAAAAAGAAAGAAATTCCTAAAGAATGCTCAAATATGCTACAAGAATTAGATGTAACTCTCAGCTTTCATCAAAGGATGGAAAACAAAATAAAGCATATAAATATTGATGGTACTAGCAATAATCAGCACATTTCCGCTAATTATAATGGAATGAATGCATTTTATATGAATCAGCAACCTAACAAGGTTTACTTATAACAATAAAATCGCCCCTAATCAAATATATTTGATATGAGCTCTATGATGTAAAAAGCGAGTAACAAAAATTTCTTTCCTGCCCAAGCCGCTTCATACAATGGTAATAGCAAAATTGCTCTCTAGAATTAAATTTAATTTAACTATTACAAAGCTGGAGAATTTGGTAATGAAAATGAAAGCAGTTATTAGCTTTCAAGAATTTTACAAAGTTTTCAGCATAATGCAGATGATAAGTACTTTTACTCTATAGAGACATCAATGTCGAATATGAACAATATTCTAAACACACAGACTGACGATTTGAGTTTTCTCTCAAATCAAAATATCTAATTCTAACAGCAGACTTAACCATCTCGTATATAATATCCTTAAAATAGTATTAATAATAAAATTGTACCAACTTTAAACTTCTCTAAAAACAATAAAAATACTTAAAATAACATGCAACCTACTTTAAACGAAGATGTTTAATCCTAAATCCATTCTAAAAACAAATAAATGGCAGAAAATGCAATTCTAAACCAAAAATATCAAAGCATATTAAGTTAAAATTAAATAAAATAATAGCAATAATCTTCTTCATCAGGATCGTCCAACAACTATACAAGCAATTCTCAACAAATGCTAAATCCTTTCTAAGAAATTCATTCTAACTTGCCTAATTAGAAGCTTTCTAATATAATTTAAGAGCAGTAAATTAAAATGCAAAAAGCTCTCCTTAACAATGGAATGCAATTAAGCTCTAACAATATAGACGGTATATAAAAACAGTCTACTAATTAGCTTCCCTCTTAATAAAAAATATAATAAAATATTTCTTCTTCTTAGTCTTCCTCTAATTCTTTAGTTAAGTAAAATAACATTAACTCTAATTTATTTATTAAATAACCTTCCTCAAGCTCTAATAACAACCTTGGAGGTAAGGAAGGAGGATTATCTATTGATAAGTTAGCCTCATAGTCATAATCAACTACTAACTAATAAAAATAAACAATAAATGCAAAACAAATAATGAAAGTTTTGACGCAAAACCAAAATAGCTCAAATAATAAAAACGCAGGATTTTCTAATAGCAATTAACCAGTCACTGCTACTAATTCTCCTCAAACTTCTTTGATAGAAAAGGACTCCAAGTAAGCAAATTCCCAGTAAAGTTAGTAAGCATAGATAATTGACTAACTGAAAGTAAATAACTAAGTAGGTAATAATCAAAATACAAATAATAACTAGGCATTAACAAGGAACAAAAGTAACCAAAGTATAAGCTAAAAGATTTTATAAAAAAGAGCAAGTGATAATATTTATTCTTCAGCCAGTGTTAATCCTCTGCTTTAATGCTCTACGAGAATTCCTTCAACTTAAAAAAATTCTTAAAATATCAATGCAATCAATTAAATGCCATTTTAAGCCAATAATAATTAAAATAGCAATAACAGTACGAACATCAGTAATAATAACATGAAGAAAAATGAAATTGACTCAAATAAGTAACAGTAAATTGAAAGAAGATATCAAACTGCTGAAAGGGAAAGAATATTCAGTGAAAGAAAAGAATTAAATGATAAATTTTCAATTACCAACACAATCAATCAACTTAAATAATCTGAAAAGCAATCTCCTACAATTAAGATATAATAATAAAATCTATTATCATCTTAATAGCAATCTTCTTAAAATTAAATTTTATAAATCATGTCTCAAAGGTAATCCAAAGAATAAATTTACACATAAAAGTAGCAGTAATTCGAACAGTATTAGCTTAAGCAAAATGTAAATAATAACAATACTCCTGCCACTACTTCTAATACAAGTAGACCTCGCTCTAGCCTTCATTAAAATTCTGCTTCTTAATCTTCAAACCCTAAGCATTCCACAAACAAAGCTCAATAAGTATAAATAAATCCTCTTTTTCAAACTCTTCGTTAGTAAAATATATAATAAACAATATCTAACATAAGTTCTAATGTTAACTCTTAAATAAATAACATGAAATGTGAAAGTATGCCCTCTTCAAGTGCTTTGAATAATCAAACAATTCAAAACTAACAACATTCTTAACTAAGTAGCACTCTTTAATTCTTGACATCATAAAATTCTTAAAATAATCTTTAATTTTCTCAACTATAAGTAATATCTGATGGATCTTCTTCTCCTTAGCAATTATTTTACTAAAATTAGTAGCCTTAATTACTTTTAAATGATCTTTAATCGCATTATCACTATTCTTCTCCAAACACCAATAACAATCCTGATAAATTACACAATAACAACGGTGATCTTAGAATCAAAAAACGCAAAGAAGGCTAAACAAGTTTAAATGTTAAGGGAAGTTCTATTACAGGAGTGAGTGGATTGGTTGGAAGTAGCAGCAATATGAACTTTAGCTAGCTTAGTCAGATAAATTAACCAAATATTAGTTAAATTTCATAATAAGTTCAGCAACAATAGTAATAACCATAATAATCTTCTCGTAATCACCTCAAATCATAAAATTCATCATAAAAGAAAATTAAACATTCTTAACATCAAGCACCACAATTAGATATATAATAATAGATACAAGTGTAAATGAATAGCAATAATAATTTATTGTCCCAAAACTCTTCCTCTTAGCAAGCTCCTTCGATCAGTTAAACAAATTTCTTTAACTCTAAGCGTAACTCTTAAATTTAATAATTAAATCCTGACTTGATTAAAACGTAAGTCTACAAGACTTAATCCACTTTTGGAAATAACTAAAACTAAAAAAATCGTTCTTCAAGCAATCCAAAGCAGTTGAAATTTCCTCTCAATGCAAATAATTACAATAGCAATTTTATAAATTCTGGTAATGTCTAAATTCCTAAAAATTAAAATTTCATATTATAATACGACACTAACACACCTAATTCTGCAGCTTTGCAATCTTCTATTCAATAACATTCTAGCCAACAATAGCAGTAATTAGCTAACTACTAATAGTAATAGTAAGTAATTTAATTACAATAACAACAATAGCAACAATAGTAATAATTATAGTAAGTTTAATAGGGAAAGCATTAAAAAAGTAATTCTATTGCCATTTAGCCTGGCAATAATAATATTTATAAATAAAGTTCAGTAAGCAGCCACACAAATTTTAATTCTAATCATTCTTAGACAAGCAGTTAGCCAAACTTGCTTTCATCTTCCCTTTTAAACTAATTACCTTAGAATATGAATGTACTTAATGGAATAAATACATAACCAGCAAGTACAAAAATTCCAAACAGTAATTCGATAAGTAATTAAGCAAATACAGGCAACGGTATCAACTCAAATAATAATTTTACATAAATTAATTTGTAATTAATTAAAAATTATAACACAGGAAGCACAAATATTATAAATTCAAATAATTAAAACTCAAATGACATTACAAACACCTTAACAATAGGTACTCCTGTTTATTAGCAAAGTAATTAAGGAATGCAAAAGCACTCAAGGACGAGAAGTCAAGAGTTAATTACTAACTAAATGAATATTATAGGATCTAGTACTGCTCGTAATAATGATAATCTGAACGCAAATTAATAACAAATAATGAATAATTTACCTGGAGGTGTCTCTTAGATTAACTAAGTTTATGAGCACAAATATCACTATAACTAGCCTTAATCAGTACGAAATAAAGCTGAAAGAACAACTTCTACACATTTTAGTGACTCAATTAAAAGATTGATAGAATAGAATACAATTTCAAGTTCTTCAACAACTACTAACAGGACAGGTTCAATGATATCTGCTCAGTAATTCATTTCTTCAAAATAAAAAAGTTAAATCTAAAGTAATTAAAATCTTACTAACAATTCTTCTAAATACTATAATTAAAACATGACAAATAGCCCAGTCTCTATTCGTAAAAATATTATGAATAGTAACAATAATAATGGGAATGCAAATAATAATAATCAAAATAACTTAAAGAAAATGAACAGGATAGATACTTTTGCAGCTAGAGTGAGCAATATGATAAACATTTTTGATCCTAACTAATAAAATAGTTAACATGTATTGACTAATCTCCACAACAACAGTGGAGGAGTAAATAATATAAACAGTACTTTGAGTAATTTTAATACTAATTAAATACCATAAACTTAGCAACAATTAGCAAATAACAGCAACAACCTAAATCATAATATTAATACTACCTTAAATAATAATTAGGTTGCAAATAACTCAAACTATACAACTCAATCTAATTAAGTTAACATTTAAAATTATCCTCCAAGTGCAAGAATTAATTTAAATGCAAAAAATTCTTCAATTATTAGCCACACTGGTTCTCTTAGTAGAAATAATTCTCCTTCAAAACAAAAACCAATCGGGGAATTAAATATACAATAAAATTAAATGACAGGAAGCATATCTCCATAGATGATTAATTCAGGTTCAACAGGAGCACTTTAATTAAATTATTAAGTACCTCAAAACTTCATTCCATCTTCCACATAATCTAATACTGCTCAAAATTTATCTTAACAAATAAGTAACTCTTCAAGAAACGCCTCTTCCCAAAGAGGAGCCTCTAAGGCAAGCTAATTAATTAGATACAGATAAAATAATTAATGAAGAAATAAATATATTGAAAGAATATTCATTCAAGCAAGAATATTTTAATTAATCAAAAAAAAAAGAAATAAATATATATTTTTATCTATAATAACGAAAACTAAATAAAAGTTAGTTATAATTTGAATAAAAGCTACTTTCTCTAGTGAATATGATAATTAGTCTAAATAGATAAAAATAAGTTTAGTTTTTAACATTCTTTAAACTTATTTACCAATAATTATTTTATAAATGTCAATATTTATTAAAAATATCTATAAATAATATGTAAGCTTATATTTTATGTCTAAAACATATTAAAATAAATTTTTCTTATAAACAATTTGTCTTTATAAATTACTCAAAAATTTTAATATTATAAAATTAGTAAATAGTAAAACGATAAATTATTAAAATTGTATTTAGTGATTAAAATAAGTTAAATTTTTTAAATTCTTCAAGCTAATTTACCAATTGATATTTGATAAATGTTAATATTATTTATATGCAAAGCATATTAAAATAAATTATTTTTCTTATAAATAATTTTATATTTTTAATTTTTATTTGCAGCCTTTGTTTCTTCCAATTAGTAAATAAGAAAATGATATATTATCATACTGTATTGATATAGTTATTGTTATTATTATATTTTTAAAGCAAAATATTATTTGTCATGATGGTAAGCCATTAGAGTAGTTTTTGCTTAAAATTTTCATCATCATCCATTCTATTTTTAATTTCTTATAATTATGGAAAAGATAAAAAAAACAAAAATATATTAATAATGCTTGTTTTGAAATTTACTACTGAATTTGTAGGAAAGGAATTTTTATTTTAGTTTCTTCTATAAAATTTAAATATATTTAAATAAATTAGAAAGATTATTAGTGATTAGAAAGAAAAGTGAGTGTTGTCTTTCTTTGATTTTTATAATAAAAAAATTACTACCATCTAGAAATTAGATATTTGTTTATCATAAAATAATTAAAAAAAGTAATTATAATAAGCTTATTATCTCAAAATAAATAAAAGGAGGAAATGACTAGCAAATAACCTATAGAAAATGATTATTTATCTTTAAAAGTATACAAATGCACTAAAAATTTAGAGGAAGAACACATGAAAGAAATTTTTAGTTAATTTGGAACAGTAGTTGCAGTAAAGAGAGTTATTAAGCCAGAAACTGGAATGAAAGATTAAATTATGTATGTGTAATTTGACAGATGGTAAGGAATGGAACAAGCGTACTGTCACTTAAACCACTCATATATAGATGGATAGAAAATAACTATTGAATTTGTATCAGAAGATTATGATAAGATTAACCAATTAGATAAAGAGTAACACAAGAATTACTAATAATAAAAGTAACAGAACTATAACTAATAATACGATAATCAAAATGATCGCTACAAATAGGATAAGTAATTCATTGATAATTTATAATTACAAAAGAACTAAATTTGTTTCTAATCGCTTTTTAAATTTATTTTAGCTATAACGATAGAGGCTACAATAACTATGATTATGATGAAAAGTATATTTAAACTTTCAATTATTCTTATTTTTATATTTTTAAGTCGTTTAATGCCTAAATATCCAACCAAAGATCTTAATGAAAATCAAACATTCTTTGAGATTTTAGAAATAAGATATTGATTGGTTTAAATGAATGCTTAAATTTTAAGCTCATGTTAGAATAAGTAAGAATATTTCTTTATTATTTAAAGGAGAGATAGTAAAGACTATTCTTCTAAGAGAAACGACAAAGACAACTACTACTATTAATCTCATCCTGATAGAAGGTAAAATAAAAGCTTAAATAACTAGAAATTTTTCTCTAAAATTTAGTTAAATTAATGTTGATAAAGTTAAATATAGATAAGGATATTAATTAGAAAAATTAAGTTAATGAGTATATTAATAAAAAATAAATAGAAAGTGAATAAGAAAAGATATCTTTCTTTCTATCTATCTATCAATCAATCAATCTTGTTTGTTTTAAAAATTTTTTAATTTGAAGATAATAAATTAATTAATTAATTTGTATGAGAATTTAATAATGCTGAATAAAACAACATAGATAGATGAAAAAAACGATCGATTATGGTAATTATTTTAAATATTTTAAATAATTTGAATATAGATCTGATGATAATAGAAGTTATGATAAAAATGATAAGTATTATGATTAAAAGAATAATAGAGATAATTCTTAAGGTTATAGATAAAACTCCAATTATGATAATAATAGATATGATACTAATAGAAATAGAGCAAATTCACCCTATAACTAAAGATATTAAAGAGATTATAACAACAACAACAATGGCAATTATAACCAAATGAATAATTACAATGATGATGGAAGAAATAATAATCGTAGCAATAACGAAGATAGGTATAAAGAAACTTTCAATTAGTCTTATTTGTTTTAAACTATCACATACTTTAATGCTTTACTTAACATAATAATTTATTCAATACATACTTACTTAAACATCTAATAATAGTTTGTTCCTTCATCTTAAATTGAATCTTTAAATTTTAAATATTTTAAATCATTTTAGTTTAGGACTGACTATCTATCAATTTTATGATAATGATACAAAGGTAAAGTAAAGTAAATTATTTATAAAAAATAGAGATAGAAGATATTCAAATAATGCATACAACAATAACTATGATAATGGAAGCTCAAACAATAAATAAAATTATGATCGTTAAAATTACTCTAAGAATAACAATGGCTATAATAAAGGCAGAAACTATGATAACTATTCCAATCATTATAACAACAACAAGTAATTCTCTCATCACTAAACCAATTGATAATTTAATTTTTATTTTATTTTATGCCTAACCAACACTACTACACTAAGCAAATAAACCTCTTTAAATTATTACTCAATGCATTATTTAATTTTCATAGCTTGGTAAAATTAATCAAAATAGCCTTAAAATTAAAAAGCTAGCACTCTTTTGCAGCAAATAAATTTCTTTTTAAAACATATTGACATGCTTTTTTTAGTTCTTCAAAATTTAACTTATCAATCAATCAATCCAAAAATTATTTTACATACTTTAAGTAATTTATTTAAATAATTAAAACCACATTCTTAAATGTTTTAATATGTGAAATCATTCTTTATAAGCTAGATTTAGAATAGGATTATTTAAATAGCGAGCTTAGTTTTATTATAGAGTGCTGAATATAGTATAAAGATTTTATTTTATTTTTGATAAAAATTAGTAGGTTCTATTATTATTTATATTCTTCTTAAGTTAGCTTTCTATAGTAAAGTAAGTATACATACTCTAAATTAGTTAATATTAAATAAAGGTAAGTTAAGTTATATCTGTAAAAATCTATTGGTTTTATTGTTTCGAAAACAGTTAAGCTTCTTCGTTTATTTCTCTACTTTACATAAGTTATTGCTACTTTAGGATAATCAAAATTTTTTAAAGAAATTGTTGGTCAATTAATTAACTGTTTTAAATAAATAAGTTAGATGTTAAAGTTAAATATTATAAAAAGATTTTAAATAAAGCTAATTAATTTGTAAGGCTATTTGATTATTATTTTATTTATATTTAAACTTGTTAGAATCTATTAATTAAAATAAGTTGGTTACTTCAAAGAGTTGATATGTAAATTTATTCATTAAAATCTAATTAATTAAATAAAACAGAAATGAATCAAGAAGCAGAAGTAGAGATAATCAATATAAAAACTACAATTAGAAGAAATACTAAAAAGATAATAAGTCTCATAATCATAATAAGTCTCGTTCTATTTCTAGTAGCAAATCGTACGCCTAATCTCCATATAATAAATGATTAGCAGCAATTTCTTTTTAAGTAAATGCAGTCAAAGAAAGTAAAATAAGCAAATGAAAATTAAATTATATTCTGAATTTTATTTATATATTCTACTTTTTATGTATCAAATTAGTCATTTTTTTATATTAATTTTTTACCAAAAAATTGGATATGCCAATTTTATTATTTTAATTATACTTTTAATTTTGGATAAATCTCATAATTTACTTTTTAAAGATATTCCAAATAAAATTATTGCAAAAAAGATGTCATTTTATTCAAAAAAATTAAATATGTTTTAACAAATTTAAAAATAAATTAATTCTTAAGTATTTAAAATTTATATTCACATTTTGTTTATTTTAAATAATAAAAATGAAAATTAAAGTAAAAGAATTATTGTTTTAATTATTAAATACTACTACAATAAAAAAACAAACAGATCAAGTTTTCTTACATCATTTTTTTATTTTATATATTATTTGTAATTCAATTGGTTTTTATTGTTATATATAATTTAAATATAAGTTTTATACACTAATTAGATAATGCTATAAGATAAAAGAGATAACGCAATAAATATTATTAGTGGTTAGTAATTTAAAATCTAAAAAAATGCAGCAATATTCGTTGTGAAAAAAATCCCCAAAAAAGTAGTAGCATAATCAAAGAGTCCAGCTAAAAAAGTATTAAGAAAAATTGGAATTGAAGTCAAAGCATAAAGATAACGATCATAAGAGTTACCTGATTTAAATCAATAATTTGGTTTAGATGATGAAGATGGAGATTCTAGTAAAAGAAAAGATAAGTAATTAAAAAAGAAGAAAGTTATATAGGATAATTAATTACAAGAAAATGTTTAACAACCTAATAAATCTACTAATCTTGTGAATGATAAAACTCCAGCAATGCCTTAGATCAATAGCCACGAAAAGAGCCAAAGCCCTCTTTAATATAAACAAAAAATTTAAATTAATTTAAATCAAAGCAATTAAATATAAAAAGTTTAGCAACCCAGCAAACATTCATTACTTGTAGTTAAAGACTTTTCATCCTCACCAGATAAAAAGAGCTTTATTAGTAATCAATTAAGTTAAGGGCAGATGAAAGTTATTTAAGCTAATTAGATCTAAAAAGAAAGTGAATCACCAAAGCTTTAGCAATCTGATTAAAAGTAGTTATAACACCACAATCACCATCACAATAAAACTGTAAAGCATGAAGTAAATTAAATATAAAAAATATAAATTATAGTATTTACAGTTATTTTTTTTTATATATTAAAAAGCATGTTCACTCTATCACATCTTAAAGTGGAAATTTATTTATCAGTACTAACGATAGGTTCTAGTAGAATAACACTAACTATGTTAACTAAGTTATTTAAAATTCATCCTCATTTAGTCATTAAAATACTTTAAAAAAATAAAATAATTTGAGTATTCATTAATAATAGCAAGTTGAATAGAATTAAAATTAGTAAAATGTTAATACAACAAACTAAAGTTAACTTTAATAACAATAATAACAATAGCAATAATAATAACAATAATAACCTCCAGTTATTAAATTGAGATACTTTAATATTGACAACTTCTTAAAAAATAATCCCAAATTTTTTTTTGACCATGAGTCAATGCAAAAAAAAGTTTAAATTAAAAAATAAGAAAATGTTAAGAAACTTAGAAAACTCATTAAAAAAACTGATAAATTTAATGAATCTAACACTTAAAAAACAAAAAAAAATTCAATGCAAATAAATACAAAAGATATTCCAACAACACCTTTAGATTCATAAAATGATCAGAAATAGAAATAATAAAATTAATTAGATACTTCTTAAATCTAAAAACCATCTGATAATACCCAAAAAGAAAAGAAGATGTTACAAAGTGAAAATATAAACTAATAAGAGTTTTTTATTTCTCTAAACAATCAGCAGTCTTAATAAACTTAAATTTTAAAAGAAAGAGGCTCTCGTTATGAATAAAAACTTTCTAAATTTTAAATGAGAATATCTTAAAAAAACATTCAAAGCGATTCTGAAAAATAAAATTAGGGTAATCAAGACTAAGATAATGCTGATAATCAAGATTAAGAGGAGGATGTTGATGCAGATGACGATGATGATGAAGAAGATGATGAATAAGAGGAGGAAAGCTAGAGTGAAGAGCAACTAAATAACAAGTAATCTAATTAAAGTGTGAATAATGATCCATTTAAATAAGGGATAACATAAATTACTGCTGAAAATGAAAAAGATTTGATAAAATCTTAAGATTCTCAAACAAAATAAATTTACATAGAAAAATTACCTTCAATAAACATATAAAAGCAGGATCAAACTTAAAAGAGCTAAAAAGAATAAAGTTTAGAAGAGAACAAATAAATATCTCCTTCATTTTAAGCTAGTAATTAGAGTAACTAGCAAAACAAGATTCTTTTTTATGCTTAAAGATTGTCATCTCCTAAAAGTTCTAGATTGTAAAGCCCTTGCTAGATACTCAAGAGCTAATAGAGTTTAGAAAAAATTTCTATTTTATAAAATTAAAATAAATAAGAAAATAAAAATTTTTATCTTAATATAAACATGAATAATAAGCTTCTTAAGAAAAATACATTTATGAAGAATGACATAGAGTCATTATTATCATAAAGAAAATCATTAAAAAAAAAGAATTAAATTCAAAACGACAGATTTTAATGTATTAAATTAAAAAATTACTACCTTTCTCACAGAAATGGTTTAGGATAACCTAAATAGTACTTGGCTATATTTCATTTTGATGGAGTGCTAGGGAGATACGACAGACCATTTTTTTAGAAAGGGGAGAATTATTATGATGAAGAATAATAATGCTATAATGTTCAAATGTCTAAGGATATGAGCATTCATGAATTAATGTTAAGATATTTTTGGTAAAGAGAAAATCTCAAGATCATGTTCAAGTCAATTTCTTAGTTTTATTAAGTTGTTATTATTTTTCCTGAAAAAAATGAAGTTTGGGATTATGTATTTAACTTTTTTATGCACAACAAATATAATATTGATGGTATTTACTATATGCAAAACCCATCGGACCAATAAAGTAATGAAAACTAATTTTTTGAGAGAATTTCCTCTTAGAATTACAAAACTTAGTTTAAACAACCTTTAATTTAGGTAAAATAAAGTTTTAGAAAATAAATTAAACTTTTAATATTATTTTAATTAATGAAAAGGGATAATCTACGTAAAATGAAAGGACTAAACTTTTGGTGGATTACAATATTGTATTAAATGAGTTTGATATCAGAAATCCTAAAAAGATTTTAATTTTTAACTCTTTAGATCTTCATTATGACGAGACATTCTTTACAATAAAAACTCCTTTTTAAATGCTAAAAGAATAATAGCAATAAAATTTATAAAACGAAAAAAAGCAAATGGAGGATGAAATGAAATTTAAATATTATGATTAAAAATATTAAAAAGATTAGCAAAGCTATCATAATAATTAAAACTTTTAGAATAATGAAGAAATTCAATAAAATAATAATAGTAGCATTTTTCCATTGATTAATTAATATTAATATAATAAAAATAACGCATAGGATACTGTAGTAAGTTAAAGTGAAGATGATGCTTCTATGTAATCTTCTTTTTAAGCAACTTTTTACTTCGGAAAAACAGAGTAAATGCAAGCAATACCACTAATTAATAATAATATTTAAAATTTTCCTATGCTCAAATAGCTTCTAATTGACAATTCCGATTACGGGAAACTTTTTATTGGTAAATTCCCAAATATTAACGTCAATAAAGAGTGCCTTTGTCTAGTCCTTCTCCCAAGTATGTATAATAAAGATAGGAATAACAAATATGGAGCTGGGACTAACTGCAAGATACTAACAGAAATTTGCATTGAGTTTATGCATGAAGGATCATAAAAGAATTACTTGTAAAAAAACAGAACAATGTGGGGATTACTAAATTTGAAGCAGGAAATATATGAATCCTACATATATAAATCAAAAAGTGATATAATAAGAGAATACCAATAAAAACTTCTTTTTGAATGTTAGGAGTAAAAAAACATAATGTAAATTTAATAAAAAACTAATAAGCTAGATGAAGAAGATGTAATAAAAAAATTAGATTAAATCTTTAAGGAAAAAGTTTTAAGTATCCAAGCCAAGCAACCAAATAAAATCGCAATCGAGGATCTGAATTTAGAAGAATTAACAGTCAATATTGAGGATATTTGTCAGAGAAATAATAAAATAATAAAGTAATTCAACACATAAGGAAAACTTAGAAAAAACCAAAACTATATTGAAGAAGATCTAGAAATTTTAAATTGGAAAGCTAAAGAAATGATAGACAAAGCAAATTGTATAAATTCCAAACTAATTTGTAATTAAATGAAAGATATAAAAATTGCCTCTAAATACTATGACTCCTATTTTGTTTGTTTTGAATCTTTTAAAACTTTTCTATTGTAAATATGCTGTTTCTTATTTATTTTATGATTTTGGCTCGAATCTAATTCATAAATTAGATCGATCATTTCAAAATTTATTTATCTATCAATTTTTAATAATTTATTAAATTCAAAAAAATTAAGAAATTAAAAAAAAAGAGGAAAAATCAAAATCCCCTCAAATAATTAATGATAAAAATGAAATTATGAACAAATATCTCAAAGTTTTTCAATCTCCATCTATAAAATAAATATAGAGCTGCAATCACACATCCAAATACCGAAAGTTTTTCATCCGCTTATAAAGAGATAAAGAATAGTTCTTAATTTCATTAATTATCATACTCCATTCTAAGAATGACGATGGAAAAATCAAAACAAATTATTAATTCTCTCCAAATGATATTTTTTTCCAAAAAATTTTAGTAAAGATGACAAAAATAATAATAAAAAATAAATAATTTTGCAATATGATATCTCGTTTTCTAAGACAAACCTAAAATATAGTAGCTTAAATATCCATTTAATTTTAAATTATTATAAAAACTTAAAAAAGAAATATTTGAAAATAAATATAAAAATTAAATTAGCCAAAAAGAAAGAAATAAAATTTAAAAATAAAAATCATAAAATAATCAAAATAAAAGATAAATAGATGAATAAATATAAAAAAAAAGAAATGTAAATCCCCAAAAAGCAAAATTTAAATTTTTTAATAATTTGTTTTTTTAATTATCAAATATAATTCAAGCTATAGAAAGAAAATATTGATAATCTTATGTTGGAATAATTAAAATATCTATTTTATTAAAGTAGCAACAACATATATGATAATTATTGTAAATCTCTAAATTTTACAATCTTTACCTTTTAAAATTAATTTAAAACACTAAAAAAATAATTTTTAAGTTACATTGTATAAATTAATAATCAAAATTTACATTATTAATGCACTTATAACAAGGAATAAAATAAATATTTCTATTTTATTTTTGAAAAGCAAAAAGATTTTTGAGTTATAAATAGAGTAAAAGAGAAGGATAAGATTTTTATATTGTTTGATAACAAATCAAAATATAAATATTAATTTTACTTTAAAATTGATTATTGATTTATTATAAATAAAAAGTAATACAAAATGATGAAATATTCTATCTTATTATTTATATTTCTTTACATTAATCTTAGCCAAGCTGGTCTTCCTGGAGGATGGCATGAAGTAGATTTAAGTAACCCTTAACAATAGTTTTAATAAGCAATTTAGTTTTCTAAAGAAAATTTTGTATCTGATTGTAAACTAGAAAATCTAAATTCATCAGTTTAGTTACAAAATGTGATTAAAGCCTCATATTAAATTGTTGCTGGTACTAATTATAAAATAGTATTTAAAACAGATCACTATAGCGAAAGCACCCTAACTGTTAAAGTTTTTGCTTCTTTACCTGACAATGGAAAAGTAAGCTACTCAATAACAGAATGCTTCTGAGCAATAAATAAATAATTAATTAATTTTATTCTATGTTAATAAGTGAGTAGGGTCAAATTAAAAAAAGTATAAATGGTCTTTTAAAAGCTTATTTATGTTTTTATATTTGAGTATTCATTCTTAATTCTTTATTTGAATAGAAAAAAACAAAGAAATAAAATAAAATATTTACTCAAAATTGATCATTTGATATATTTTTATAAGTATTAAATTACAAATTTTATGAAATTCCTAATTAAGTTTTATTTTTAAAAAATTAATAATGAATGAATAGCATAAAAATTAATTTATTTTTTGGAAAAATAGTTTTTGAATGAAAAAAATATTAATAAAATAAAATGATCAACAATTTTTTTAAATCTGTTAAGTTTGTTTGATGTATTATTTATTATAAATTTATTCACAATCATTTTTGGTTTTGTATTATAGATAAATCTAAGATACTCATTAGAGAAATATTTGCATCACTTTAGTTGAGGGAATTAATGGCACTTATATCATTTATATTTATAGGAAAGTATTCTTTTTGTTATTCTTCTTTGTATTTTTTGTCATCTTACTCTTCTTATTCTAATTCTTCTTCGTCTTCTTCTTCTTATTTTATATCTTTTTATATTTGATTTTTTATATTTTTCATTACGAAATATTATGAAAATCTTGGATTGTAGCCTATCAACTCAATTATTTTAGGAAGAACACAATAGTAGAAATTTTGATTTTTTAAAGAATCCTTAGATAACTCATATAAATCTTTTAAGTCACTTTCAAATTAACTTAAATCATGTTGATCCAGTTTCTTATTTTTGGTAATGAAGTAAAAATTAACTAAGTACATAGCCTCATTGAGTAAATAGATAGCTTTATCTTTCATTTTTTTTTATTACTATTATTAGATTTTAACTTTGTTCTTTACATAAATAACAGGGTTCATAGCTTCATTATATAAATACATGCATTTTTCTTATTATAACTCTTCTTTAAAATAATTATTAAAGTAATCCACAAAATCTTAGGAAATATCTTTTATCAAATTATTTTTATACAATTTTATTAATTCATGAAGACTAAGGTAATAACCGCTAGAAATAGCCTAAGAATTTTACATTTTATGGTCGTTATTAAATAGATCATTCCTTTGATTGACATCAGTCCTTTATAGAATGTAGTTTATTGATAATTAGTTTAAATTTTTATAGAAAATCATCATATTCTATTTTTTAGTTAAGTAAAACGATTTAAAGTTTTATCATTTTTAAGATTTAAATTATAAAAACTTTTCATATCAAAGTTAAATTTATAAAAATGTAATGCAAATTTTTTTATTTTTCAATTATTAAATTTTTTTAAAAACTATTTCTTAAATAGTAAATTAGAAATCATTTACTTTTTGAAATAAACAATTTTAATATGGAAAAAAACCTAAATTAAATGATAAGATTTGAAAGCACCTTAAATTCTCATTAATTAAGGTAAGCCTAATGAAGGAATAAAATTCAAATTTTAGAAAAATTTAATAGATTAAAACTAGGAAAATGGTTTTTTATAAAAACCTTAAGTAATGATAATATAAGGTATATATTATTTATTTTGTATTGTAAATCTGGATAAAAAAAACCACGAGATTAAATAAATATGAAGGAATTTATCAAAAATAATGAATTACTTTAATACATTTCTCTATGAGTTCTTAAGGGAGAGATAGTTCTTTTTCTACAAAAATATTTCTAAACTAGTGCAATTAGAAAAAGCTGTTTTGTGTTGTTTTTATTTAATTTTTTAAATCAGAAAGCTATTTTTGAATTTCTTCATAGAGTTCATAAATTAAATTTAATGTTTAGTTATTCTTTTCTAGGTTCTCATTTTATTATTTTGATTACTTGTTTTTGATTTTATATTATAAATTTAAGGAATAGACGATGTGATTAAGCTAAGATTTTAAGAGAAAGTAGAAATCATAGTATTTCTTTTCTTTCTTAAATTTATCTAAATTAAATGGAGGTTCATTTAAATTTAATTCGTCAAACAATTCATGTAAATAACTTTCTTTATTATATTAATATTAGTCTTACTAATTGCTTTAATTATTTATTTATTGCTGTTGTTATTGTATTTATTCACCATAAAAAAGAAGCATAGCTTAAGATTTAATATTATTTTTTATTATTCCATTTAGAAATTATTATCCTCTAGTTTCAATCTTTCCTTTACTTTTACTTTGCTTACTGCCTTCATTTTCACTCATACTTTGATTTAACCAATTAATATTCCCCTAAAAATTTTTATCGTTACTTCTATTTTAAATTTCCTTTATTTTTGATTTTGTAAACTCCTCCATTTCGTTTATTTCGTTTGTTATAAGATTAGGATTAATAATTACAATATATTCTCTTTAATTATTTTCAAAAACATCTTCTCTTTAAGAATATAATTCAGGCCAAAAATAATATTCTTAAAAATCTGTATGGAATAAAATGATACTTTAATCTATTTTAATTTCGTTACTTTAATAATTATATTCACCTTGTAACACATCAAATACATAAAATTTGCCAACAAAAGTTCCTCTTTTTTTTGCTACTAAAACCCTCTTTACTTCTAATTTTTAATGTTGAGGAAGCTATTTAATTTAAATAAATTATAAATCGTTTGAAAATAAAGACAAAGTAATTTAGTCGTAAATTAGTATGAATATCTGAAAGGAAAGTTTAAATTAGTAATAGGAAAAAATTTAGAAGAAAGAAATCTCTACAAAATTAAAAAAAAAAAAACAACCTTTAACTAAATTTATTCTATTGTGAAGTTTTTAGTAAGTTCTTTTTTAGTTTAATCATATATGGTCTCAAATATGTCCTTTATTTTTATTGCTTTTCTACCTGTAATAATAAAACTGTCTTAGATTGGGTATATATTTTAACAAAGATAAGATTCTAGTTGATTTATTTTTTGCAATATTTTAACCTCATTTAGTTATAATGAAAGCTCAAGACCTTCAAATTTATCTTATTAGATTGGCTCATTAAGTTTTTAGAGTATTAAATCTTTACTTTGAAGAAAATCACCTAAATTTGTCTTGTTGATAAAACCTTTATTTTTGCATTTATTTATACTAAATATTTATAATGTAGCTTTTTCATATATTTGATTTTTTTCTTCTTGATTAAATGTAAATTTTATTTGATAGCCTTCATTTTACATTATCTCATGATAAAAGAGTGTGCACAATTTATTCACACCATTATTGAGCTTATAGTTTACAAAAATAGATGAGAATTTCATATTTTTATAATCAAAATCAGCACCTGTAAGAATTTTGTCTAGTAATTTAAAGTTAAGATACCCAATTTCTTAATGTTGACCTTGAATTTCAATGTTATCTATTTCAAAAGTGTAAATTGGTTGAGTACAATTGACATTACTATTTTAGATATAATCAAGAAAGGTTTTTTCCAGGTCATCATGATTCTCAGATTAAGTTGCAAAAAAGCAATTTCTTTTCATACACCTACTTGTTATCGCATCGATCTTATATCCAGCAAAATCTTCTATTCGAAAAGAATCATCCTTAATGTACTGTTCAAAAGTACTTTTAAAAAATTTATCACTTGTCTCTTCGAAGTCAAATAAGTTCAAATCTTCATCCAGCAAATAAATTATAGAATTCTTTTCATAAAACTTCTTAATTTAAAAACTTGATGATAAAGGAACAAGTTCTTCGTTTCCATAGATAACAACTGAAGGAGTAATAATTATTTTGTTTACTAAACAAAAATTTTCAGGAATCCATAAAGATTTATTGATTTCGTTTTTAAGATCTTTTAAATCGCTAAATTATTTTAGTTTTTCATCTAAAAAGGCTTTGAAATCACGATTTTAAATCTATTTTTAATTAATTTTTAAATATAAATAAATTTTAATTACTTTTTTACTTAATAAATGGAAGGATTCAAGTGCATTAGTCTAAACAAAAGTGTGACTTTTTGAAAATTTTTGTTAATAATTTATTGTATATTATAATCATTGAGCATACGGAGATCCAGTATTTTAGACATAACTAGCTTAGCTAAAGATTTTTTAAACATAGATACATACTGTTTGCATTTTTTATTTTTGAGATCTTCTAGAAATTCTATAACTTTGGTAAAATAGTTTTAGTATAGCAAATCTTGAGGCTAAGATTTTGGTGATAATTGTTCATGAAATTAAACTTTATTTTATTCTTTAAAGTATGAAATTATATTAGCAAAGGCTTCTTTGTTTTCTAAAATATACTCTCTGCTTGCATTTATTTAAATGACATGATGCTGAAGTATTTACATTTTTATTAAATTACTCTATTCTTATATTTTACCCAATAAAAAATTATTATATCTCTCCCAGTTCAAAAAATCATAATGATAGTAAAATTTATTGTTAACTTCTAAGCTTTTGCTTATTTTAGGAAAACCTGCTATCTTTAAAAAGAGAGTAAAGTCATCTTTATTATTTGAGAATAGATTTCTAGTATAAATGCTCTCCACTTGCACTTAAAGTTTGAATGGAATGTAATAATCCAACACTTTTAATGTAAAGAAAATAAAGAATTAATTTTCATCTTTAAAGTTTTTTTTGTGTATAAATTCAACAAAACAAACTCCTTAGCATCCTTCTTTTTCTTCTTCATACAAATCTTTTAATTCTTTTAAATCCCAAATTTTTATGAACTCACTTGAAGGATTCTTTTACATACCGTATGAAAAGTTATTTAAGACAATTTTGTTTTAAGTAGGATACTAAAATATGTCTGTGTGTGGTCTGTAAAAATTCTTATAGATAGAACTTCTGATATACTATCTTTCCTCATAAGAATCTGCCTTTAGCATTCTTTTTATTTTTTATATTAAATTTTGGTCACATTTTTTCTAACTATATTACAGAAGCATATGGATATTAATTTTATCAGGATTATTATCACTTTTCTTTTAAAAAACTTATATCTTAGTAATCTTCTTTTTCATTTATCCGAACTAAACATTGTGATTATTTGCTTACATTAGATTATCTAGTTATTTATTTATACTTCCTTAAGTATGTTGTCCTATTTAGTATTTATCCTAAAGATCATTGAATTCATCTATTAAGCTGATTATCATGACTTTTTCATAATGTTTCTTTCCTTAAAATATCTTATCTTCTTAAATTTTGCTAGCTATTGAATGAAAATCTTTAAATAAGTTTTCGTCAACATTTTTAAATGTTAAACAAATTGTGTAGATATTTTTATCGTTCTAAAAGTTATCTTATTTAATCATATATTCTAAGAAGTTATTAAAATCTAAGAAAAAGAAATTTAATTAATATATAATATTTGTTTCTTACTAAATTTTTGTTTTGCTTTTATCAAATTTTTTTACAAAAATATGAGAAATTTACCCTACGAAGAATAATATGATATATCTTAACATATTTATTTCATCCAATAAAAATTCTATTAAATGCATCATTAATTAAATAAAAATTGTATCTATTTATCAAAATAAAATAATTTTAAATTCAGCTATATTTAGTTTTATTTTATTTGTAAATAGATTAGGAAAATTAAAAAAATATCATATTTTATTTGCTTCTTCTATACATAATTCTTTAGGTTTATCTCTTTGGGTTAATAAATACTTATACAATATGTATATTAATAAACTCTTAACTAATTTCCAATAATTAATTAAATTAATTTTATAGAATTTCAACAATAAAAATATTTTATTTTAATACTGTTTTAGAAAAAATATTATTTTTCAAATTTAAATTTCCTTTCTAATTTATTTTTGTTTTAATATCTTTACTTAATTAAAAAAAAAAATGAATTACTATGTTGTAAATAATAAATGATGATATTTTTGTTAAGTTTTTTATACTGACTATAATTAAAAAACATTAAAGAATTTATTTAATTAATTTTAATGAACATATGCAATTTCCTCAAAAATAATAATTACTCTTGAAAACAATTTTAAATAATTTAATAACTTCAAAATAGAGTTTTCTGCTAATCAATTTCCCAAAACATAATTTTTAAGAATTAAGACAATTAATATGCTATCAAAATATCTGACTTAATAAAGTTTGGTGCTCATTAAAATTTCCATAACAATTATACTATTTTAATAGAGTTCGCATTGTCTTTGTGTGAAGATGTAAAAAAATTAAATTAGTTAGAAATTATTTGATTAATTAATAAAGAAATACTAAACATTCTTTCTAGTTAAATTGATTTAGTTTTATTTGTTAAAAATAAAATAGATAGAAGAAAAGTAGAATAATTAAATTTAAAATATTTTATTAGATTAATGACTGATCATAATAATACATTTGGTGCTACTATGAACAAAGCACTAAAGGATGATGGGGATGATTTTTTAAATATGGCGTTAAAAAAATGGAAATTCAACTCAAAGTATAAAAGAAACCAAATAATATTTATTTGTTTGCGTAAATTTATTTTTGATTTACTTAAAATGTATATATGTACCAATAAATTTAGAAAGCAAACATTATTTTCAACAATAGATAATAAGGAAATCATTTGTTTAAATTTTTTAAAGATGAATTAACCATTAATATAAATTAAATATTTTTTAACAAATAACTTTTAGTTGTATTCTTCTTAACGTTTGGATCAGTATTTACATATTACTATACATAAATACAGTAAATAAAAGAATAGTATGACAATCAATGCTCACTAAATACCCGCTGTTAGATTTAAATAGATATTACATAAAAAATGACTTAGCCTATTTTTTTCTATTATGAGATTGATAATTTCTATCAAACAAACAGAAAGTTCTACTAATCAAAAGTAATTAAATATTTTATACTTGAAATGATTAACGAAACAATATTTTAATAAAACCATTAAAAAGGATACTCTTCAGCTAAAAGGTGAAGATAGAACTATTTCACAGCTATCTTCATGTGCTCCATATGTTACAAATCAAGATATGGGGAAAACATTAAGCTTTACAGGATAAACTTTGAATCCCTAAGATCCTGCTATTCCTTGTGGATTATTATCAAAGCTTTATTTTAATGGTAAATCAAAAATAATTATAAAACCTTTTTTATTTGTTCTACTTTTAAAAATCATATTTTTTAATTTATTTTTTAATATTTAAATAAAAAATGAATTTATATTTTCGCAATAGATTAAAATTAAGTGTAAATAATTAGAAAAAAGGATTAGATTTTAATTTTAAAATAAATTTAAAGAGCGTTCTAATGATTATAAAATATAAATAAATTTAAAAAAATAATATTTTCATAAACAAAAAAGAAATTGCAAAAAAATAAATAATACAATTTATTTTATTGAGCTAAATTAAATTAATTCTTTAACTTTTTTATATCAAAAGATACATATTAACTTTAAAGTTAAAATGGGACTCTTATTTAAATCGATCAATCATAAATAGCTTGGACTGTTGATATTGATTATAACTATAAATAAACAAGTGATGCTCCACAAAAGGCCTGGGTAGATGTGACAGATGGTAATCATATTTATTATTTATTTATTCACCATGGCTTTCTTAACATATTTAAAAATTTTTAAACATCAGAGCATTTTATGGTATGGATGAGAACATCAGGAATGGGAACATTTAAGAAATTATGGGGAAGAATAAAATAGGACTTGCCAGCTGGAGTATATAAGTTAACAATAAACAACTGTAAAATAAAATTAATTAATTTAAAAAATAAATATTAACATTTTTTTTAAATTAAGAATATAATACATCTGAATATAACGGATAGAAATTCTTTATAATAACTACTTCTTCTCCCTTTGGTTAAAAAAATATTGTTCTAATTGTTGCTTATTTTTCAGGAGCTCTTATTTGCATCATTTCAGTAGTTTCTTTGTATTTTTTCAACAAGGCAAAGAAAGATAAATGATTTAAATGTATTTGATTAATTATATCTTTAAATTTAAATAAAAACTAAATTATTAAATAAACTTAACTCAATATCTCTTATTCATATTACTTATAATTGATTAAATAATATAAATTTTATCTAAGTTAAATAAATGTCTCTCTCTCGTAACACTAAATGATTTTAATAAATTGGGAATATATTTATTTTAATAGAATTTAGAACTAATTTAAAAGTTATATGTTATATATTAATTATCATAATTATATTATTTGTGTTTGCTCACATTATTGTTTTAATTTAATTTAACGTTCAAAGGGATTTGCTATGCATTTATTAGATAGTAGATAACCTAATTTCTAATTGTTTTTTAAATTTATATTAATAGACTTCTATTCAAGAAAAATAAATTAATTATTAAGGTTAATAATTCTCTATAGGTTATTTATTTTCCATTTGTTAGGAACAAAAAATTATAAAGATTAATAAAAATGACAGAAAATAATACATTTGGTACAATGAATAAGGCGCTTAAAGATGATGGCGACGATTTTCTAAATACAGCTTTAAGAAAGTGGAAGTTTAATTCTAAATATAAAAGAAACAAACTTTTATTTATTTTACTCAGTAAAATTTTCATTTTTGATGCATTAATTAGGACTAGATATTTGATTGCAGAAACATCAATTTAATAAAGATCCTTAAGATTTTGCAAAAATGATTTTGTTATGAGGATATTAATCATTTATTTAATAAATAGCTTTGTTTTTCATATTGTTTGGATCTCTTTTTACCTACTATTACACTTAGATTGTTTAGGTAACTGTGCGCTATGATAATTAATGCGTTCTTGGTACAACTTGCACTTTTAACATAAATATACCTTCATATATGTCACAGCCCATCTTTTTTTACTACTAACTTGACAACTTCTTTTAAACCCATAGAAAATTCTACTAATCAAAAGTATTTTTTTGATATATTAAAAAAAATAAAATATATTTAAGTTCAACTAATATCACATTTAGGATATTTAACAATTAAGGGGATAAGATAGGTCTCTATCAGATTTAGTATCATGTGCTCCTTTTGTAACAAATGCTGATATGGGTAAAGTACTAAGTATAGGTGGAACTCCTTTGAATCCAAATGATCCTGCTATCCCTTGCGGTTTAATTGCTAAAACTTTTTTTAATGGTAATTATTTAATTAGTTTTTACTATAAAAAGCAACTATTAATTATTCATAAATCTGCTAAAATAATTATTAAATCATAAAAACAAATAATGAATTATTTTTTTTACATAAAAAATAATGAAGATACTTTCAAGATGTACCAGGAAACTTAGAGTATTCAAATATTTGAAAATGATATAGCTTGGGATGTAGATATAGAATATAATTATAAGCCTACAAGTAATGCACAAACTCAAGCATGGCATGATGTAACAGATGGTATAAATATTAAGCATTTTAAATTGTATTAATTAATATTAAAAATATGATTTATTTAAAAAGAGCATTTCATGGTTTGGATGAGAACTTCTGGAATGGGAAAGTTTAAAAAGCTATGGGGCAGAATAAAATAAGATCTTCCAAGCGGAGATTATAAAATAGTAGTTAATAATTGTAAAAATATTTTTTTTCTAAATTATAAAACCTCAACATTTTCTTTATCAAAATTAGAATATAACTCAAGCGATTTTAATGGTTACAAGTATGTACTGTTAACAACATCTTCTCCTTTTGGTTAAAAAAATTTAGTACTCATAGTAGCTTATTTTTCAGGGGCTTTTGTTTGCATCGTTTCATATATCATTTTATTGACTTTAGATAAAAATAAGAAAGACAAGTGAAAAAAAAATTATTAAGATAGTGAGTGTATCAGCTTGTAAAAAATTAAAAGAAACATTAAAATGTTTAAAAATAAAATAATAAGCAAGAAAAAAATTAGAAAGTTAAATTAAAAAAATCTAATCTATCTATTAATCAATAATATATATTCAATCAAAATAAGTTTCAATCAATGTTAAAAAATTTAAATCTATTAAAAAGTCTATGTTTATCCATTCTTGTATTTGTTTCATTTTTCTTATAGATTAATCAACATTGATTTCACTTTAAAATATTTCTCTATAAAATAACTTAATTTTTTGTCTTAACAGCAATTAATTTTAATCACTCATTAAACTTTTGTATTCAAAATTTTTTTGTTTAAATCAAAATTATTGAATTTATAATTAGAATATTAATTGGAAGCTTTAGCAAATTTTTTTTTATATAGAAAATTGGATAGATATATTTTATAAGAATATCAATACAAATATTGCGCCTTATTTATTTAGGATAATAAAAATATTTGATATTTATCATAATAGCCACACCAAAGCTTATCCTTTGAAACTTCAACTCAAAAATAAGTAATCTAAATACTGCTTATAATATATCAATTTTAATGACTAGAAATCAATTTAAGCTGTTTTAATTGTATGGACGAGGAGTGGTACTATTATATAATAGACACGTCAAGTGAATGTACCCTAAGATATTTAAAAAAGTTTCTATTTTAATTTAATGCTCTTAAAATACAAAATTCTTTGATATTTATTTATAAATTAATAAATTATAACAAAAAATTAAAAAAGGCTTCAATTGAAACAATATGGAAAACTAAAATTTTGTTAACGAATTAAATAAATCAGAACAATCTTAAGATATGAGTCAAGCTACCATTAAAGAGACTGAATTAATCGAAAATTCTGACAGTTAAATAATTGGTCAAAAAATGGAATAAGAAGAAGTATAGAATTAAGAAGAAACAACTGAAGAGACTGCTGTAGAAAATGATACTGAAAAATAAGCGAAGGTCGATATGTAAAAAGATGAGAATATTTAACTATTTAAAGATATGTTTGAAGAAAAAATTCTTCTTTTTGCTCTGTAAACTTTAGTAGCTACATATAATAATTTGGATAAATCGTAAACAGCTAAGGCAATTGAGTTGCTCAAAGAGATTATTTTATTAAAAAAGAAACTCAAATTAAATTGCTTGAATGAATTTAATTGTATTTTGAGTTACACAATGAACTTAGAGAGAAAAGAATTCACTAAATTAGGATTAGAAGCTTTCTATGAAATTAAGGCTTAAATTTCACCTGATGATGCTGAGGATAATGCAAACTTATATTCATTTATATGTACTGCAGAAATGATTTTAGGAAATAGTGATACTGCTTAATTTGTGATTGAGGAAGCTCTTGCTTATATTAAAGCAAAAGGACTTGATAAAAATGGTTTACAAACTAGTGGATTGATTCGCTAAAGAACTAAAATATATGAAAATAGATAGTAACACAAAGAATATGTAGAAGATCATAAACTATCTATTTCTATACTTGAAAATGTAGATCCTCATTTAAAAACAGACTTCCATGATAAATACATAGCATAAATGATACCTCAATACATAGAAACAGAAATGGAAAAGCTTAAAATTTATGATTTTGAAAATTAAGAAAAAAGACTAAAGCAAGCATATGACATCTGGAAGAAAAGAGAAGGCGACAATCCAAAAGATTTTTGTAATTTTAAGACAACTTTTTTACTTTTGGCACTATATTACAAATTCAAAGATCCTAGTGAGTACCTTGACCTCTAGTAAGAGATAGAAAGAAATAACAACATTTTAAAGGGTATTATATTTAATAGTGGATAATATTTAAGCATTTTTACAAAATCTCTTTTTATATTATCCCTCATTAAAAAATAATAAAGTGAAGCTTAATAAAAGTAGAATGGAAACGGTTCTATTGAAAGTAATTAATAAGACTAATAAGTCGTAAGCGACGTAATGCATAATTAAGAGAATATTCAAAAAGATTTAAACTAATCTCAAGAATAATAACAAGATGATCAATAAAACATAATTTGATAGATTTTAAATATCTTTAATTATTAATATAATATATTAAATAGTTGAAGATATTCTCAGTATTCTTTTAATTGATTGATTTTTTTATTTTGTCTTCAATTTTTTTGTAATTTTTTTATTAAAATTTTTATTTACTTCAATGAGATTTTGTTAAAAATAACTAAATTATAATTAAGTAATTAATTTTATGTAAATTCATTTGTCTTATTTTTATTTTTACATTTAATGAAATTATTAATTTTAATAATATTCACTCCAAATAAATCTTCATTAAAATATTACCTTTGATATAAATTTTTTAATAATATTATAATTACACTATTATCTCATTTTTTTATTGAATTAAATTGCATATTGAGAAATTTGTATTATTTATTATAAAACCAATTCCTCTGAATATTTTTTAAAAATAAAATAAATTATTTTATAAACCATAGTCATAATGAAGAAATAGCTCTTGAAGAATTTTTATTTATTAATTTGTAATTTGATATGGTAGTGTTTAATCAATTTTTATTTTTTAATATTAGATAATTTCTCATTAATAGGTCATATTATAGTAACACTCAAAAATGAAAATATTTTACATTTTTATTTTTTTTAAATTTGATAATTTAGAAAATAATTTTCAAAGTGGGTTCACATTTCAAATATATAATATATCTAACATACAATTTTGAATTTTAAAAAAAACTTATTCCAATTAAGTTTCACAAAATATATATGTAGACATATTTAAAAAATATCAAATCCTTTTTTAATTTGTTTTATGGTTTAAAGCTAGTTTTAAATGAATAAATTACTTTGAGAAAGAATAAATATTTGGAAATAAATAAATCAATCAATTAATATTATTTAACATTTAATTGCCAATTTAATTTATCAAATTTAATCAATTTCTTTTTAAAAAAATATTAATATATAGAAAAAACAATTTATTTTTATGATAAATTTTGGTTACTAATCAATAATTAATTATATAAATTTATTCTATGGATTTCAATCACGGAAATTATGTTAAATGGTAACAGTTTTTGGATTAAGGACTTTAGTTTATCCAGCGCATTCTGTAAATCCAGTTTTTTCCCATTCTGGTATGGCTTAAGTTCCATCAGAAAGGGTAATATTCATTTAAGAATAAGTCATTTTTCCAAAAGGATAATCATTGCATTCGATTGTGTGATAAACTTCCAAAGCAGCAGTTACCCAATCAAAATTCCTTCCATTAGTATCAACAGTAAGTAGTGATTAATCTCCATACTTATTTTAAGAGATAATAGTAATTTAGGAGTTATTTACTTCAACAGAACCATAAACTTGGTCACGAGGAGTAATGTTTTTAACGGCTTCAGTGTTAATAGCCTATCCACTAGGACAGCAATTCCATGATTAAAAATACCACCCATCTAATGTATAGCTCAAAACAGGTTAAATAATCGAGAGACCTGAACCACTATTATCGTTATTTTAAGCTCCAATAAAATAGTATATATATTAATCATTCTTACCAAGAGGAGTACTAGGCACAGAATAAAAAGATTCAAACTTACTTAATTTAGTATTTTCAGGAATATCCCAACTAGCAGAATCTATCCAACCATCATATTTTACTGATTCTCTTTGTTTTCTTGTTAGGTCATTTTTTATACATTTTTCATTTCTTTCGAGTCTTTTAGAAAAATTTCTTTAGCCATGAGTAATGAGTACACCGTCTTCAGTTTCTTAAATATAAGAACCTGATGGAACATTTTGAACACATTCTCTTAACATCAAGCCAAAAGGAGTATGCACATATTCTTCTCCATCTATAATTTTTACTTGTTAGTCGTGAGGGAAAAGAGACTCAGCAGTAGCAACTGAGGCAATAAGTAAAAGGCCTAAAACTAAGTTTTGATAGCAGGTTTATTTCATATTATTTTAAATCTTTGTATTTTTTATTATATAAAAATATAATCAACTTAATTAAGACTAGCAGCTTTTAAAGTCATTAAGTTCAAGCTTATATTTTAAAATACTAATCAAAATTTATCAAATATTAATTACACCAATATTTGAAAATATCTATCAGAATTAATAGACAAAAAATTTGATTTTTAATTAGAAATTAGTTCATCCAAAATAAAATGTAAGGCTAATACTTACTTATTAAATATCAAAAAGTGATCATAAATTTTAATTTAATTAATATAATCAGTCTCCTACAATAATTTCAATACAAAATAATGTATTAAATGTAAATGATTCAAGATATTCCTTTATTGGCTATTTGTTCAGTTAGAAACAAAATACTGATTATTAAGAAAAATATTATGATGCTTTAAAGATTTTCTTTTAATGAAAAATTTTTATCATAGTAATTTATAAGGTTGAAGTAGATTTTCATAATCTGTTATCAAGTATAGAATTTTTTATTTTTAACCATTTATTTACCATGAAAACTATAAATACTATTATGTGACAACATCTAATTAGTTTACACATTCTTCATAATTAATTTAATAATAATATCATTATATGAAAATTAGTGATTTGAATAATTAGAATCTAAATAATTGCTACAATATATTTCTTTAATTGCTTGATTATATTTATATTGATGAAAGATCTTTAATTTAAATTTTTACAAATTACTACTTACTCACCATAGATGAAGAAAAACTAATTATAAACAAAGAAAAGGAAAGAAAGGGAAAAAATACAAATAACTAAATACTTATTTATCTATTATTAGAATGAAAATAAAAATAATTGCATACTAAGATTCAACCATCATTTCTTGGTCGAGTAAATAAAATGGATTTAAAATTATTGTTAATAATAAAATGAAGATATTTTTGACTATTTTAAACCTAAAAGATATTTAGATAATAAAATTCTCTATTCATTCATAATTTGAAAGTTTTTAAGTATTTCAAATTAAATTTTATGCTTTTCTTTTTTTTACCAAGTTCTAAATAAGATAAATTAAATCAATTATTTTAATTGAATTAAAAAACAATGAAAAATTATATTTAGAGCTTGATAAATTAATAAAAATAAGAAGTAAACATTTTTTAATTAGTTTTTTATTTTTAAAAACATACTTTTTACAAAAATAGGAAAAATTAGAATTTTTTTATTTTATAAATTAATTTTACTAATAATCTTTGCTACTATTTATTAATATTTCATAATTGTGAGTAAAATTAGTCTGTTAAAATTTGGTTTTAATTAAAAGTTATTTGTAAAAAAATAGTATATTCTCAATTATATATTTCAAAAAAGATTAAATGATATATAATAAAATACAGTTTATTTAATTATCCTAATAAAAATATGAAAGATATAAGTAAATTTAATACAGTTTTTATTTTATGAAAATTTGATAAAATTTAAGAGTTTTTTAAATCTTGAGTTATTCTATACAAATTTTTTTATGTATATGATGTAATCATATTTTCTTTTAAAAAAATAAATAAGTTTTCACACCTATATTTTTAGAATCTCAATGATTTGAGTTTTATAATATAAAAATAGCTATTTAAATTACTATAATACATATAGATATTGGAGAACCTTTAAATTTCAATAATATTTTAAAAATAAAAAAAACATAAAAAATGAATTAATTTTTGAAATATTTACTTTTTTAAATATAATAACAGTTAAATCTTTATAAAATAGCATTTATATTTCTAACAGATCTAATTAATATTTAATAAAACCATTCAAATCTTAAATTATAATTGAAAAGATAGATAGATAGATAGATAGATAGATAGATAGATTAATTAACTCATGGAATAATTATTGGTTTTAAATTATCAAACATCCCTTATAAAAGTATAAAATAAATTTTAAACTATAATGAAATCAACTTGAGTAAGAAAAAAAAAATCATTTCTGGTAAGCATAGAAGAATAAAGAAGAATTAAAACCTCAATTCAAACAATTCAGGTTGTCCAAAAATTTAAACTTTGGAATCTAAAGAATAATTGAATACTTTTTCTAAATATAATCCATAATCAAGTAAATAAAATTTAATACGCAGGAAAAATATCATCAATTTTTGATTAAATCTGAAAATTGTATTTAATATTGATGAATTATAGAAATATGGGATTTTATATCATGAAAAATCTTGCCTTAATTAAACCATATTAAATTATTTTTAAAAAAAGGCCTTATGTATGAACCTTTACTGCATATTGTATGTTTTTTAGGAATTAAATAATGATCAATCAGCTTATATTATTAAACTTTTATTCAAATTAATTTCTCAAAAAATTTCTTTAAAATTTCCAAATTTTCTTTATTAAAAAATATAAAAATGCTAAATTTAAATATTTTCTTTATACGATATATATAAACTTTTTCTATAATTAATTTAGAAAATTTATAAGGATTTCAATCGCTAATGTTGTGTGAAATAGTTATAGTCTTTGAATCAATAATTTTGGTTTACCCAGCACATTCTGTATTTGCAGTTTTGTTCCATTATGGCACAGCTTAAGTTCCATCAGAAAGAGTGATATTCATTTACGAATAAGTCATATTTCCAGTAGGATAATCATTACATTTAGTTGTATTGTAAACTTCCAAAGCAGCAGTTACCCAATTAAAATTTCTTCCATTAGAATCAACAGTAAGTAATGATTATTCTCCAAATTTATTTTAAGAGATGATAGTTACTTAGGAGTTTTTTACTTCAACTGAACCATAAACTTAGTCATGAGGAGAAATATTTTTAACAGCTGGAGTGTTAATAGCTTATCCACTAGGGCAGCAGTTCCATGATTAAAAATACCACCCATCTAATGTGTAACTCAAAACAGGCTAAATAACTGACAGACCTGAGCCACTATTATCGTTATTCTAACCTCCGATAAAATAGTATATATATTAATCATTCTTATTGATTGGAGTATTAGGCACAAAATAGAATGACTCAAATTTACTTAATTTAGTATTTTCAGGAAGATACCAATCACCATAATCTAGCCAATCATCAATTTTTACTGAATCTTTTAATTTTTTTACAGGATTTTTTTGTAAACATTTCTCATTTCTTTCAAGTCTTTAAGAAAAATTTTTTTAATCATTTGTGATGAATACCGATCCATCTTCAGATTCTTAAACATAAGAACCTGATGGAACATTTTGAACACATTCTCTCAACATCAAACCATAAGGAGTTTACACGTATTCTTCTCCATCTATAATTTTTATTTATTCTTCATGAGGAAATAAAGATTCTGCAGTAACAATTGAAGCAATCAGCAAAAGGCCAAATAATAAGTTTTTATAGCAAATTTATCTCATTTTATTATAAATGTTTTTTTTTATTTAAAAATAATATAAAACTATTGAATACCAGCTAGCTTTTAAAGAGTAAAATTTTTATCAAGCTAAGGTTTGTATTATGAAATACTAATCAAAAACTATCAAACATTAATTACACAAATATTTGAAATATCTGTCAGAATATATGGTAAAAGTTAAAAAAAATATTAATACAATTTTGTGACAATGCTTTATTAGTTTAAAGTCTACATTACTAATATTTAATAAAGATATCAATATATGAATATATTTTTATTTGAATAATTAGAATCTAAATAATGACTACAAATTGTTTTAATTAATTTCTAGATTAAATTTAATTTGATCTAAGATTACTTTTACAAAATCTTTTTCAACTTTAATATATTTTGAAATGTTAATATCTTTTTTAAAGCAAAATAAAATTTTAAATAAAAAATTATTTTGCAAATTTTTGAATTAAGCGTCATCAAAAACGTATTTTAGAAAGAAAGAAGTAATATTATTTTAAAGTGAATAATCTCAAAATTGTTTTCTAATTATTTAATCATCAAAATTAGTTTAAAATAAAGCAAAAAATAAAAATTTAGAGTTTTTAAAATCATCAAAATTAGTTAATTGTGGTTAAATATATATCTAAACATGATTGATAAAAATTATATGGGATTTAGATAAAGAATTACCTTTAAGCATATAAAATATAGCATATTTTATGAAAATTGTGAAAATAAAGTAAAAAAATTTTTTATGATATGATTCATTATAAAATTCTCTTTTCGATCATACTTTGAAACTTTTCATTTAATTAAACATTTAAAATTAAAGACTTTTCTTTATTTTAAAAAAGTCTAAGTTAGATAAATATATTAAAAATTTAGATTTATTAATCGATCTGTTAAAATCCAATTAAATAAATCTTTTGTAACATTAGTTATTGATTAGATATTACTTTTTTCAATGTTCCTAACTTTATTTTAGCAATAAATAAAGAAAATATTAAAAACTAAAACAAAAAATAATTTTTTAATATATTTATTTTACCTAAACACTTTATTTTACATATTAAAATATTGCTTTTAGCAGTAGAAATTCTAAGCAAAGCAAGTATTTTAATTGAAAAAAATATCTATAGAAAATTTATTTTAGCTCAATAAATTTATTAAAGAAAAGCGAATTTTATTTATTTATCTATTAAAAGATTTAATATTTTTAATAATTTTTGAAAATAGGAAAAATAAGTATTTGATCTATCATTCTAGATAAATTTTTGTATTATTTATTTATTTATGTTTTTTTTAATGAGTTAAAAAATTATGGGTAAGAAGAGAAATTGTTAAAATCTGATTTTAATTGAAAAAATTATAAGTAGAAAAAAGGTATATTCCCAATTTCACTTTTGAAAAAATGTTTAATAATCGATTGTAAAAATTTAAACATCAAATTAATCTATGTAATTTAATGAAAATATGAAAGATCTTGCTTTTTTAAATAAACATTTATGCTTTTAAAATTTAATATAAAATTTATTTTTCATCTTGAAGAAATAAGTATTTAATCGTTTTGTAATTTGCTTAGTTTATTTTATTAATTTAACTTTAAATATTTTTTTCTATCAATAAATAAACAATTCTATTTATTTTGAAAATTAGTAAAATGTTTTTATAACCTAATTCAACTAAAATTATTACAATATTTTTGCTAAATAAATGAATAAATAGACACTTTATTTATAAAATATTTATTAAAAAAACTGATTAGGGACTATTTAATTGTCAACAAATTAATATTTTTTAACATTTAAATACCAAATACTGTAAATGCTCATTAATTAAGCATTCCCTCTTTTTACCCAAAAAAAAGTGCCTAAAAAAAAATTTAAGAAAAAAATGCCATAATTAAAATATGCCTTAATTAATGAGCATTTACAGTATATTTATCATAAATTTTTTTAATTTATCAAATTCAAATAATTTCTTCACAAAAAAATATAAAAATGCAAAATTTATATCTTTTATTTTTATGATAAATTTGAAAGCTTTCTCAATAATTAATTTATGGACTTCAGTCACGAAAGTTATGCTAAATAGTAATTGTCTTTGGATCAATAATTTTGGTATTTCCAGCACACTCTGTAAATCCAGTAGTGTCCCATTATGGTACAGCTTAAGTTCCATCAGAAAGGGTAACATTCATTTATGAATAAGTCATTTTTCCAAAAGGATAGTCATTACATTCAATTACATGATATGTTTCCAAAGTAGCAGCTATCCAATCAAAATTTCTTCCATTAGAATCAACAGTAAGTAATGATTATTCTCCAAATTTATTTTAAGAAATGATAGTAATTTAGGAGTTTTTTACTTCAATTGAACCATAAACTTAATCATGAGGAGTAATATTTTTAACAGCAGGAGCATTAATAGCCTATCCGCTTGGACAGCAATTCCATGATTAAAAATACCACCCTTCTAATGTATAACTCAAAACAGGCTGAATAACTGAGTGACCTGAACCACTATTATCATTATTTTATGCTGCAATAAAATAGAATAGATACTAGTCATTCTTACCAATAGGAGTATTAGGTACAGAATAAAATGACTCAAATTTGCTTAATTTAGTATTTTCAGGAACATACCAATCACCATAGTCTAGCCAACCATCAAATTATTTTACTGAATCTTTTAATTTTCTTGCAGGATTGTTTTTTACACATTTCTCATTTCTTTCGAGTCTTTTAGAAAAGTTTTTTTAATCATTAATGATGAATACAGATCCATCTTCAGATTCTTAAACATAAGAACCTGATGGAACATTTTGAACACATTCTCTCAACATTAAACCATAAGGAGTTTATACAAATTCTTCTCCATCAATAATTTTTACCTATTCTTCACTAGGATTAAGAGATTCTGCAATAGTAACAGAGGCAATCAGTAATATGCCTAAAACTATATTTTGATATTTCATTTTATTTTTAATCTTTGTATTTTTTTTATATTTAATAATATTATGAAACAATTTGATACCAGCTAATTTTTAAAGACTTTAAAGTTTAAAACGTTTAATTTTATCTTTTAAAATACTAATCAAAATCTATCAAATATTAATTACACAAGAATTTGAAATATCTATCAGAATTAATTGATTATGAAATATCTAATTAATTCATCCCACATAAATTGTTTGGCTAATATTTACTTATTTTATCACAAAAAGCGAACATAAATTATAATTTATTTACATAGTCAGTCGACTGCAATAATTGCAATTAAAAAAAGTTTATAGCTTTCTTAAGTGATTAATGATATTTCTTAATGGTTATTTATACATTTTTAAATGGAATATGGTTTATATTCAAAAAATCTATTAATATTCTAACAGTATTTCTTAAATAAAAGATTTTTATCTTTATAATTTATAAAGTTGAAGTAGATTTTTATTTTGAATGATTATTTTTAATTAAAAAATATCCATTTATTATGAAAAATGTAAATGTGATTTTGTGACCACATTTAATTTATTAAAGGTCTATATTCCTTATAATTAATAAAAACATCAACTTTTGAATATTTTTAGTTTGAATAGTTAGAAAATTATTACAGAATTTATTTCAATTAATTGCTTGATTCAATCAAAGGTTACTAATTTAACTTTTGCAAATTATTTTTTATGATACCAATTCTAACATCATTTTGATATTTGAGTTTTTATATTAAAAATAAAACTTTAATCTATAAACATATTATTAATATTTGAATTGGATTCCATCAAAAATATATTTTCAAGTGAAAAAACTATTATTTTTTATAATTAAATCATCTCAAAATTGTTTTTCAAATTTTGGTAGTATAAATTTATTTATAACAAATAAAAATAAAAATTTTAATTTAATATAAAATTTTAAATAAGTTAATCGTTGCTAAAAATATGTCTAATGGCGATTATTAAAAATTTTATGGGATGAATAGCTAAATTTTATCTTTAAGCATTAAAAAATATAGGATATGTCATGTAAAATGTAAAGAGTTAGTATGAAGTTTAGAATTTTTTTATAATTAAAAAAAATTCACAAATAAATAGCTACAGTGATAACAATCATCATGACAATAATTATCATCGATGAAAAAAAATAATAAAAAAATAGGCATATTAAGAATTTTAGAGTAGACAAAGTAATAGTAGAAATGTTATTATTCATCGTTTACTTTTTAAATAAATAAATTGTATTTTAGAATTTCATTTATGATAAATGAAAAGATATGTATGATTATTATAAACTTGAAAGATATTTAGATTATAAAATTCTCTTTTGAATGCTATTGTGAAACTTTCAGTTTAATAAAATTAAAGACTTTTCTTTTTATTTTAGAAAACTAAATTTGATAAATTTAATCAATCTTTCAATTTTATTATTAAATCATTAATCAAATTTAACAAATAATTTATTTAAATTTTAGTTAACGATTAGAAATTGGAAATATTTTTAAAGTTTACAATTTTGTTTTATAAGCAGAAAAGATTATGAAAGACCATAGACAAAAAATGATTTTAAAAATAATTGTTTACATTATACTTTATGCTATAAATTTCAAACTAAAAATTTTATCTCCAAAACTTTGATGAGTTTGTTTGGATCAGATAAAAAATAAATAAATATAAGTTGTAAATATTAATTTATTTTTCCATTAAAACATTAAAAGAATTAATATTTTGTTTTTGATGAATACTTTCTGGAAAAAATAAGAAAAATTAGTATTTAATCTATTTTTTAAAATCACTCTTTTTATCTATTATTTACAATTTTTTAGATATTTATGTTTCATCAAAAATAGTTAACAAATATTGAGTAAGATTAATTTGTTAAAATCTGGTTTTAATTTAAAAAATTGTAAGTAGAAAAACAGTTTATTGCCAATTTTTTACTTCAAAAATGTTATTGAATGGTCTATTAAAATAGGTTTAACTTGCTATTAATTTATGTACCTTCAAGATTAATCATCTAGCTTTTGTCAAAAATTATTTTTATTTTAAAAGTTTAAAATAAGATTTATTTAAAAGCTTGAAAAAATATTTAGCTAATTTTTTTTTTAATTTTAATATATTTAGTGTTTTTCTAATAATTATTTCTATCAATAAATTAATTTTTATTTAGAAAATAAATTTAAAATTACTTGCATAATTAAGTTTAATTTAAAGATGCTATAAAAGATAGTAATACGTTGTTTAAATAAAATATAAAAATTTAAACTGTTTTTCAAAAATTTGATTGTCATTAATTATATTTAATTCTGCAAAATAATTAACATATTACTTTGATTATCTCTAATTATTAATTATATTTTCTAAATACTTAACAATTTAATTATGCTATTAGAGAAACATAAATAATTAACGAAGAAAATCAAAGAAAAAAAAAATTTTTTTATTAAGTATTTTTTTAATTTAATATTTTTGATAAAAAATTTTTAATTTAAATATATTAGATTTTATACCATATATTTAGAGTATAGTAAAATTAAAATTACTATATTACTAATTAGTATTTTGGAAAAATTGATGTTAATAAATCTTTTCAAAATATTTTAATTTCAATAAACATGTAATTTATATATATACTTACTTACTTATTAATAGTTAAATATAAATTATTTGTATTAATTATGTACAATTAAGTTATTAGTTTTTTTTATTAAATTTATTCATATTTATTACTTCTTTTTTTAAAAAAAAGAAAGATTGATTTCATAAATTATTTGCAGAACGTGGTTTTTAGATTTGCTCTTTTTAATCTTCTTATCCTTAGATAGTACAAATAGACTATGGAGCAGAGTTAGATGTTTTTATTTACTCAGTTAACTCATTGCATTTATTTTTAACTTAATCTAGCTCCTCCATCTTTTCGTCAATTTCTTTTTCTTTTTTCTTAATTTAAACTATACATTATTCATTAATTTTTTTTAGTTCATGATTTTCCTTTTTGATAGACTCTATTTCTTTGTATAGTTCAAAGCTATTCACGTTAAATGATTTAGAGTTATTTAGTTAATTAGATGGAGATCCATCTTAAAATTAACTATCTTTAAGCTTTTAAATTAATTCATCTCTTTCTGCTCTTAAGGCTTCGAATCTCTTTTTTAACTCAGTGTATTCATTTTTACGAGTTTTTAGCATCTCATTAAGTCTATTATTTTCATCGCTATGTTAGGATAAGCGACGAACCTCCTCTTAAAGTTATCTATTTTCAGAAGTTAGTCTAAATTCTATCTCTTCAAAGTCTAATAGTTTCTCTTTGAGGTTTTCTAATTCTTACTTAGCATCTGAGAGTTATCTTCTTTTTTCTTCTAATTTTCTCTGAAGTCTTTTTGCTTCGTGAGACTAGCTAGCATGCTATTGTTAATTTTTTTAGCTATCTACATCTTAACTTTCTTCGCTTTCTTCTTCTCTGATAGAATCTATGAGACTACGCTCGGATGTATTTTATTAGAAATGCTAAGAATTTTTAAGGATACCCTTGTTTTGTTGGATATTTTTGCTTAACATCATTTGAATCTTTTTTTATAAGTCCTCTATAGTTTTAGTGTCTCTAATGTTTTGTTCCTTTCTCATTTCAATTTGTTGATTAAGTATTTTTAATTCGATCAATCTCTATTCATTTAGTTAAAGAAGCTTTTGATTTTCATTAATTAGTGAGACTATTTTTTCATCTCTTTCATTAATAGATACACTCATTTCTTTTTCTAATTCTTCCATTTTTTATTTATACTTTTAATCAAACTATGATATTTCTCTATCAATTAGAGACTAGATCTTTTGAGGGTTAATCAAATTTTATTGTTTTTAATGGTTATCTTCATCATTATCTTACTACTAGACTTAGATCAGAATTCTCTCTTCCATTTAAGTTATTTTCCTCTCTTTCAGGTTGTTTGAGATATTAGGTGATAACAAATTTAGGCTTTCCAATCTTTCTATGTAAAAGCTGTTATCTAGTTACAAATCTGGCTTTAATTCCTTCAGTAATTTTTAAAGGTTAATAATTTTATCGTCTAATTCTCTTATGACAAGAATGTATTCTTGAATAGCGTGGTCTTTATATTCTAATTACTGCTATAATAATTCTTGATCATTTTGCTAACTTGCTATTTCTCTAGATTTTCTTTAACTTTTGCTTATTGATTGGTCTTCACTAGCGTTAGATAGTAACTCTAATATTTTTTCTCCTTGCTGATTAATTTCATTTTAAGATTTCTTGATCTTTTCTTACAAATCTATAATGAATATAGCTTATTATTAAACTTTCTCATTTAATTCACTAACTTATTCTTTTTAAAAATCTAGGTTTTCACATAAATTCTTGATAATATCATTCTTTTCTTTTAATTCCTTTTAAAATTTAGTTAATTCAAAAGTGTTGCTGTCTAAAGGAGTCTCTATTAGTTACTCGCTTTCCTTATCAAAATAGTTATCTTCATTTAATTGGTTAAAGGTAGAATCTGCACTTTTTATATTATTTTCTTGATTTTATTATTGAATTTATTCTTAATCTTCATCTTCACTAATCTGATCATCTCTTTGGTATCTTTAACTTGGCAAGGTCTATTTTTTATTAGCAGCTTTTTTTGTTTTTTCCTCTTCTTGTTCATCTTCTTCCCTTTCATGAATTTATTGAATTTGTTATTGCTATTGCAAGGCTTAGATAAAGTTTGACTATTCTTATAGTTGCTGACTTAACCTATTAATTTATTCTATCTTTTCTTAAATTATTTATTCAAAGTAATTTTTGTTGTTCTCATTCTATTAAACAATAAGCTAGTTTTCTTCACTTTTCTATGTAAGTCCTTAATTCATTTAATCTATTTGTAAATGAAGATCCTAGTTTTAGCTTTCTAAAAGCTTAACCTTATCTGCTATTTCAGTGCAAGCTGTTTCTTATTTGGAGAGTTTTTCTATTTCCATTTGCAAGTCATCATTTTATTTCTCAATTACTCTAAGTATTAAATTATTAAAATTAAAAAAATAAGGTTAAATATAAATTTGTAATATTTACTTTTGCCTATCTTCCATGAATTGTAAATTTTCAGCTAATTCTATTTTATCTTTTTCTAAATCTAGAATTACTTCTTCTAAATTTTTGTTTTGTGCTATCAAATTTTTTATTTTTTCTTCATAGTCTTTATTGCAGTTTTACAGAGAATCAAACATCTATAGTTTTTCCTCATCATCTTTGACTATATTTAATTTACTAGTATTTTTGTTGATAGCCATGCTATTGAGTAAGTCTGTATTACTAGAGTTAATATATTAGCTTATTATTTCATTCAATTTTTCGTTCTCATCTACTAGTTTTGTTATCTGATCTTCAGCTTCCCTGTTGATCTTTTAAGCATTCTACTCTTTTTGTTAGAGCTCATGCTCTTTTTCTGCTAATTTATTTTGAATCTTATCATATTCTGACTTTAACGAATTAAACTTTTCATTTGAGATGCTCTACTAACGACTTTGTTATTCCTAGAGTTCTTGTATATAAGATTACAAGTTGATCACCTTATTTTACATTTCCAAATTATCGTCTCGCTACTTTTACACTTCACTCTACCTCTGCTTTAAAACATCACTTAAATGCTCATTTTCCTAAATTAAAAGTTTTATATTTCTTTCTAGCTAATCTACTTTCCTTTAGCTTTCTTGACTTTAAGAGTTTTACTAAAGCTTTTCTTTTAGTTCTCTAATTTCTTTGACTTTCTCTGATAAAATTTTATTTAAATTAGTGTTTTCTGTATGCAAAACTCGATTTTGAATACTGAGATCATTTTCCATTTATGCCTAACGAAGCTTTTCTTTTAGCTCGTTATTTTCAATAAGTAGCTTCTGAACAAGCTATTCATCTTAAATTTGCTGTAACAGGTATCCTTTTTCTTCTAGCAATTCACTTAATTTAGAGTTTTCGTTAACAAGCTCTTTCACCTACTCTTCAAGTTCCCTTAGCTTTTTAGAGTTACTATTAAGTAAACCTATTTGAAAATTTTAAGAAGAAGAAATTTAATTAATTTTAGTAGGAGTTCTAGGCAAATTTATGTAGGAGCCACTTTAGCTAACCATACTATGAGGTTTTTAAGTAGTATTAATATCATGGGTGATCCCTTAGGTTCTTTCTAAGCTCCTATCATCTGCCCTGTCATTTTAAGAAATATTCAGAGTTCTATTATTACTAGCAATGAATTAATTATCTTGATATAAAGGAGGATTTCTATAAGATCTTTTTCTTACATCATTGCAGCTACTACTTCTAGCAAATTCTGTGCTTGTCTTAGTTTACTAAGGAATTCCAATTTAGGAGATATTAGAAATAGAACTCGAATTTCCTTTAGGAGTATATGCATTAGAATAGCTGCCATTGTTTAATTAATAACTCTGCTTTATGAAAAATTAAGGTAATCTTTCTGGAGAGCTTTGCTAGATTTTATTTACATATCTATTTGCTGAAGAAGAATTACCTACATTTATAGATCCAACAGCAGCCTCTTCTGAAAAAACAAATGGGATTTACCCAGAATTTTGTGTGCTAATCCCGATGTTAGTGCTTTACATATTTGGTGATTTCTAGTTTGTACTTTACAAATTTGGTGATTTCTAGTTTGTGCTTAGCTAGTTTTACAAATATTTGTAAGGGGAATTTTCTCTCTCCTGCTAATTTTGGTTTTTAAGGTAATGCTATTTCACAGCAGTTTGTGGAGCACTAAAATTATTACTTGTACTCTAAATTGAATGTGGAAAACTTGCGCTATGGCTTGGATTATTGTCACTAAATAAACTAACTTATCCACTTTTTAAAAAAATTTTAGCAATTAAAAAATCTAATGTTAAATTTACTTGTTCTGATTATTTGGTGTTCCTACATAATCAATATTGCTTGGAAATAGATTTTAGCTAACAGAAATATTTTGAGTAGGTGGAGATGTTATGCTATTTTATATAAACATATTGTTAAGGCTTATCATTTGTTGTGGAGTTTAAATATGCTAAATTGGAGTTTGTGAAAAATCGGATGGGAGATTTATTTCGCTTTTATTCTTTACTCTCTGAATAGTTGTTTTTATATTTGCACTTGATGGTTGTATACCTTGTTATGCTTTTGTTTATGCATTTAAATGACTTGATATTTGACCGTTTCCTACTAAATTGTTATGGTTGTTGCTGTTATTAGTATTATTATTGTTGTTACTATTTTAATTTTAAGATAAATTATGTTTGTGGCTCTACTATAGCAATCTGTGCTTTTCAGGCATTTGAGATATAGGCTTAGAAGATGCTTGTATATTTTAAGATGTGTTTTATTGAATTTATGAAGGATTTTATTGCTAAAAGCTTATTTATTAATTTTGTTGTTAGACTTGAGGTTAGTTAGATGCAGAGTTTTAAATTTGAATTGAATTAATGGAGTTAGATTAAACTTACTAAGTAACAATCCTCTATCTATTTGGGGTAATAGAAGTAGGGATATAAAACTATTTTTTAGAAATCGGATGGATTTGTTATATATGTTATACAGGCTAAATATTAACAATTCTGCAAGGTGAATTTTGCTATTCTATCCTGACATTTTTTGTAGGAGATAATGTATAAATTTATTGCTATTACGGACCAGGTTATTACTGTTATATTAATTATAATTGCTAAGGATTTTAGGGTAAGGCTTATTGACTTATTTATATTTGCTAATGCTAATTCAGAGTAGAGTTCTACTGCTCATATGTAGATATTGCTCTATTCATAGTTGAAGCTATTCTATGCTAAAAAATATCAAAATTTTATAATTATTTATTTATATATATATTTGTATGGAGATCAATAACTTAATTTAGTTAATAATAAATTTTGCTATGCTGTCTTTTGATTATGAATTGATTGATGTTTTATTCTTTTTTTATTTAGTTTAAGTTAAGGAATTAATAGCTGATAATTAATCAAAAAAACAAAAAGAGTCGTTAAGAAGCATACAAAGTCGCTCTATTGTTTTTGATTAAGTAAAAAACAAAATTCATACAAAATTTTATAATTATTTTTTATTCCTTGATAAATGTATTGATTATTTCAACAAATGAATAAATCTATATATAAAAGAAAACTTCTAAGAGTTTATTAATTTATTTTCCTTTATCATTTTAGATAAGAAAAAAGAATTTATTTATTTTTCATAAAAATAATACAATCAATACTTTTTACTGACTTCTTGTTGTATAATAAATTTATTAATAAATTTATAAGCAGAAAAAAGTTAGTGATCTTTCTTTCATTAATTATGCATATTTAATTGCTTTTAACTCAAATAGCTAAGTAGAAGCAATATAAGTAAAACTTATATTAATAAACTCCATTATGATTTTATCCTAATTTTAATTGCAAATTGAGGATAAGCATAAATAAAATGTTTACCTCCAAAGGAATTTATAAAGAATGTTGAAATAAAAATATTTTTTATTAGTAAAATTGAGATAATTTTAGATTTATCTTTTTTAAGTAAAATATCAAAACTAATTATTTTTAATTTTTTCTATAAGTTTAAAAAACTCTAATCTAGTTTTACTTTTTTTCTTTATCTATTCTTCAATTTATAACTCAAGATAAATTTCATTATTAAAATTTTACAGAAAATTAATTCTTTTACAATATTTATTTACTTTTAAAATTTATTGCATACGACTGCTTATGTTTTTTAAATTTAAATTTCAAAAAGGAGATTTTTAAAATGTGCTTGTTTTTAAATAGCTACTATCTTAATTTAAATGTACCTATTTTATGAAATGTTTATAATGATAAATTTTTTGGATCTTAATAAAAACTTTTTTTTTGAATGAAGTTATTTTAAATAGTTTTTAAACACTTAGCATTGATTGAAGGTTATTAGTTTATGCTCAATTTTCGTATAAATATAAATCTAAACAAGAAAATATATTTCTAAAATACCAAACATTCCCATTTTTAAATATTAACTGGTTTAACATAAATATATAAGGTTTGGCTTATTTAAATAAACTACTTAAATTATATTCTCAAAAAGCAGCTTAACTTAAATCAAATAGTTAAAAATATATTTATGATAATTTAGTAAAAATATTCGTTGTTCCCTTTAAAAATAAAACATATTATATAGCAATAAAATTGGTTTGAAAACTGTAATTTATCCTTTCTATTTGTTAATGAGCTTTGAAAATAGATAAAAATTATAATCTTTGCAGTTATTTAAGAAATAATTTAAAAAATTGTATGGTTTTTTTTGCATTTCAGGTTTTTTTTAATTACTCAGATAATAATAATCAGAAAGCTAATTCAGACTCATTTAAATTGAAAATTAGATAAGGGATAACCAATAGAAATTCAATAAATACATTAAATAAATGAATATTAAAAAAAGCACCCATTTCTATTTAAAGCAAGATATTTAAATTATTGATTAATTCATATTTGTGTATTTCTTTGGTATTGTTTGTTTAGGATTATAATTGCATTACTTCATCAAATTTGAATCAGCCTTATTCAACTTAAATTTCTTGATTTTTGGATCTTAGGATCTTTTCACAAATTTATAACTTACCTCATACTATTATTCAAATTATTAAGATTTTTTATAATTAAAACTTATTAGTTATTATATCCCTACCCATAAAGGAATGCCAGTACTCTTAATATTCAATCCAGGTACTTTTAATTTTGAATCTATTTTCAAATAATAATACTTAACACTTTTGCATTTATTGATAGTGGTTTATTTTGTTTTACATTGATTGGGTAGGTAGGAGTTGAATATAGCTGAGAATTCTTAATGAGAAATCCGATTTAAAATAAATACCTCAAAAATAAAATAATGTTGGTTGAGTAAAAGAATATTTGAAAGATTTAAAAAAGAATAAATAAATAACATGAGATTTTATATTCATGAATATTATATTTAAATGACTACTATAGACAGACAGAAGGATTGATAGATAAATTGAAAGGTAGAAACATGATTGTAATTTAAATTTACTCAAAAATCTATCTGAATTTATCATTTAAAATTGAAACGTAAAAGCAAAAAATAAAAATTTTAGAGTTTTATTAGCCAACTATTTGTTTGTTTTTTTTATGTATTTGGCAACGATTTATCAACAATGTAAGACAATTATAAGTAATATTTTATTGAGATATTATGTCCTTTAAATAAATATTGCTAGAAAAATCTTCTGTATATTTTTAATGTATTACGTTTACATATGCTTGCAAATATTTGTTTGATTTATTCATTTAATTTTAAATACCCAAATAAGAAATCAATTACTGTAAAAATGTTTAGTCTCTTAAAAATTTCTAAATTAATAGATCGATCATTTAAATTTAATTAAATCAATCACTAGAGTGTAAGAAGGGCTTTTTCATCTTTCCAAGAAAACAGCGATAACCACTTTAGAGGTAGGTATACTCCTCTTGCTCCACTTAAATTTATAAATGGTAAGTGTAAAATTTACGAGTACACTATCTATGATTAAGTCTCGAAAGGTTATTATATCATCTTAGGAATAGGCAGCCTTATTTCTCTTTATTTTATCAATAAATTGATTAATTTCAAAGAGCGCAAATGGTATGGATTGATTATTTATGGCTTAGCAGCACTCTATATAACTCCTAAAGTGTATCATTTGGCAAAAATATATTCAGGAATAATTCATAAAATCTATCTTGAAAAGGGAGGAAACCAAATCGTAGTTAAGCATGCTTAATATGGCATCATCCCTACTGAGACAAAATTCGATATTTCCTAAATATAAAGACCAATGGAGCCTGATTTAGCTATTTAAATATTTAGATTTGCCTACCCTGTAGTGATGAACGATTAACTTTTCTACTTACCAAGAGACACAGATTTTCAAAACGAAGAGGTTATGCCCCCAATAATGAATGGGATATATATAAATACAGACTCTTAAGATAATTATACTGATGAAATAATAATTGAATGAATTTATTAACGTGCAATAAACTTGTAATTAATGATACATAGTAAATTGGCGTACCTGAAATATATAATTTAGTTAATTTGAAATCATTATAATAAGATAAACAAATTTAACTAATATTTCATCATATTAGAAAGTCATAATTGAACAAATAAATTTCACTAATTAATTAACAAATAAATAATTGCTTCCAAAATCAATGATTTGTTTCTTTGAATAATCTTTAATTTATAATATTAACTTTACTTACAACACTCAGTCTTAGTTTTTATTATTTATTTTTATAATTTTAACATTTAATTCAAATAAAGTTTTTTACATATTATTTCCAGTTTAATCTTTATTTTAAATTTATGAACATGGTTTTTCCATCAAAAATAATTTAAAATTATCATTTTATAATGATTCTTTAGAATAAACACAAATTGTTTTGTATCTAAAATCCTTTTAATTTATATGGATGTATATATTTATTCTTTTCGTTTTTTGTTAGTTAGTTCCTTCGTTCGTTCGTCACGAAACAAAAGCCTATGCTAAGCAAATTGTTATTTAAATAAGCATAGTAATAAATTGATAAAAAGATAATTTATTTAGAATCTAATTATTAAATGTTACTTATACACTATTGTTGTAATGATTTTTGTTTTAAACAAACACAAGTATTATTTCTAAATTTGGTAAAAATATTCATTTGCTTATTTTAGATATTAAGTGGGCAACAAAGTAACTTAGCTAAAAACTACAGCATAATAAGTTATTTCAAGAAATATTCTACCAGCTCAACTAGACAAAAAATTTATCTAAAAGCACGTTATTCTACAAGTTCTACCAGTTACTGAATAAAATTATAATTTGCGCTATTCACATGTTATAAATTCGAAATATCATATAGCGTAAAAGTCTCTGTCTCACTTTTCAAATTACTAACTCAAAATTTTAATTATATTTGTATGGGGAAATTTAATTAATTTACTGCACAAATTTCGCAATCCATCCTTATTTTCTAATAATAGCAATCTAGCTGTATCCATATATCTATTATTAAAATTTAATTTTTTTTATACCAACTCTTGAAAAAAATCTAATTAATCCTTACAACTATCAAAACACTATGATCATAAAATAAAATCTACTCAAAATAAAGGGGTAGTATTTTTAGTTAGCTTGCAAAACTTAACTATTTAAATCACTTAATTATGCCAATATTTGAAAAGATTGTATCTTAATTAAGTTGAGAATTTTACCTGAAAGATTTATAAATCAATATTATAAAATTCAAATGCCATTTTTAAATTACTAATTTAATTTGTGGTATTTTCAAACAACAAATCTTTCTATTACTTTTTTAGTCCACCATAATGGTTAAATAAATAATACCATGTTGTTTGTGTCCAATCTTCATATTTTTATTTTTATTTTTTAATAAATAAAATATCAATTAAATACAAGGCAGTCATTTAAAAAACGTCTAATCATCTAACTTATATTTTTTTTATGATGAGAGGCTACATTAAATATTCCTAGTCTGTATTTTTATATCTTTTAAATACTTTGCTCTCTATTAATTCCCCTTCATATTTATGTTGCCATTAATGTTTATATTTAAATACATAAATGTTTAAATTTTATTTAATAAAAACAAGCTGCAATAATATTCAAATCCTTTTAAATTAAGATATCACATAAAAAAATGTAAACCACCAACTGATGACCGAGTTAGCTTTTTTTACCAACAAAAACTGAAAAAAATTATTTATTAAGTTATTAAATAACGTTAAAATAGAAAGATTTAAATCTATGTTTCTAACTGTGTAATTAAGATAAAGAACAGTATATATCATTATTAAATAACTGCATTTAGAATCTCGTCAATTTAAGCTAGTTGGCTGGCTAGCTAACTTTATCATTCATTTAATAATTAATTTTATTGTTTCATAATAAAAATAAATAATTCATTAAATATTATTTTAAAATAGATAAATTTAATTCTAATTTTTCAATTTTTAACATTTTATAAATATTTTTCAAATTTAAAATATTATTTCATTTTATAAAATTTACTTTGATTTTACAAACAAACATTTATAAACGTTAGATAGGCACGCTAAATAAATAGTATTTAAATGTTTTTATTAAAATATTAATTTATTTCAAAGTGTCTCACCAGGATCATTTTCCTCATCATCAAGTACATCGTCTATGTTATCATTTTCATCAGAGTTTTTATCATTATTATTCTATATATCCTCGCACCATTTATTGTAAATATCTATTGCCGAATCCAATGCTAAAATAATATATTTATTAAAGAACTTAATTTCAAATAGCAACTAAAGTAAATATAAGTATTAAATATAAAGAATTGTTATTAACTAAAAACATTTTAATTACCACCAATTTTTTCATATTTTGTTGAATATTTGCACTTAATACAATAAATCTTTGCTACTTTTGTATTTTGCTTCTTCGATCTTTATTTATAAAAATTTCAAAATGTATTTAATAAAATAAAATTGCTCATAGAGCAAATCAATTTTTTGTGCTAAAATGAATTAATTCATACATATTAATATGAAGGGTTTAGTCTGATGAACAATTTTCGCAATCAAACACTTTAGGAATAGCGTATGTTCTCAACTTTTTCTCTTTTTTACCTGTTTTCTTTCTTCCTCCCATTTTTATCTATTTTATACCAAAATTTTTTCTTTCTAATAAATGACTAAATCTTCTTTTAGAATAAATTAATGATTAAACTTTTTTTAGTCTTAAAGACAAGAATTATCTAATAATTAAATGATTTTTTATTTATTTTCCTATGAGATTTCCACTAAAATTTACTTTAAATTTAAAATCATATGTTAGTTATTATTTATTTTTTAGAAGCAAAATAAATAAAATTAATAAGACTCATTTTTATTATAAAATAGATAAAATAATTTCTTCAATCTTTTTTGAGGCAAACAAACTACTTTTAAATTTATAATATGATCCAAATAAACAATCAAAATTTAGCATATCTACATAATTCAAAAAATAAAAATATAATCTATCACATGTATGAAAATATTCTATTGATTTATTGATACTCAAAATAAAGAGAATTCATTATTCAGACTATTTTGTTCTTATTTTTAGAATTTTAAGCTTATTAACTTGATGGTTAGCTGTAAAGCAAATTATAATATCATATAATATCTTTTCTTTTTTGAATATTTAGCATTTATTAGATATAATTATATGAACGTTTTAATTAGATAGATAGATACAAAAATACAAAAAATGGTAAATTAGCAAACAACAAAGAATTATTAAATAAAATAATTATTGAAGATAGTTTTGATGATGATGATTGATAGATGTATGTATGACCAATCTAATGAAAGTTTTATTTATTATTCATCGTTTAAATAAAGTAAGATATGCATTCATAATTAAAATACACATAAAAGAACAATGATTAACTCTTAAGATAATTAATAATTTCCTTTAATGTTAATTAATATATCTGTTCACTAGTTAATAATATTCATTCCCATATTAAATTTAATATATTATTATGTACACGTCAATGTTTGTTAATCTCAGTTTTTAATCTTGAAGGCGCAACCAGCTTAGATTTGAACCTTACCACCAGTGGGCTTGCAGAGGATAGCAGAGCACCTATTTAATTTTTAATAATTATAAATTTAGATACTTAAAATCGATTGCAAAGAGTTAAAAATTCGAATAAAATTAGAGAATGTTTTGCATTTCTAAATTTTAGAACGCTTTATATTAATAAGCTACTATACATCTGGATGTAAACAAAACTAAATATCCCTAAAATTTTAAATAATAGCCTCAGTTTGGTAACTTTCTGCAACATTCACAAAAATTTGATTGTGTAAAATATTGGTTTGTTTATTTTGATTGTTTGTTTGTTATCCTATTTATTTGTAAATTTGAGATAACGATTGCAAGCTAGCTAGCTATTGAAAATACATTAAAATTATTTTAAGTTTCTCTTGAAATTGAGGAAGCAGCTTTTGTCCAAATTCATTTTATTTATTTGATTTGGAGCTTGATTGAGTCAAAACTATTTTTTAATGAAAATAATGAATGCTTGAGTGAATTACTTTTCACAAATAATGGTAGATTGAGCGTTAGAGAAAATCATTTGGATGTTTTGGCATTGAGCACACTTAACATCCATGAAGTAAGAGTTGGGAGCTTGGATAAGTCTCTTGAACTTATTCTTTTGCTTTTCTTCTTCGTAGATGGGGTTTAAAAGATCTCTTTCCATTTTTTCTTTGCTGATGAATATATTTATATTTTATGTATTTTTACACTTTTTTGTTTTGTTTTTTTTTTCTTAATAACTCTGTCTAAATTTCAACCTTCAATTATTTGATTTTCTTTGTCTTTATGTTTCCCCTTTCTTTTTTACTTTTTAGCCTCCTATTAATTAATTCACCCTTTAATTTAATATCTTATTTCTATCAATATAAATATATTATAAAATCTACATTTATAATTTTAATTAATTCTAATCAAATATCTATCTATCTAGATATGATATCGAATCCTTCCTGCTCACTCTCTCATTTTATTTTCCCCATTTTTTTTATCATATTTGCTTTTTATCATTTAAATTCTCTTTCCATTTTGAGTTGTGTTATCTTAAAATAAAATTATTTGCTAAATTTTTTATTATTTTGTAAAATACAATTATTATTCATTTTCTATTTCTGAGTTTATCCTTAATTAATTATCTATCTTAGACTCTAAATTCATCAAAATTTAATTAATTAATCAGTATAAAGCAGCAGTACTTAATATTGATAGAATGACTATAAAAATAATTAAAATCATAAAAAAGTAATCAGTATTGAGTATTTATAGTTATTACAAATATATAATCTAACACAATACTGTATTTAAAATATATTTTTTGTTAAAAAATAATAAACAGGGTTTTATTGTTTAATAAATTAAGAGCATAACTAGCATAGCTTTTATGTTTATTATTTCTATGGTTTATCTTGTATTATTAATTGAGGATCTGAAAAATATTTATTTTCAATCTTGAAATACTTTGAATAGCAAACTAATGAAAAAAAGATTAAATCATAATTAAATACTATTAAAAAGACATAGTACACCTTAAAATTAACAATTTTATTTATGGCATTTAATTATGTTTCTTAAGCTCATAGAAACAACTGTTTGACAAAATTATTTCAAAAAAAGCATTATTTTTTGTATTTATTAGAAATTTATATTTACTAACTTCAATACAAATAATAAAGATAAACATAAAAATATACTTGATTTTTAAGTGTATTTTAACATTTTTCACAGTTTATCTTTAAAATGTTATAATTGAGTTCTTATTTTTTTTAAATATAAGAAATTTTATTAGGTTCTACTTGAAATTTTTTTAAATAGGAAAAATTGTTAATATTTCATATTTAAATACTGAAAAATATTTAGATTTGAGTGATTTATAATATTTAAATTCTAAGGAGAACCTTAATATTTTGCAAATGGGTATAACTTAAATGTAGATATCTGATAATATATAGTTCCTTTCTCGAAATATTTTAATAAAATTATAAAATTTTAAATATAATTTAAAGTTTTTTTACTACTTTTATTTTAAAATGATTGGGTTAGGCTATTTTCTTAATAAATTTAAATAAGGATAATAAGAATATCGCCAAAATAGTGTGTTATTAATTTAAATTTATGCCTAATACCATTAATTATTTCCTTTAGCTTAACAATTAGTAATGTTTGATGATTTATAATCAATCTTCAATCAATCAATTAAAAACCCTTCTAAAATTAATAGCAATTTGTAAATTAGATTTTTCGTTATTGTATTTACCACTTATTCACCCAGATGATTAATTATTGAATAGCATTTAAAAGTTGTGTTTTTCACAAAAATGGATGAAAAGAGAAAGTTGAAGTTTCAAAAATCTTATTTACTTACTTTTCAAAGGGGATTTGATAAACAATTAATATATCCTATATCTTTTTTCAAAAGTATAGATTTCGGACTACTAGCTTTTATTTCTAAAGGATTTTTTAATTTTTATGAAAAACGATTTAGATTAGTACCTAAAAAATTCTTAGTTTTAAAAAAAAGATGATTCTCAGAAATTAAAAATAACTTTTAGTTATACTCTGACTCATGCTAGGAGAAATGAATTTTAGATTGTAGTTATTTATATATTTGTATTGTTTTTTGAATTACTTTTAAATGACATTTGAGAGTAAAAGCAGATACTTTTAGGCAAACAAAAATTAATATATGATTGATATTGGTAAAAATCTGATAAGTAAATTAGATAACAAATAATAATTAAATTGATAGAAAATAAGGATGCATTAAAAAAAAATATATAACATTTAAATTCATTCTTCAACAAATAAAATTAATAATCTATCTGCAGTTCTAAATGTTAAAATATATTTATTATCTTTACTTGTTAAAAATTATGTTTAGCTAATATATCACATATCATCCACTGTAACTTATTTTTGCTCACATTTCATCAAATAATAAATTATTTTACTTCCTGTTTAGCATAATTTATTTTATTTTTTTCTTTAATAATTTGAAAAACCAAAACCAAATTAGTTACTTTAATTCAGGCAAAGATTATTTTCTTGTAATAAACATTACTTAAGTATGTAAAATAAAAAGAAAAAAGCAAAGAATCGGATTTATTTATTTATTGAATGACTGATATATAGAGAAATAGATTGATAGATAGATAATAAAACTAGCTGTATATTAGATAAATATTAAAAACCATATAGCAAATAAGATAAAAGAGATGTTATTATTGAAAGTGAACTACTAATTGGAGATAAAGAAATATACCTATTGAAATCATATTGAATTATTTATCTTTGATTGTAAAACAATTTGTATATTTATTCATTATCCATTTTAGATTTGTAAAAAAACATATTTAAAAAGTAACAAAAAAAGAGCAATAAATGTATTAAAAAAGAATCCTCCCCACTATTGAGTTATTGTTTTTTATTTACAATTTGTTTGATCTTTTTCTATTAATTGATTTGTATATAATATATTGATAGTTAGATAGATAGATAGATAAATTAGTAATTTCAATATAGATCTTGAATAAAAATCTTAGTATCTTAATCAAAATATAATTATTGAAACAAAAATTTAATAAAACGTACATAGAAATGTTGAAAGCAAATAGGGACTATTATTTCACATAAAAAGGATATAGGTTTATATAATCCAGTTGTTTCTAATATAAGTTAAATAAATTTAGCTTTTTTATTGATAAAACATCAATAAATTCTAATAATATCTGAATATTTTTCCCTAAATACAATATTGAGTATTTCAAGAAAGCAAAAAGAAAAATTAATAAGTAAGTCAGGGTAATATGTGAAAAAAAAAAAAGTTTATTGGTATATCAGAAATGAACAATATATGCTATTTAGAGAGGGGCAGAAGGGGTGAGGGAATTATTAACTCTGTTATCTTTAATCTTAAATAGCAATTAAAGAGGGGATGTAAAGCACTAACTTAATCTAATAAAAAAAAGATAAGAAAAAAAAATCTTAAATCAAAAAAATTAATTTGAAAAAGAAAAAAAAGAGAAGAAGAAGGTGAAATTATACAATATTCTTTTCACACTATACTCAGATCAAACTCTTTTAATCTAACTAAACCAAACCTACAGAAAAGTCCAAGCTATCTTAGAATACTTGATCTATACTTATTTACAAAAAATGTTCTGGTAAAAATTAGACACTAACTAAAAGCCTGTTATGTAGTAGAATAACATCAATAAAGTACTTTAACTTGATAACTAAAATAAATCTAAGTTAAACGACTAGTAATTCAACTGCGCTCAATAAAAATGCAGCCAACCCTAATTATATAATCTCTCAGTAAAAGCTTGTGTATCTAATGAAATTTAATCATCTGAAAATGCTTCAACTGATGGCTCTTCCTGTTCATAAAACATGAATTCTGCTGATTCTTAGTAATCTGGCATCTAAAGTTATGAATGGATCGAAAGTTCTTAAACTACTGCCCCTGTTGAAATCTCTGGTCAAAGTACACTCTAAAAGACTTAAAGCAACGAAGAAACCTTCTTCCCAAGAGTTTTTTCTAACAATATGATGGTATTTTCAAATTATTATAGCAATTTATTAAATTAACTAAATATCTTTTTAATATTAAAGGATGTCTAAGAACCAACTGAATTTTTAAAAAGACACGCAATCACTGCAGCAATGAGAGCTAAGATGATTGATTGGATGATTGAAGTTCTTAAGGCTTACAATTTCTCCGAAACTACTTTCTCCCTTTCCGTTGCCATCATGGATGCTTACTTCGCAAATGTATAAAGGTAAATAAACAAATAGTTTTGGATTCATCTTAAAATATAATTTTAGTTTTTTTCACCTTGCTCTAATTAAATAAATAAATACTTTAAATAATGTATTTTAAATTTATAAAAATCAGAAATAATTTTAAAATTTTAATTTTAATTTTATTTATTAATTAATTTATTACACTCTAAAAACTTATTGAAATAGATCAATTTTTGAGATAATTAATTGAATATAATTATTTAACAACAACTCCAAAAATTTATAATTGAGGTTAGTTCCTAAAATTTTAATTTAAAAGGCAAGCAAAAAAAAATGCTAAAGATATATAATCTTTATAAGCTTGTTAGAATAATTAACTAGCAAACATTCAATCACAAATATTAATTAATAAATAAATAAGATTAATTCATATATAATTTAGAAAGAATTAATAGAATATTTTTATCTGATGATTTTCAGACTTTAATTAGAGTATTATAGAAGAAAACTATTTTTTTTAATCCAATAAACTAAATTTATTTTCATTAAAAATAGAAGTTTATAAGTTGATGAGCTCCATGCTATTGGTATTGTTAGCATGTTCATTGCTTCAAAATATGAAGAAATTGTACCCTTTTCATTATAAAAGCTTTATGAGAAGATTGGTCACGAAAAGATCAGTATGTAAGTATTAAAATAGACTGAGGCAGAAATCTTGAATACCCTTAATTTCAATATTTCCTTCCCTACCTTAGATATCTTATCAAATTTAATGATTAAGTATCTTGATTCTCAAGACTTCTTTAGCAGCTACACATAATAATCCAAAGAGTTCTTCAATTGCTTAAACGCATACATGTTCAAGCTCACCACATTGGATTATGAATAATTAATGAGTAAATACAACTATAAAACCCTCGCAGTATGTTCTGTCTTTGTTTCAATCTAAGTCATGCAATAGTTCTTCCCTTACTTTGATTAATTCAAATATGTATTACCCTTCCTTGATTTACTTGGAATGACCTACGACCAAATCATATAGCCTGCCTAAAGAATACTTACTTTAGCTAAAACATACGATAAGCATTTCAGTAGCCTTAAAAACCTTAAAAAATACAATTTAGAAGAGATAAATAGAAAAACTTCTCGTTGTTTCAAAATTTGAACTATTTAACACTAACTAATTCTGTGAAATATAATGTAAAAAGATGCTTAATAATACTGTTAGCTCTTGACTAAAATTTAATTAATTATTGATTCTGAAAGTAAAAAAAATAAATATATAAATACTTTCAGATGACCTACTATGCAATCAATCCCCATTAGTATATTCACCAATAATATTAACTCCAAAAACAAACCATAAAAAATTAATTAGTATAAACATAAATAGCTACTTTTACCCTCTCCATCTGACTCATTGAATTTAACACGCACTATTATTGCTTATTAAGAAGAATCTAATTTGAAGACAGTAACTTATATTCAGCATGCATACTTCCTATGATTATTTATTACAAAAGAGTAAAAAATATTTGATACAAATTCTTCCTTTACCTACTATTTTAACTTAACTACACGCGTCTAATCTATCTAATAAAAAACAATAATAATATGATAAGCAAACATTTTTATCCAAAGTCAATCAAAAAATATATCTTCATCTCACCAACTGCTTAAATTACTAACAAAAAATCCAAAAACAACTATCAAACAATCAACCAACTCAAGCTTTATAAAAAACGAAAACACTTTCATATATAAATAATTAATTATTTCTTCTTATTACCTCTTTTGAATAACAAAATTTATTTGAATGATAAAAATTAAGATTAGATAACAACTCCATCATACATACATAGAAAGATAATTTAATAATCAACAACTATATTTTTTATTTTTTTGATGATTTTCAGGAATCCTGAAAAAATCAAAAGAAAGATATTTTTCAATATATTTTATTGAAATCAGATTAGATAATTAATTAATTAACCAACTAAACAGATAAATAAATAATTAGGCTTAATAAGTAAAAATAATCACACATAATTATGAGTCAATAATTAAATTAATATAATAAATATATAAAGAATCTCACTAATATAAATAAATAAAATATACTTTATAAATAAATAAATATATTATATTTTACTACTTTTAGTAATTACTATTATAGTTTAATAATATTTTTAAACATTTTTTCACTCATAAATCATTTCTTTTAAAATTATTGTTTCCAAATTGTTTGCTCAGATTATAGCAAAAGTCTATTTTTATTATTTTTATGGCTCCAAAGGAGTGTTTACTATGAGGTCGAATGATCCTCATAATTAAATATCTATCAATTTATTTACTGAAAAAAAGAATAACCTTTCAATAAATTGTAAACAACTAAAATATACTTTTAATTTGAGTTATAAAAATATATCTAATTGTTTTTTTGCACTCTCGGTTAACTAATTTATATATTCAATTTTGATAAAATTGAACGTTTTTCTTGATATACATTCTTTCTTTTTCTGCTTCGCACATAAAAATACAAAGATAATTAGTGGTTTTCTATTTTACTTTTGAGTGGGAAAATTGTGACGAGCAAGAAATTAAATTTAGGTGAAAAAAAAAAATCAATTAAAAAGAAGTTTCTATTGAAAAACAAAAGCTAATTAAGCAAATCTAAAATTTCTCTAAAGGATCTATTTTATTACAATTACTTGTTTTTAATTTTTTAATAATTTTTCCACTTTTTTTCCCAAAAATTAATTAGATTAGGTACATTTTTTGATAGTGTAAATTTTAAATAAAAATAAATATTTTGGTTTGATTGTTTTTATTTATTTATTATAAAAACTCACCTTTATAATAATAAAAAAGATTCGCTAAAAAATGACGAAAAGACTTTTCGAGTGTAATTCAAAAATATCTTCATCCAGCTTTAGGAATTATAATTTGTTATGAGAAATCATTTAAACACATTCAACAAACTTACTCTAAACTCTACCTAACTATATAATAAACCTATTTTCAATTGTTTATGTCAATTTAAGCAAGCCAAAACAAATAGACAAAGGAATCAATCATATAGTATATTAAAATTTAGGGCTGAAAATTATATTGAAAAGTAAATTAAGTTAAAGACAGACGGACGTAGTTCTTTTTGATAATTTAGAAACTTAAACAAAAATTAAAATGATTTGACAACGTTAATGCTCAATTATTACCTCAAAAATTCTGAGAATATTTAACATAACTTGATTTATCTATTAATACAGTCCACCTTAAAATCATAAATATTATTCTTTCTTCACTTTTAAGTGATAAATTAGCTCAAAATCATAGTAATATATTGCATCTTAATCTGCATTTTTAGCATCAACATGAAATAATAAATTATCCGAGGAATATTTTTGTATCTAATATACCTTAATATTCACAATGGGGTATATTCAATTTGTTTATATTTTAATTTGCAAACAACCAATATACTAGTAAATTTTAATTGAAAGAGCTTTTTAATAGTAATATAAAATGCATAGTATCTATTTATTTTTACTTTAATTATTGTTAAAAATGGAATTAAAAGCTAGTTAAATATATATTATTCTTTGTTCGTTAGATCTTTAATTATGTATCAAGGAAGGAAGAAAGTTGGTAATAGATTTAATTATTTTCCATACAATAATAACTTTAATTAGAATAGATTATGATGAACATATTTTAAGCCAAAAGTTAATTCAATATATGAACATCAACTGTTTATGATTGCCCTTATAAACTAGATTATTATATTTTTCTAATTTAATTCGGTTTACTTATAAATATTATTAACTAGAAGCTGGCTCAATTATATATAATTTAGATATTAGATCATATATGTTGTTTATTTATGATTGATTTCTCATTTCCTAGCAAGCTACGAATGAAAAATACCATATTTTATTTGAAGTAAAAGTTAAATGTTGATCAAGACACACTCTCTATATATATAACCAGAATATAATAGTTATTTAGAAGAATATTCTTGAAGTATGGTTAAAACATATTGGCTTACCTGACAGAAAATAAAAGTTAATTGATGAATTATAACATTAAAACTTACGTAGATGGATTTATGTGACATCAACGTTTAATATTTTTATAATAATATTTTGTTTTATATTGTAGAACCTTGAATGTTGAAGGGGTAGGAAAATACTTCTTAGTTTTTAGCTTAAAATCTATTAAAATTAAATATACTGATTTTCTTGAATTAAATTTGCATGAATCTAAATTTTATAATTTTGATTTTAAGTCAGTTGGTTGTTGTTTTATAAGTGAAAAAATAAATTTTTTAAGATCCACTAATTTATATCATCGCTAAATCCACTCTAACAATCTAACTAACATCCATCCACTCATTTAACTAAAAAAAAAAAACTATCTTTTAGTTTCACCATATTGAAATATAAAAGCAAAATTCATCAGCAAGTTTATCAAAAATACTTTCAAAACGAATATAAAATTTATAAAAATGTAAAAATTTGATAGTTTAATTGGATTGAGTATACAATACGAATATACACATTTGTCTTTAAGGTCAAAAAAATTTTCAATAACTAAATAAATATAATTAAGAAATGTTCAGAGAAGATTCCTCATTATTTTATGTATATTTGTTTATTAAAATTAGCAAGCAATGTAAATTAGCATTCAAAGTTTATAAGTATGTAAGCTGTTTTTCTTTTATTTTGTATTTGTTAATTGGAACCCTAGTAAATATTAAACGCTAAACGGGGGGAAGAACTTTTTTGATTTGTGATTTCAATACAGACATCTATTTCTGCCTATCAACAAAATGGAAATATCTTGAATTTTTCCTATCAACCCATATAGGTATATAGCTGTTTAAAAAGATTTTTTTATTTAATCTATTTAGAGGCTCGAATCTACTTGAAGGGCAAATTAATTAATTACCATTCATCATTCATGATGTGCCTTAATAAGTAAATAAATATCTAGCTGACATCAAAATATATAAGGAGAATAAGATACAACTTATCAGTATGGTGAGGATGTAGACCCATAATATTTTATATTTTTACTGTTTGAATTTGATAGTATTATTTAAGAAATAAAAATGAATGTGACTCAAATTTAAATTTCAATTGAGAAAAAATAAAAATTTAAATTCTTATTTTATTTAAAAATAGATTTTTAATATTGGCAATAAATTTAAAAACATCTATGAACAAGTTGTACTCATAAATTTAAATTTTTTTCTTTTTTTATAATTAAAATAATCTTTTGATTTCTACTCTTGTTTAGAGTGTGAGATTTGCATACTCTTTTTATTTAATATTGTAAATAACTTTTGCAAACCAATATAAATTATCTTATTTATTGACCAATTAAAACCCCAGTCAATAAATATATTGAAGATTTGGAATATTATAAAATGCTATTGGATAGCGAAAATAGCCAAGCTTTAAACATTTTACGTAGAATTATGTGAAAAATAGCAAGAGAGATATTCAATATATTCTGAGATGGCATATAACAAAAAATATGCCATTATTTTTTTTGCTTCCTTCCTCATTTTATGTATTTATTTGCAATAACTTTATTCCTACTTAAAATAATTGTTGTAAGGAAGTGATATTATTTAAAAAATGAATGATTAATAAGCAAATAATTTAAATAAGATCCAAGAAGAGATAGATCTACTTCTAAAGTAAGAAAGAAAGACAAATTTTTTAATTAAAAAGGCACTTATCAATAAATTAATATAAAGAAGTTTTAAATTGACAAATGATAGACCATTAAATTAAATGATAGTTTTAAAGGCAAACATAAAACAAATAATTAAATTACTAAATGGGAGGAGAGAAATATATAATACTGTACTTTAATATACCTATTAACACAAATATATGCAATTTATTTGTTCAGATATGTAGTAATTTTTGTATTTTCTTTCATTATATTATTAGTCAATACTAAATATCTTTGATAAAGAGTGTTTAGATTACTTATAAAAGACGTGGTTATGGGGCTTTTTATAATATTCGATTAATTAACACTCCTTTATTTATTAAATATTTACCAGTTGATTACAAATTTTGAATTTCTTTACTTTATTTATATTCTGAGATAATATTTTTCTGCTCCTTTCAAATACAAACAAAAATGAAAAATTTTAAATTAAAACTCAGTCTGATTAGAAAAATCAGTTATTATTGATTTGCATATTTAAGGATTATCTTAAAAAACTGCTTTTTAAAGTATGTTGATAGATTTTCATATAGGGGTTATGTGTTAATTTGGATTTTATTTTAATTATAACAAACAAAAAAAGCACAAGGATAATACTAATTAAATCAAAATAAACTGAAGAAATAGTTAAATTAGATATTTAAGAATATCAATTTTAGCTTATTTACATTCTAAATAAATAATTAACATAAAAATGTTTTTCCTAATTCACTTAGTTATAAGTAATTATTTGAATACATTTTTTTTGAAATGGCAAAATAAAGAAAGAAAGATAGACAAGAAGAAAATTAACAAAAGTGTTGATAAAAGAAATTAAAAAGAAAATCAACAAGTGATGTTTCTTACTTTTAATTAGAGAAAGGTCAAAGAAACCTTAGGGGTCAAGAATTAAACAAGATTTCGGAAGATTATTAGAATTATAATCACTAGATTAAAAGAACATTCGCTCGCACGCTCAATAAGGATAATTAATTTAAATTAGACTTATAGGGTAGAAAGATAGTAGAAAAGAAGGTGAATTATCACTAAGCAAAATGTAAGGTATAAAATTTATTAAATTTAAAATTAGAAATATAAAATATAATAAGCAAAGATTATCACTAATATTTTGTTTAAATTAAAAAGTGATTTGAAAATAAATGATAGTCAGTAATTAGATTTGATTAATAAAGTTATATCTTTTATAATCTTTTAAATAACTTCTTTAGTTGCTCTCATTAAGTTATTACAAATTTTATGAAAAGTCAATCAGCAAGATAGGATAAATTATCGCATTCCCTCACGGATGGTTACAAATTTAAATTTTTTATCTTAAATTTATAATCAATAGATAGATAACTTAATATTATAATTTTATTCCTAGCCTCAATTTCTCATGAATTAATTTAACATAAAATTTCAGTTTTTTTAGTTTTTTTTTGTTTATTTTTTTGACTTAAAGTACCAAAAGCTTGTTCTTAAGCAAATATTTCTTATAGTAGATATATAATTAGATGATATTAATGTTTAAAAACATAAAAATAAAGAATAAACAACAAAAAATTGTTTTAAAAGAAATCAGTCCATTTTATTTATTGAGTTTTTTACGTTAGATTATCTGGTTTATTTGATAAAAACTTTGTTCTAGAAAGTCTCAAAAATATTACGGCATTATTTGTAAAAATAAATAATATTTTATATGATTTGAATAGTTTATTTCTCTATAGAAGTTGCTTTTTTAACAATTATATTAGTATTAATAATCATAATATATTCATAGTTTTATAAACAAATGAAAATTAACTTATTACCCATTATAATACATACATATATATATACTCTTTTATCTATTAATTTGATTTTTAAATGAATGTGTCTCCTTTGTATCATTCTTCTGATGTCTAAAATTTAATGTGAGATTAATTATTTATTTAATTAATTAATTAATACATTAAATGTAAATTTTTTAATGGGGAGAAACATAATTTTATTGTTAATTACTGAATAATTTGAAATATTTTAACCTCGAATTAAGCTCTTTATTTTATTTGAACCCAAAATATTGTCAAGTAAACAAAAAAATTTAAGAATTTATATTTTAAAATATTTTAATTTTTTTATTTATGACAGAGATAATTTTTTTGTAATTTTTTAAGTAGCATAACCTATATTTTATATGAAAAACAAACACAGATTTATATTAATTTTTTACCTTAATAGGCATAAATAATATATATTTTTAATTTCTTTAATAAGTAATTAAATAATGACTATTTTTTTATATTCATTAGTATCTAGCTAATTATAAATAAGGCATTTTTAACTAAATAAAAATAATTAAAATATCTTATTTGATTTCTAAAGTTACTATTGAATAATTAGGTAATGAGTCACCAACAAGAAATAGCAGGAAGCACTCCTAAAGAAACTTTATACATAAATAACTTGAATGATAAAATCAATCAAGAAGGTTAGACCATTTATTTATTTATTGGCTATTTTTTCTTAAATAATTCCAAATTAGGAGGCATTTTTGATTTTTTGATTATTGCAAAAATTATTTTTACAAAAATATTTAGATATGAAATATGGATTATACTTCTTATTTTAGCAATTTGGAGAAATACTTGATATCATATTAAAAAAGTCAAACACTTTGAGAGGATAGGCATGGATTATTTTCAAAGATATTACTGCTGCCACTAACGCAAAAAAGAATTTGAATGGATTTTTATTTTTTGATAAGGAATTGGTAATAATAAAAAATTCAAATTAATCTTCAAACTATTCCGAAATTAAGATAAGATCTCCAACATTTAACCAACTAATTTAAGCTAATCAAATATAAATCATATGTTATTAATAAAACCCAACCAAAAATAAATGTTTATAGTTCTTTAGTTGCTGTTAAATGTTGACTGCACAATATCTTATTTTAATTTGGCATTAGTGAATTATAAAATTAATCAGCTTTTTACACCATAATACATTAGAAAATAAATTTTGCAAAATAAAGAAGTGAGATTTTAGACAAGTTAGAAGGAAGATGGGTTCCAAAAAAGAAGTAAAAGAAAGAAAACAATAATAATGCTAAGAAAGTAGGAGAATAAGAAATAGGCACAGAACAAAAAGAATAGTAGCAACAAAAGCAATAACTATAATAAATTCCACTTAATATTTAGCAAAACGAATTAAACTAGCCAAATAATGTTCTTATTTTAGAAGATTTACCTTCTTTCGTTACAACAGACATTCTTAAAGCACTCTTTGGCTAATATCCAGGATTTAAGTATTTTTAATTAAAACATATTTGACATTTATTTTAACAAATTTTAATTTTAGAGAAGTTAGACTAATTGCACCTAGAAAAGTTGCATTTGTAGAATTTTCATAAGAAGACGAAGCTACAGTTGCTCTCAATGGCTTATAAAACTTTTAACTTACTCCTCAAGTTTTTTTAAAGCTAAATTATGCTAAATTTTGAAATTGAATTTTAAAAAATAATATTAAAAGGGAGAAATTAATTGTAATTCAAATACATTTATATAAACTCAGTTATTACAAAGTTATACTGTTTCTTTAAATTAAAATTATCATTTTAATAAAAGTTTTTATTAAAATTATCATTTTATAGCTTCATAAAGTATTTTAAATTTGAATAAGTTAATTAATTCAGCATAATTGTTATAATTTTATAGATAAGAATTATTAATTTTCATATTTTCAAGTAAATATAAAATTCATTTGTTAAACATACAAATTTGAATTAGTAATAAAAATAGTTTTTTAATTTCATAGTTAAGAATTTTACATTTTCATATTTTCAAGTAAATATAAAATTGATTTGTTCGTTCAACATACAAATTAGAATTAGTAATAAAAATAGTTTTTAATTTCATAGAAAAGAATTATTTACATAAATTCAAGAAAATTGATTTGTTCAACACATAAATTTGAATTAGCAATAAAAATAATTTTTTAATTTCATATGTAAGAATTTTGAATTTTAATATTTTCAAGTAAATATAAAATTGATTTGTTCGTTCAACATACAAACTATAATTAGTAATAAAAATAGTTTTTAATTTCATAGATAAGAATTATGAATTTTCATATTTTCAAATATACAATTGATTTGTTCGTTCAAAATACAAATTTGAATTAGTAATAAAAATAGTGAATTTCGATTTCTATTACACAATACAAAATTGTAATTTTATAAAAATATTTATCAAAAATAGAAAGAAACACAACAAAACTTAAAATCACTCTATTATAATTTTTATAAATTTATTCTTCTTATTTGATTATATTTGATAATGTTAATATTATAGGCATTAATTAAATTTATTCTAATAAAACTATTATAAATTCGAGTTTTTTTATGTGAGCCTGGTTACTTATTAATTGTGCTAAAAGTATATTTTGAAAATAAAGTACAAATATTTTAGTTATTTGTAAACCTTTTTTGTAAAAATTAATGTAATTAAGAAATAGACAAATTTTTCTAGAAATTCTAAATATTTTAAGCTTTTTAATCTAATATATTTAACAAGGGATAAAAAACATCAATTTATTTATTCTTCATAGAATATTAAATAACTTTTTTGAAACTAAATCAAGAAATCAAAATCTTTATTAGGAAATAGACAAACTATAAATGAAAATAGACATCTAAATACAAATATAAATTAACAAATATGAATTACAGATTTTTTTTTCTAAATGATTTAAGAATAAATTAGCTGTACAAAATATCTTCTTTCTTGATGGTTTCTTCGGTAATGAAAATTTGTATTTGGAACAAAAAATATATATAATTTTAGTAAATTAATTACATGGCTAGCACGTTATTTTTTACCTCTATTCTTAAATTATGACACAATTTGTTATAAAAATAGTTAATTTATAATTTTTTTACTATATTTGTAATTATTTTTTACTTTGAAGGGATTTGAGTAACAAATATTTAGTATTTTACATAAGACTTATTATTTTGAGGGACTATCTAGTATTATATTGATTCCTAATAAAAAATGAAAAACTATATATTTGTAATATAATGCTTCTCTCTGACCATACAAAATATTAATTAATATACATTAGAAGTTAAGCAAATTTAATTAAAAACGATGAGATCTATTTATTTTTTCTATATTAATTTTTTAATAATTTCAAAAAGTGTAATCAGAATCTTTTATATTTTGAGTATCTATTTTATCTAGATTTCTTTTGCTCTATATATTTACTATGAAAATTAAGCCATCATCTATAACGAAAAATTTGATTTTGTGGTAAAATATATTAACAGCAAGCAAATCTAATTTTTTATTTGTACTTCAAAAGTTAATAAAAAATTGTAATTTTTCAGATAAGGTAATTTATAATCAATATATTAACGAGTTTATAATGCTTTTTACACGAATTGAATTGTTAAACAATCTGATTAAATAAACAGTTTATAATAAATAATAATTTATAATAATTCAATTTAATTTTATTGATTATGTAATTTATCAAGTAGTTTCAGATACCTATTTTTTAACTTTTAAATATTTCTCTAATATTTTTAGTTTAGTTAAAATAAATACAGCTTAATCTTGTTATAATAAGCATCCTTTAAGCTGAAAATTAATGTATTTTAATCAAATGTTAATTATTTTTCAGATATCAATTGTATTAAATTACCATCATACAATCATTCATGTAGATAAATGTAAAAAATATTTAAGAAGTATTTAACAAAATCTAGAGGGGTAAGTATTTATTTTTTCCTTAATTAAAAAATCTTTCTTAATAAATTCAATTATATTAGCTGTCAGCATTAATTGCCAAAATTAAATATTTGCTAATAAATGATCATAGATACTAAATAATATGTATTATCTTTTGTAATATCAATAGGTAAACACAATCCTTAAAGGAAAATAATTCTTTTTATGTATCTTTATAGCGAATGCTAAACAAATAGAATCACTAGAATTTCAAAATTTATAAGTCTACATTTTTAATTTTGATAAAAAATTTGTACTTTTTAATTTTGCTTTTCGAAAATTCTAAACTTTTAAACATGCATAGATTCTTAAGTTATTTATTTTCAAGATCACTAAAAAATATAAGAATGAAAACCTAATTAAATTTTATCATAATTTTAGCCTTTTTTTTTAGTTTTAGATACTTTATTTTTAGTTCTTAAAATAAATATTATTTTTAATAAACAATTTTTTAAAATAAAATATCAAAAGGGGTTGGGGGGTTGGGGTTGGGGTTGGGGTTGGGGTTGGGGTTGGGGTTGGGGTTGGGGTTGGGGTTGGGGTTGGGGTTGGGGTTGGGGTTGGGGTTGGGGTTGGGGTTGGGGTTGGGGTTGGGGTTGGGGTTGGGGTTGGGGTTGGGGTTGGGGTTGGGGTTGGGGTTGGGGTTGGGGTTGGGGTTGGGGTTGGGGTTGGGGTTGGGGTTGGGGTTGGGGTTGGGGTTGGGGTTGGGGTTGGGGTTGGGGT